AGGCCCCCGAGGAAGTAGAATAGCGAAATGTCCTTATTGGTGTGAAATGACCCGGCGTTGCCCCAGTTAGCTCTTAGCCACGTTCCTCTCCTCTGCAGACGGGCACGTTGTATAACGCGTCTCCTCAGACACACTTGCTAATGCTAACTGACCCGAAAGTGAGGCAGCTATAGCTACCGCTCTGAGTCACTGGCTTCGCCTGCCCAACGCACACACTCACACGCCCCTGCATGCGTTAACGCCCCGGCGCCGGGGGAGCGGAAGCACCGATATGCACATGATATGTACACAGACGCAGTGCGGGGGCCTAACGCTCGACTTGCAGTTCGTCTGCCCCCCCCCCCCCCTCTTTGCACCCTAATGCGTTCCGACCGTCATCCCTCCATCTGTGTGCCTTTTATTCAGCAGGAGCTTTATCCCGATGCGAAGCACAAAGGCCACTCGCAGTCAGCAGAAAAAACCAAGAAGCAGAACCCCCCCCCCCCTCTCACTATTCCTGTAGATGCCGGGCCTGTTGACTCGGCGTATCGGGTAGAGAGCGGGTCTGTTCAGATGCGGCTAAATTGGATCTCCTCTGAAAAGGCCAGCCGTCGAACACAAATACAAGGTTGTTTTTGGCTCGTGTTCCCGCTTCTATTTCGGTCCGGCGAAGGAAAAAAAAAAGGAACCGGAGCAGCAACAGCCGGGGTTGTCCATTCCCCTGTCGGGCTGTTGTCCGTTTCTGTGCGCGAGCAACAACGGCGACAGGGACGCCGTGATTGATGGGGGTGCGATCTGATCGGAGGTGTAGACTTTGGAGGTACTACACGGCGTCTAAGTCCTAAGCGTGTGCTATTTAAAAGTCATGTCACTCTCACGCTATCTGAGTTGCATCACAGCTCGTCAAGTCCAAGACTCACTCATCAGGAGGCGAGTGAGTTGTGTCGTGAGTCATCAATGTTGGGACTCCAGTGAGGCAACGCCGGAGCCGTGATGAACATTTCATTGCAGAGTAGGAGGGTAGTTTTCCCAACAAGTGTCTCAAAAGGTACAATGTTTTTCTCTCTCTTTATTTGTGTCTGATATATTCTGCAGCGTTCTCATACTGCCGGCTGGAAGTCGCAGACTTATTGTCCCCTTTTTGCACAGAAAATGCGCAGTAGCGTCAGATTTTTAAACCAGACTGAGCGTCATGCTTCTGTGAGACTGCACCAAAGCTGCCAGCGAACTAGCTGCTGGTCTGGGGGGGGGGGATCAAAGAGCTACACAAGCCCCCCGCCCGCTTTCCCCTCCGCCCCCCACCAGCCTCAAAAAGCCTTCCAACGCTGGTTGAAGGAGCGCAGTGTCCCCAGCGCTCTGGAGCTGAATCTGACATTGACGGCAGCATGAATGTCTCTAGATCGTTCCGCTCGCGTGCTGCGTCATGAGGAGAGACCGCTTGGAAATCTGCATCGTCATCCGCGTATTGAAACTAGACCGCTAGCTGCTAACTAGAATTCAGTATGTGGACCCAGATATATCCTCACAATTCATCAGATATTAGTTGAGACGCTGCAAAGTGTTCAAACCAGCCGTGTCGTCCATGCTGTTAAATATTAAATAAAATATTTTAATTTCCCTGCAGCGAGGTGAAACTTTCCTGTACGCTGGTCTCAATGTATTGCCTCCAGGTCTCCTTTTCCCATTTCACCACTTGACCCCCCCCCCCCCGCTGAGTGATCCCCTTTCCCTTTCTCTCTGCGACACAGGAGAAGGTTCACTTTCCCTGTTTCTGTGTTTCTTCCTCCAGGTTAGCCCTGTTGTCCCTGAATGAAACGCTCCACACGCTATCGCCGTTAGCGCTGACGCAGGGCCCATCCCGCCGCCGTATCATTCACGTCACAATGTGTTTGTCTGCGGCCGTTAAAAGCCCGGGCTGAACCCACTAACGTTTCAGATTTCTTCTCCCGTTTCTGTCTCTCGCTCTCAAATGTAATAAATTCAGGACGTCTCGTCGGAGAATTTCACCTGGCGTCCACATTATTACCATCGGTGATGTAACCGTGGAACCGAGAGAGCATTCTTAACATGTGAACAATGTTCTTGGGGCTCTTTTAAAGCTTCTGTTCATGGATGGAAATTCGTGTTTCGAATGTCCGAAAACATTTAAACGGATGAAAGGATTTGAAAAAAAAACACACATGGAGGAATATTTACTCGGCATCTAAAATGACGACGCCTCTGCCAACAACGAGCAAACGTTCTCATATCAAGGTGAGACTGTCGCGCGCTACATGAGAGCGAATGCGGGACAGGAAGGCGAGGCTGAGAGGGATGTTGGAGCTTCTCAAAATTTAAATTTGAATGCTGGTGGACGAGATTGGAGGAGGTTGCTCCAGCTGCAGGGTTTGAGAGGAGCGGACACAGCTGCTATTTCTAAAAGTCAATGAAGTTAAAAAGAGTTGTGGCTGGAGTGCGAAGCGGCGCGGCTCGTGTTCTGCTCTCCACCTGGCCGGACGAGGACGTGTGCGGCAGCAGATCACTGTACGCCGTCGCAGCCAGAGAACAGTGCAGCCATGAAAGGTTCGGTTTCCTTTCGCTCTCACATGGGCAGGAAAAAGGCCCGAGGTGCAGTAGGTTCTGATGGTGGGAGGAGTTTTTCCTTTAACTGATAAGCCGAACGGGGCTCGGTGCTGAAAGATGTTAATGATTACTGCGGCGTTTGTGCCACATATCTCCAGTGCCGAGGCGTGGTCGAGCTTAGACCCATCAGGTTAAAAGCAAAAGAACACCGAGTCTTTTACCAAAGAGATTTGAACAAAGTAAATAACAGCTTGGGACATTTCTCAAAACAATAAATCTGTGGGTCAAGCTAAAATATCTGTATTATGAGTTTGTCTCACCACAGAAATGTGTTATTTACCACTTGGCTGAGGAAAAAAACGGACCAGTGTTTTAAAACATTAGATTAGGGATTATTACAGAAATGAAGCTTTGTGCAAACACAGATTTGTGATGCTTATTGGATAGGGAACACGTCATTAGGATTCGTGGAGCCTGAATGCAATCGGCAGAAGTGAAAAGCCAACGAAGGCGGATCGCTCTCTCATTTCTCATTTCATATTAAAGCTTTTGTTCACCTCTTTTTTCCCGTCGTCTCACCAATATGAACGCAGCACCCCACACGCCACGTTAGCATGTGTGCCGCGGTTTAGCCCCCAATGCTAGAAGGACTTTTGCACACTTTCCAAGTGTCGTCAGACTGAATTGACTAACTTCTTCCCATCATCTGTAAAAGTACTTCCTGTTTTCAAGTCAATTAGTGAATTGTCACCAGAAGAAGGGATTTAGGATAAATGCACAAATGACAACAGCTACACATTAAAATATGTCTGACTTGGCTGCTGTAACGGGGACTTATTGAGGATCAAACCGAGGCGACTCATCCCTCACTGCTCATGTCACAATATCGATGTGATCCGTGTCGACCGGCGCATCCCCCGGTTTGTCACTGAGGCGAGGGGCCGGCTACCGTATCACAGGTGCGATGCCGAGAAAGGTCAAAAGCTGGAAGACAGATGGTGGACACACACACACACACACACACACACACACAACATTCCCAAAGGGACAGAGATCAGTTGTGCAACTCGGACGGGCATCGCTGCAGCTTGTCGCTCTCTCTGCAACACACACGCACAGGCATGTTAACTGCATGTAGACAAGCAGATGTCTAGCAAGCACGCACTAACCCAGAACAAGACACACAATAATACTGTCAATAAGTCCGGTCTCTGCTGCTACTAATATTACATCTACTGCTAATAATAATACAATTAAAGAGAATAGGAAACAATAAAAGTATTATAATTATAATATATTTGGATTAGGATCAGATATATCAGCCATTCTTGTGTCATATATGTACATCTATCTTTTGAATACTATGTGCCTTTCTGAAGCTGAAGTTTTCAACTGTGGAAACAAGTCCAGAGGCATTTTGTTCATCTCAAAGTCTAATTTCCAATACGTTTTACTAGCCGTGCTGGCGAGTGTTAGCATGGAATATCATGCGAACACTCGGTAAAATCAGATTTACCTCCACGTTGCATTTGGTAATTGGCTTAGTTTGCCAAATAAGTGTTTTCTCTGTAATATATTTTAGATATATTGTACCTGATGAACATCAAACGGTCCGACCATTAGCATGTTAGCGGCGCTATTGTTGGCGCGCGTGACGTGAGCGTGTAGCTCAGAGCACTGGAGCAGGGCGGCGTGACTGTAGTCGGAGCTATAAATACATCACGCTGCTACTGTCTTGGTTTGATCCGGCGCGGTTATCGGCGAGTTATAAAAAGATCTGAAAGACGGCGAATGTTTGGTTTATCTTCCCCAATCCCGCGCGAGAGGCCGTGCTTCTTCTGTCACTCATCGCCTTTTATCGCCCCCCCTCCTCCTCTCCCCTCCCTCCCCGTTACCATTTAGGGTGTCCGAGCCCCACTGCCTGCACCAAGGAATGTGTGTTGTGTGTCGTCCCGCCGTCTGTTTGTTGCTGTATTGTTCTCCTACGCACACTCCCAAGCTGCTGCTGCCCCCCACACACACACACTTCTCTCTGGGGGGCGACAATAATGTTCACAAAAATACTTCCTTACCAACGGTTGGTCTTCTTTAGAGCGCTTACGTGTGTGGGTGTCTGCGTGTCAAAGGTGGTTGTGTGTGTGTGTGTGTGTGTGTGTGCGGGCGTTAGACGCTCACTATTGTACAACACTGAGTTAGGAGGCATCTGACCCTCAATAATAGATGTAGCTGCAGTGAATATTTAATGGATGGGGGGCGTGGACACACACACACACACACACACACACACACACACACACGGGCAGATGGAAATATAATATCCTCGCCTGTACGACATTTTAGACCAAAGCTCCTGGAGAAGTGGTCCGTGTGGTCGGGTGATGCTCTCTGTGGAAGTTAGCCAGCGGGCTACTTTAGCCTCCGCGCCTTCCTCACCCCTCCGTGCCTCTCCACCCCAACAGGGCTCCCAGGATAGTGCCGGCGGTCAGGAGGGACTCGTGCCTCCACCTTTCTCCGCATTCCCGCCGCCGCCACCTCCGCCCCCGCAGAACGGCCTGGCCTTGGATTATGGCGGGGGGCTGTACGCGGCGGGGGCCGTCCAAGGGCCCGTGGAAGCCGGCGGGCCGGCGAACAGCGTCGCAAACGTCGCCAACAGCCTCGGTGTCCAAGTGAGTGTCCGAGGCCTTCGGCGCCAGAGAGTGCCGGCGGCAGTAAGGAGATTAAGCAATAATAGTAAATCAATGGGAAGAACCACTGTGACCGTCTCTGATTGACTGTGTCAGTCATCTGAACACGGAGCCAATCGCAGATCCGATACCACTGTAATAACAATCACTTTGAATTTGAATTTCAACATTGGACAGGGACAGAATCGCGGCTGTGAATGAGCGGAAGCGAGAGAGTAATAGTTTGGTACTAAGAATATTTCCACTGCTCCCTCTGAGCAGTAAAGGGTGTTTCTAGACAGAAAGATTAGATCAGTGGATCTGGACAAGAAGGAACTGCTTGTACTGGTGTAAAGCCGTCCCTCCTGCCCCTGTCCGTCTGTCGCTGCAGTCCGACGGCTCCTCTCAGATCGACGGCCCGTCAGTGGTCGGCTCAGCAGGAGGTGGAGGGAGCGCCGGCGATGACTCCGATGCCAAGGGGACCCCCAAGCGCCTCCACGTCTCCAACATCCCCTTCCGCTTCCGGGACCCCGACCTACGGCAGATGTTTGGGGTATGTAGACCACAGTACCCCCCCACCCCCCCTCCCCATTCAGACATCACATAAGAGTAACTGAGGATTAAAGCTTAATTAAGATAAGGAACGCTCCCGGTGACGTCCGCGCTGTGTCCTCAGATTCCATGTCCATGATCCTTTCCGACATTTTAAAAGAATATAAAGCTCTGACGTTCCAGCTGAAAGGAATCCATTTGGTTTTGTAAAGATTCGACTGAAAACCAAAAATCGTTGCCGTGGCATGTCATCTGGGAGAAAGATGACGGGACGGTTTAGCGCCAGGTGTAAAATCCTGGCCTCAAGTTCAGCAGATTTTTTTTTTTTTGCAAGAGGAATGCGTTTCCAATGTGGTGCAGAGAAAAGAGCAGAGGCAAGGAAGCCGAGGTGGAAGAAAAGCCCATGAAGCACCGGCGCTGCGCCAGCTCTTCACGGCTGAACTGTGCTGACACCCTGTGGAAAGATGTAGCACAAGTACTGCACACCGTTTCATTTTCATTCATCTTGTTTTTTCTTCCTTTTCAGCAATATGGCAAAATCCTCGACGTGGAGATCATTTTCAACGAGAGGGGGTCCAAGGTATGAAGAAGGAAAACAAGGACTCATTTAGTCTTTAACAAAAACAAGCTCCGCTGCAGCTCACCATCCATTTTCAACCCCCCCCCCCCCCCACCAATCCCCCCGTAGTTTTTGTTTTCCAGCCCCCCGGCACCCCCGGGGCTTCGGTATTGGAAAATTTGAGACGAGCGCGGATGCGGAGCGGGCCAGAGAGAAGCTTCACGGCACGTTGGTGGAGGGACGTAAAATCGAGGTAACCCCCCCGCCTCCCACCTTTTTTTTCCCTTTTTAAATTTTTTTTTTTTTTTAAACAGCGACCATTTTCTCCTCTGTTTCCATATGCGACAATGAGATTGAGTTGGTTCTGGCCGTCTCTGCCCCAGCAAGGGTTTTCGGGTGGATGAATGTGCTCCACTCTAACCCCTCTGGCTTCACTGCAGCGGTGCCACGCGCACTGACGTCTCCTTCCACGGCACTTCCTGTCGATGTTTATGCTGTTGTTGTCGTCGATGTTGTGGGCTGTCCATTGCACCTTGGTCTTAAAGCTGTGTGGTTTGCAAAGCATGCTGTGTGGAGTGGCTACGCAAACAGGCATGGCCGGCGAGATGTTGCCCCGCGACGCGCCCGCGTCAGCTTCTGTCACAGCATGTAGGATCTTTTCTCTTCTTTTTTTTAATCATTTTTGTGATTTCAATCATTTTTTTGGGTTCCCCTGCACCTTTTTTCATGACCATCATCACTTCTTCCATCAGCATAATGAGCGGCCATCTTTGGTTTACGGTTGGGTTAGCGACTGGAGGGGCAGTTAATAGCCTCTCAGTTAGTGCTTGCTGGAGTCTGTGAGAGGCTTCTGTATGTTGCATGGATGGATCATGAGGTCACGTATCGTCATGGCGATTTTACACAAGGGTGACCGGTAGCAGGTGTGATGTGTTAACCGGCTGATGCATGATGGGGAGCATTTTCAGGGGCCAGTTTGAGTCTTGAAATGAGCCATGAGAGGTGCGCTGTCATTTCTGATACTTCATGAAAATGTTTAACTTCAGGTGTGCAAGATGAACGGTTGAAAAAAGACTGATCTCACGGAAGTGCATTTTGTTGTGGCATCTTTTTTTGATTTATTTCTTTGTTAGCATGAGCTCGGTTTTCAGTTGCAAATGGCCGTTGGAGATCAGACACACCATGCTTCTGCCATTCGCTCTGGCTCTTGATTTAAAAAATAAAAATCACGCTTTCTTTTTACTCGCTACTAAAGCTCCTCTGCATGCAGGGACTGGAACGTCTCGCACGCCTCTGTCTCTGTGTGTGGGTGTGCAGGACTGAAAATGTGGAGGCCGGGGAGAGAATGAACACGTGACGGGAATGCGATAGGTAGCAGTCGTCTTCTCTCTTTCTGTCTTATGATTTCTCTGTTCTTCTCCTTCGTCTCTCTTCACTCTTTTCTCACCCGGCCAGTCCGTCCGTCCGTCTGTCTCTCCTGGTTTGTGTGTCCCCATATGCACCTGCATTCCTGCTCTCCCCCCTCTCCCCCCTCTCTCTCCCCATTTCTGTCCGTTTCCCTGTCCTGTCGTCAGGTAGCATAAACATTGGAGGTTAAGTTTGATTTTGAGTGAATATTTTGTCCGTTATTTGAGTACATTCTGGGCCATAATAACGGGTAGTTCCCCTCCCAAGGCACATTTTGTTTTTCTGACATTCTCTGTGTCCGTTTGTTTGACCCTTTGCCAACTTTTATGATCTGTGTTTGTAGTGTTTTTGTTCTGTTTTAAGCAGTTGAGGCGAGTGTTGTCAAACGGCCGATACTAGCTGACTGTTGACACGTGACCTGTTACATCACATGGTGGGGGTCGCTTTTCATTACCTCCTTTTGTTTGTTTTCTTTTGACTTTTTTGTTTAGTTATTTGGTTCATCATTTCTTTCTTACATATATTTTCTCTATTTCCCTGATGATTTTGTGTATGTTGTTGTTGTTGTCAGTCTCCACGGTAACTGCTCGCGTGTCCTCACGCCGTTTCCCTGGCAACGGTAAGTTGTGTACACATGGCATCATCTTTGAATGACCCTCCCCCCCCACCCACCCCATCCGTCAAAATAGTGAAATGAAATGCACCCAAATGAAAGAGACTCCTTTACTGAAGGGAGCCCGCTTGATTGATTGATTTGACAGAACCCGATTGGCTAAGCCTGTGATTGATCGGGGAGGTGGTGAATGAATTGATTACGAGGTTAGCCATTAATCGCATGGCGGTGTAACGGCCACCTGTGTAACCGAATGTACGTGCAGCAGCTCCGACTAGCACTGTTAATGCATTCATTCCAATCACCTTCTCTAACCGCACTCAGCATTTAATTCCAGAGCCGGTTCCTGCATGGTTTACTCTCTCTCTCGTCACGTAGTACCACGTCATCTCCGTGTCGTGTCAGCCAATAGCTTCATTTCTTTTGCACCGTAGCGGGAAGAGCATGCCCAAGCATGAGTGCCATGTTAGCGTCCAACGGAGAGGGGATACGAGTTGTCTGTGTACCACGGCGTACTGCAAGACTAGATGACCACTTCCTGCGCCCCCTCATAGACTGCAGGCAGTTGTAGAGGTGCGGCCGTTTGGACTTGAACATTCAAATTTAAACATGTGGATAGTGTGCGCTCCCAGAAGAGGAGGCAAGCTTAAAGTTCAACTTCCAAGTATAGCTACTACTACTTCATATATAGATATCTACGCTTTGAGTATTCTAACCTTTCTGAAGAGAACAAAAAGCTGCCGTGGATGAATCCGTAGACCCCAGCAGACCATGTGCCACTGATTGATTAAGCCTCTTCTTCGTGACGAGGTGTCCCTGTTTTACTTTCTGATCGGTTTGGTTCTGGACGTGTGTGTGTGTGTGTGTGTTGGTGGTTCGTGTGCTTCGAGGCCTCTCTGGTGTGCCGCACTGATCTGGAATGCCTGGCAGTGTTTCACAACCATGGTTTGATTTTAATTTTCTTAATTTTTTAAAGTTCTTTTGAGGAATGATGTTTGCATCCCCCATCCTCTCTGTCTTCATCTGGACTTCTTTCTCTCTCGCTCCATTCATCATTTCTCCATTGTTGCTGCTGTACAGTTAGATCCAACGTAGGCAAACGGGCGGATGTATATTTGTACGTGTGTATCGCATCTTGTCGTTTGTTCATTAGGAGAATTGCACATTTGAATGGATTGTTCACTCTCCCTCTTGCTCTTCTCTCTCCACATCATGTATGTGTTTTTTCTGTGTCTTTTCATGTGGACTGGCTCCTCTTCCTGCATCCCTCTATATTTCCTATCTCTCTCGTTTCCTCTCCCTCCCTCCTTTTTTCTGTATGGTGTGTATTGGACCGGGAGGGCTGCCGAACCTTTTTTTGATTGGTCTCTTGCTGCATCTGATGCTTGCTGATTGGCTGGTTTTGCTCACCTCTGGTGATGTAATGCGCTCTCGATTGGCTGCGTGTAATCTGTGTATGAACTCCTTGATGTTTTTTTGCATTGTGTTCAACTGATGAATCTGCCGCTTAATTCACCTTCTTTTCCCCCCTTTTCATTTTTCTTTGGAAAAGGTAGCAAAAAAATGGTCTTGGATTTATTTTTGAATGCTTTCGTTCTGAAATATTTAGTCGTTTTTTCTGTATTCTGTGTGCCAATGGTTGCATTGTTTGTGTGCAAAACTGCCTGACTTACTCACCAGGATCCTCGTTTTCAATGTCTCTCTCCTTCAAAAGAAGCGCATGCGTCAAACACCACCGCTGCTCATCAACCGAATTAACCGCTGTCATAAGAACGACTGTTCAAGTGTAATGACACCTCACACTTCACGTTCAGCAAAAAAGCAAAACTCTGATCATCACGTGCAGAGAATCTCCCTCTGAATGCATTCAGTTTAAGAAAAAGATTCCAAAATACAAGATTCTGCGTCATTTTTCAATGGCTGTTGTTCCGCTGTGCTGCGTCGACTCGGACGTTGACCACTTCTTCTGGTGTGCAGGTGAACAACGCCACAGCTAGAGTGATGACCAACAAGAAGATGACCATCCCTTACTCCAACGGGGAGGGCCTCGCGGCGCTGCCATACGGTACTGTTAAACCGCGCAACACGTCATTCTATCCTCATCCTCATCCTCTCTAACAGCTAACCAGTGCTGTTATTGTTGATAAAACTATTCCATTCGTTTCAAGGGAGAAGTGTTGCTTGGTGTTTTCTAAAGCCAAAAACTCACATGGTTAAATGACCCGTTCAGCCCACAAAAACACAGACATTCAGGCGCTGCCACGCAGCAGTAAATAAACCGGAAAATATATCAAACGGTTTCCCTTTTTGTCTTAAAATAATTACTAAAAAATGTCAAACTCATTTGATCTGAGCACCCATCAATGTAATAGTTGCACCTCACACACCCCACAAAGCAAACCCCTATTAACTACATATATATATATATATATATATATATTTATATATATATATATATATATATATATGTGTGTGTGTGTATCATACATCTCTAAAAATCGGTGTATGTAGCAGATTCCTAATATCACTCTGCTAGAAAGCACCAGTCCTATATATTGATTAGATGTGAATCTCTTTTTGTCGCCTGCAGCCGGCTGGAAGTTGAGTCCCATGGTGGGAGCCATGTACAGCCCTGAACTCTACACAGGTACGACCGCCACCGCCTCACGCCTCACGCTCATTAACCTTGTTGTGTTTGAGATCGGATGCACAGATAATGTTTCTGCTCCGAAGGCACTTCAGCCGATCTGTCCCAACTCCTCTGTCTCTCAGTGCCGGGGTTTCCGTACCCAGCAGCAGCAGCGGCGGCGGCGGCTGCCTCCACCGCCGCCTCCTTCCGAGGAGCCCACTTGCGGGGTCGAGCCCGCCCCGTCTACAGCGCCGTCAGGGCCGCTGTGCCGCAACCCGCCATCCCTACCTACCCGGGGTAAACGCACACACACACACACACACACACAGACTGATATCAAAGCCGCACACTGCTGTTTGCAGCCACAGAATGCATGCCGTCACTCAGTCAAAAGAGCTACTTAATAACGCTGTGTGTGTGAACACGTATTGAACATGTAGTTGCTGAGCTGAAATACCATCAGAGGCTGACGGCTGTAGTGATCGAGTAACCGTAGTAACCGTAGTATCACTCTGAAGTTCCTGCGCTTGTTTAAAGGAGGTGGTATTTTGTCTTGCATGTTGCACGGTGTGTAATAATCTCACCCTTCTCTCTTTTTTCTCTCTCTCACAATCTGTTTTTGCACCGTTCTCCCCCCCCCCCCCACCCTGATCATCACTCTTTGTTTGTTGTTTCCTGCGATGCCCACATGGTGGCGCATCACACCACCCTTTTTTTTTGTTTTGTTTGTTTTGTTTGGACTTTCCACAACAATCCCTCCTACCTCCCTCCCTCTCTCCTTTCCTTTCCTTCCTTCTTCCCTTCCTCTCCTCTCTCTCAGTGTGATGGCCTATCAGGATGGCTTTTACGGTGCAGCTGATCTCTATGTAAGTATACTGCCCTCCCCTCTTCTGCCTACATGCCCCCCCCCCCCCTCCCCCTCTCCCCTCTCGGTTTTCAAGTGTGACACGGCACGGACCAAACCCGTAGAGACGCGTACCTTTGTGTGTTCCCCTGGACTCAATCCTAAATTAACTTGTTTTAAATTTGAATTACAAATGAAACTTTCCTACAATCTCCCATGAAATGTCCTTTTGATGGCGCACACTTTCATTCACGCGTACGCTCCTCCAGGGTTCGTCTCTGTGCATTTGTGAGTTAAGTTTGCACCAATGTGATAACGAGTGTGTGTTTGCGTGTGTGTGTGCGCGCGTGTGTGACCAGGTTGACAATAGCTGTTTCTGTTCTCTCTGTAGACTAGTGTTTCAGGACATTAGTGGCAGATTGCCCCAGGTAGGGTTTACGCACTCAGTGTGCATCCTCCTCGTCTCTAATGACTGCGTGCTGCTAGACATTATTGACCATCTCAGATTGAGACGCCTCCTCTGTCTTCTTCTACTAACTCACTGGATTCTGACATGGGTGGAGTTGCGGAAGGGGGAGAAAATAATGATGTTGGAATCTGACTTTGTGAAGAATGCGCTACACGACGTCCATTTACAAACACCTGCAGGGGAGATGGGTGTGCCTTTTTTTTAGGGGAAATCAGGTTCAATATTGCAGGTCAATACTTGAACAGTATTTTACCCAAATCTACATTTAGTCTATTTTGACATGGTGACACCGCACAGCAAAATTCATCCCTCAGTTTATGACTTTTCGTCATGTTCTACCATAAAATGCATTTTATCGTGTTATCTACACATTTCCATCACACATTTTTATAAAAACATCAGAAACTGTGATGAGAAACGTCCACAGCTGATGACTGAGATAAAAACAAAAAAGGCCTACATTTAATTTTTTTTACCCTTTGTTTTGTTCTACTTTTACCACAAACCTGAATTACGGGTTAGAAAGCAGCATTTCCACGATTAGAAACACAAACCGGATGCAAAATAAATGAGAGATTTTGTCAGCGGCCTGAGGGACGTAGGAGAGCTTCTATCAGCAGTTAATTCCGACCCCTTCCAGGAATCTCCCTCTCTGTTTCACCTGTGGCATGCTAACTGAATCCATGTCGGCATGCAGACATATCGACAAGGCTGACTCCCCCCCGTCCCTCCTATTTCCTCCCCCCTGGTTCTCCTCCCTCCATAACCTTTTTTGACACCTTTTGATTGAACTTCTTGCTCCGTTCATTTTTTCTTCCTCGGCCAATAATTAAAACCTTTTGTTTTGTTTCAAGTGTCATCTGCCGTTTGCCCCCCCGTCCTCTTTCTATTCCCTTTATTATTCCCTACATCGTCTTTCCATCCCCTCCCCTCCCCCACCTCCCGAGGGAGGAGAGCCTTCCTCCCCTAGCGGCAGCTGTGTGGTCCTGAATGCGGGGACTTGTGACTGATCCTTTAGGGTAGAACGCAGCGGTGTTTGTCTGGTTTTCATAGGGATGTTTGGCCTAATACGCTGTGCGTTTCTGAGTTTGGGAACAGCATGTGATGTCTGTCAGTGATTGGTCGCTGGGCCACGTGTGCGTTAATGTGTGTGTGTGTGTGTGTGTCTGAATGGCTGACTGTCTCCTTTCCCCTGTAGTTTTACTCTTCTGTGTCTGTTCATCCACACGTAAATAAGGACACAACCATCTTGCCACCCCTTCTCTTAACAGTGTGGGTTTGGTAAGGGACGTTATGGGTATGAACACTCTCTCTCTCCCCCTCTCTCTCTCTCCATGTCCACGCACAGCGGGGAACAAATAATGTCAGTCATGGGGGGAGAGACCCACGCAGAGCCTGAGCTACGTCCTCGTGAATGCCGTACTGCACCAGATTAGCCAGTTCTGCTGACTGTCTGCTTGTTAATCTTTCGCTGTCTTCTCAGCATTTTTTTATTTTTTTTTTGCTCACAATGTAACCCCCCCCCCCCCCCACCCCTCCCCCTTTTTAGATTAACTACTAGTCCTGTCAGTGTGCAGAGGAATACAGCAAACCCCTTTAACAATAATTTTACCCTTCTTCCTCCCTTCATGGTGTATCTTTCTCCCCCGCTGGGCACCACCTCATTGCCTCGTCTCAGGGCGGCTATGCAGCGTACCGCTACGCCCAGCCCACCGCGGTAGCGACTCCCGCGGCAGCGGCAGCCGCGGCGGCAGCTTACAGTGACAGGTGGGTGGAGCGCGGCACGTGTCCGAGCCTCCTCTGGCGGGCCAACGGTTGCAGCATCCTTTATTTCCCCTCGTTTAAACCACAATACAACAGCTCATGTCTTTTTGTTTTCTCGCAGCTATGGACGAGTTTACACGGCAGACCCGTACCACGCCGCGCTCGCCCCCGCCGCCTACGGCGTTGGAGCCATGGTAGGTCCCTGAAGCCCGTCAAACATTCACATTTCAAAAAAAAGTATCTAGCCGCTCATTAGGTTTGTAGTGCAGTCAGTATTCTCACCTGGATAACAAACTGACCTTAAAATCCATTAAAATCCTAATGAGAATGTTGATTTCATTAAGACACTAAATCAACTTTACTGTGTTCATATAAAGTACAACGCAGTAATGTAGAAGTCCAGCATAGAAATAAACATAAAACACTAAAACGGTTTATGTGGGATTGATTTTGAAATAAAACTTCCGTAGCCATATTTGTGGTAATGAGTTAACACCCACGGCGGCTCATTCTTGTCTCAATTCTTGGATAACAATGGAAGTTTGTGACACAGGGAAACGCTATAACCCCAAAATATAATAGTATAAATATACTATTTTGGGGTTTGATTTTGATCTTTTTATTTATTTGTCAGTAAGGGAAACTTAAATCAACAGACTGATCATTAATGAGTCAAAAGTCATTTTGAAAGGACTTTATTCACTAGATGTTTATCTTTATTTGTTTCACAGGCCACACTGTACAGGGGAGGCTACAGTAGATTTGCCCCTTATTAAAGACACTACATTTCCCAGGAGCTCCTCTCTTCCATTGAATTTCTCTGAAAGAGCTCCCTCTGTTGCCGTGGAGGTGGACTGCACCCAGTTTTAAACAGTGGAGTCGACTCAACAAAGATATTTCAGATCCCTCCCCACAGCAGTCCCACGTTTTCGTATATACGCTACTACAGAAATAGAGGAATGCTGTAATAAAGACTGACGGATGGCCTTTACAGTAAAAAAAAAAATAAAGAAGAAAAAAACAAATAAAGACTTAAGATGGCCACCTTCCCTATTGCACGGCTGTATTATAGTCCCCTCTTCTTAATCCCTCGGCACTCAGCAGCACAAGACTCGTGATGGAGCCCAGATGTTCTTCCAAAGGCTGTATGTGGATAACATTTAAACAGCTGTCGACCGTGTGTGAGAAGAAAGAGCTGGGTGCTGTGTGGCCTGCACGCACTCAACATTTTAAGGAAAAAAGGAGGGAATCAAACGTGTCTACAAAACGTCGGAGAGGCAGGACGGCCCACGGAAAGGGAAGCTTAAAAAAAACAAAAAAAAACATTTTGAACCAGAACGACGAGTCACCGACGACGAAAGCAGCCGGCGATGGGATTTTAATGACAGAATGAGCGGCTTTCCAGCGTCGGCGCGTTGTTGCACAGGGGCGACTGGACGCGGCGGCTGGGAGGAGGTGACGTGTGACGGTTTCTATCGCTGCAGGAATCACGGCCGAAAGCTGAAGGGAGGGAGGGTTATTAGAGCTGTTCCTTACCTCAAGTTTTCTTAGTATGTGGAAATGGTGAACCTTTAAACTTAAAATTGTTATGATATGCAAAGAAATTAGTTTAGAGAAAAAAAGTTACCAAATTATTATTATTATTATTGTAATTATTCTCATTCATATTCTTATACAAGCATTATTTTGTTTGACTCTGCAGCCAGTGCTGTTATGGGGCATGTAGATCCAACAGTGAACCTTGGGGTTAACATCAACAAAATAAGCATCTGTATCTCAAATACTCCACTTTATGAGCTATAAGACGCTTCTATAGTCTCACGTCCTTTTTCTAAAGCACAGGATTCCGCTGCATTCTGTGTGCGACAGCCGCTCAAACACTACGGAAAGATCAACACTAAGACAGAATTGACTTTTAGCTTTTAGATCCAAACGACATCGTCCACCCACGACCCCGGGGTTCAGGTATTTGTTGGTCCTTTGATGTAGAGATTTATTATTTGGATTTTCCCCTCATGCTCCATCTTTTATAGAGCAAAGTCCAACATTGAATGAGTCTTCCTGAAACATACTTTAGTCGGTAAATGTGTTTGAGACGCTGCCAGCAGCGTTTTCCTGAGCAAGAGAGCGATTCTGGCGAGGAATTAATAAAAAATATTTAAATGCAAAACACCTTACTATTGTGCATATTTCTATACTGTTGTATTCTATATTTCCAACACGTGGCTTTTATTTTGCTTTTGTTTTTGTTCCAAAGATTTGTAGAAAGCACATTTTTCTGCCGTATGTATAAATATATTATCTTTGTTATTGTTATTATAATAATATGGCTGTCTTTATTTACTTATTTTTCACTTTGTATGTCTTTTTTTTAATATATATATAAATATCTCTTAAGTGTTGTTCCTTCTCCAGTAAGGTGCAAATTCAATTTAACGTTTTTTTTTTAGTTGCTTTGGAATAAAGTTCTTGAGCGGAGAGCGTATCTGAGAAGGTACAGACTAGAGGAGAGCATGTAACACTACCAAACCAGTCCTCTTGGTTAAATATTCAGTCCGTTTGTTTTGGGTTGATTATAGGATCCGTTAGCATGACATTCTACTATTTCAAAATATACAGGAACGGCTGGATTTTTCTCTTCTGTCCATGTTTTGGTGACTGGGACATTTGGGATGAATCAACTTAGTCATGTAGCACTTTGGTTTTACCCAACTGTGTTCCTGTTCTTGTTAGTTTTTCATTTGTTTTTAGTTTGAAGCAGACTCCTTACATTTCAGTGGTCGCGCCAGGTTTGTTTTAAGATAAGTAAAATGTCTGAACGTGTTATCACGCATTCATGATCAGGTTGATATTCCAACATGGTGGAGAAACAAAATGTCATTGTGGGATATGATCGAAGTTGTGTGTTAAATGAGATCTCTTTCTCTCTCGCATTTATATATATAGATATATCTATATATCTATATATATAATGCGCCTAGTATTTTTTCTCTCTAACGTGTTGACAACTTCTACAGTTGTATTTTCCATTCCTCACATTTGGAAGAAACGGTCAATAAGATTTGTTTTTCTCTACTGAATGTGCTGCTCATAGATTTTCTCATAATTACATACATTTTATTTGTCATGTCTCACAACCGGATGAGTTCTGAAGAAGAAAAAAAAAAAAAAAAAAAACTAGCCAAAGATGCTAACTTACGGTCCCCAGCGCGTTCTGCTTGTGCGACACGCGATACACAAAGGCGGACATGACGGCATGGACAAACCAGCATGAGCGATACTTGTCGAGTTTGAAAACTTTTGCATGAATCTTGTGTCTTTCATATTTTGACTCCTGAGCAGCCGAGCCCGGTTGCGTTCTTCTTCACCACTAAAGCGTGCGGGCAGCTAGCCGCTTGAGGCTAGCCAACACAACAAAGAGCACAGTGCAAACAAAACAACACGTGGCAGCTTCATCTCCCCTGTCTTGGTTTTCTTGCCACTGTATTATAGTCGACTATGTGGCCATTCTTCAGTTGCTATGGTTTCCTCAATGAACTTTCCTCTATCATGTCTATATCCCCCTTGACTGCCATTATGTTTTTTAGTTATTGAATGTCCATATAAAATGTTTTATATAAAAATGTTTTGTTGTGATCTCGCTTTCAGGTTGTTTTCTTTTGGTATTCTATTTATTTAGTAAAATGGATGATCGTATTCTTTTGTCGTTTTTTGGATTACTTTACACACAGAAGGCGACGGCTACTCACTAATTTATGTCTTGGTAATGATCCCCGATTCGTATCCATTAAACCTGCAACAGAACTCCGTGGAAACACAAAACCTTTAGTCTAATCTATCAGATATGGTAACCTGGCAGAACTGTTGTAACAGAACTGTTACTTCTAAGTTTCTTCACAGTCGTGTGTCTACGGAAGTCCGGCAACATCTTCTAATGTCTAATGTTTCTTACATGCAAAACGTCTTGAGAATAAACTCTCGATCCGAAGCAACAGCAGCTTGGAGTCTGCAGCATGTGATCTGAACAGGGAGAACGTTTAGTCTCTCTCATCTCTTTGTAACCTCACTTTGTCTATAGTTTGATCCACCGAGGAGATGTAATTCCTGAACATGCAGGATGAAGACGTGGGCCGGAGGATGCCAAAGCAGGCTGCAAAGCGATCCGAGCTGCACACAGCGATGAGTACAGCCCCTCGTCTGCATTTTGCCTTTACAATCGCTAACCAATCCCCCGCTGACTGACTGTGCAGTGGTCCCTGGTGTTTGTGGGCTCCGGTTGGCCGTGGTGGTGACTTCAGGTGGACATGCTACACTGGTACCCAGTGACGTTGTCGTCAAAGCTTCAGATTCCATCCGCTTCCAATCGAGCAGCACCCCAACGTCCCTCCCATTCAGTCTGCGTGCATTAAGCCCCAAAGTGGAAATGTTCCTAGTTTCATTTCAGAAATCTGAATGCCGCTCACATGCGATGCATGTTGTTGTAAGCATGTCAGCATTGGCACAACATATGGAACAATAGCATTGCTAACATGCCAATGTTCAGCAGCTTAATGGTTACATCCCAACGTTGGCGTGTTCGCGTGCTACATTTGGCTAATAACCACATACACAGCTGAGGCGGATGGGAATGTTGTTTTATTGTGAGAATAGAGAATTGGTCTGCATGTACATCATCTGGGAGGCAGGAAGGTGTGTCTAAAATACGACGTCAGTTTAGATATTTCAGCCTGTCAGACGGTTGATCAGTTTACATATTGATTAGCAGCTATTAGCAGCCTATATTATAATATTTGTTAAAGATTTTGTATTATTTCTCTGGAAATTCCCATCAAGTTCTCACCTGTACGCCAACGTTTCTTTAGGGAAAATATTTATTGACAGTTCTTGATAGTATGCACATATTTATATTCGTTGTTAATAAAAATAAAATTAAAAAGGTACGGTTCTAAATGGGAGGAGGGTCAAGGGGTAGAAGGGTTAAGGGAAAGGAGCAAAGGTTCATTGGTGATCTACGTTCAAACCGACCCTGACCCAACAGATGGCGTCCATCGTCTTCCAGTAATGCAGCAGCTAGGGGGGGTATGGTGTAAGTGTGGGGAAGGACGTTTGGGGCTATTGCCCGAAGCATAGACACCTCAATATTTTTATATATTAAAATGAATATACAATTTGATATGGAACTTATTAAATTAAATTTTCCAATTTGGCCCTATTTTTTAATCAGCTTTGAGGAACAAAATCTTTGTGCACGTTTGCCAAAACAGACCTAGCGGTTACACAACAGGCGTCTGGTCAGGTGTATCGGTGGGAGGAGAGCAGGGCGAGAGGGGGGGGCCGGAGGTTTATTCAGACTATTCCGTGTTTGGCCAGGTCGCTGAGCTCCATGTCCCCCAAGGCCACACCACTGTGCTGCCGGGGATCTTGGCTCCAAATCTGTGAATTGTGAAATCCATTGGCTTCATTTTGTTTGTTCTTTTCCAGGTTGTGGTTGTTTTTTAATGTAGTGAGGGGGAGTAAAAATGACTCTCGTTCAATATTAAGTACCCTCACCCCTTCTGTCCGGGTTTAGGCGCCTTGCTCTTGAATGTACGAGCAGCGCTTCCTGTCGGCGGGAACTCCTTCGTCTGGCATCTTTCAGCACTGAGGGAAAAGTCTATTTGAACGTGAGACCCCCCCCCCCCTCCGTCCCCCCCTCCCCCTCCAGGCCCTGCTGCTCCGTGCCCGGATGATGTAACAACCTCAGGTTACGGTTAAAGTGTTCACCAAAGCTTCCGCAAAGCCCTTAACAACCCTGTTACACAAAGAGCTTTGTGTATTTTTACACCTCTTGGCAACTTTCACGTTACATTAATGCCATGTGAGGTCGGGACATCGGCAGGTTCACCTAAAGCCTTTGAGTCAACACGCAGTCTGAGGCTGAGGAGATCTTCACCTAGCAACACATTAACAATCTGCTGTATTGCAAACGTTACCAGCAATGTTCTTTAACCTCTCATGGCGTCTTTCAACAAGCAACTTGTGGGATTTTCTGCGATCTTCCATAAAGTCTCAGTTAACCAGATGGTTCTTACACTTACACTACAAATCAACCATAGCTACAAAGTTAGTAGATATGGTTTTCTGTTTACATGGTCCATAAACATCTGAATCTGTACCCTTTTTGTACCACTTACATGTCGCCAGCCAGAGTGGTGAAAGCACTTGAGGGGTTAATGCACAGATGTTGTAAAGATAAACGACTAAAGTAATGTCCATTTCACTCTTATAATTACCTTAGAGAAGGTTGAAATAAAAAAAGGAAGATGTATAAGACAGGATGCTAAGTGTACCGTCCACTATCAAGGTTGGTTTGTTCCTCTTCAAGACATATGAGGCTTTTTTTCCTAAAGTGATCAACAACAACAACACAACCCAATTACAGATATTCCTTCTTATGAACATGAACATTCTCTAAGAAAACCCCCAAAACCCTCATTTAATTATTTTGGGACATGATTCTTTTAATTATTGCATTGAAGAAGATGATCTAAAAAAAAAAATGTAGCTCACTTTTGCTGAAGCTTGTGCTTAAACATTTGACAGAAAAATATTCAGAGCTTTATCTCACATCTCACTCGATCAGCTTATTGTGTACTATCCTTTTAACCTGTAGCGGTAACCTGCAAAATGATTGAAAAATAGAAATTGCTGAAGCTAGAAAATCAACTCTAAGTTCATATTTTCTCTATCAAATAATAAAATGGAAGATTTAGGAGCAAAATAGGATGTTTTAACATAATTATGGAGTGTCTCATGTTTGACGACCCACTGTCACGTCACACTGATACATGTTCAGCTGTCCGATAGTGTCGCAGCGTTGAGGCTGAGTCTGGTCCGTGTTTGTGTCCGTGAGGCTGAGCGTTTAAGGGCTCGTCCCTGAGCTCACAACACAGGCTCCATCCATAGTGTCACTTGCATCATTGAACATGACACCATCTTGAATGTTTTACAATTACTGCAGGGCTCTGTGTCTTTACAATACTACTACTGCCATCAAGATGAATGTGTTGTTTTTTCTTTTAATTCTATATGAGAGTATTTCAATGCTGTAGTTGCCAATTGTACTTTGTTACATTCCACTGTTGATAGTGAGATGCTACATACAAGAACATTTAAGGGAAGGGAGTCTCTGAAATGCAGCATCTGCTGGTTCACCTCTTTCTGTTATTCAGTTTTGCACATTTACCATGAAATGTTTATGATATTTGAGCATTTAAACCTCCCGTTATGTTTTCTTAGCCTTTTATCACCGAATAGTTTGAAGACCTTTTCACAGATTTATAGTAAAAACAAGGGACATTGTTTAAACGGCTTGTTATTCAAATAAAATAAATTACTCTTGTGTTCATACCAAAATGCTTAGTTAAATGTCCCACGATTCCATAGTAGAATCTGAAGCTTGAGGATTAAATGGTAATGATAGAGGTGCAGTTCATTGGGGGCGGTGAGTAACAGTCACAGACTGTAATAATAATAATACATTACACCACAATAATTCACATAAATTCACATGTTGGGAGATCAGCAGTGACACCAGGTACAAGGTCCCGTATTTATATCTCCATCTGGTTCATCTGGTGTCTTCGCGGCTGAGCCGGTCCAGAGGAGAACGGAGAGTTGGCGCACGGGACAACGGCACACACCATCTGATGGGATTAGCCACCTGGAGGACTTTAAAAAGGGACAGTCGGACAGAGAGAGAAAACCAGTGAGAACCAAGCCGAGATCATCAGACAGCATCAGAAAAACACTTTGGGACTCCAACAGAAGGTGAGTTCAAACTGCAATTTTCGCAGCTCTTGTACGGCTTTGATAAAATGGAATTCCAAAGAACAAAGGGACAGACGGAGGGAGGACTTCATGTCTTGTTTTCTCCAGTGCTTTTGGCTGAGAAGAAGCTGAAATGAGATCTGAGATTGTGACGAAGAAGACTTTATCACAAATAGCTTTGTGTTGGGCGGCTTGTTGGCCAGAAGCCCCGTCTCTGTTAATAATATCCTCTTTTTTACTGGATGAGTTCGAGCGCTTCATTTTACTCCAACGGCACATCTATTGAGGGAATATTGTTGGATGACAGTAGCAGAGGAGTTTGCAGAAGCAAAGCGTGCTTATTTGTGTAGCGCCCTTAAACTAGGCCTTTCAAAGGGCTGCACTTAATACTGAAAAGGGCATTGAGACGAGATCTTGAATAATTCCGCAAAATTGAAACAAAATTCAATAAAAGTAGGTGCAGGGCAAGTTGATTCATTAGTCCTCCTTTAAATGTAATTCAAAGCAGAGTGAGAGTTTATAAAAACTGATCATGTATCTCATATTTTTTGTTATTTAACCTTTTCAGTAGAAAACTAAAATGTCAGACGAAGCTGCTGGAAACCTTGCGGAGAAGAAGGCTGCTCCCAAGTTCAAGCAGAGGGCCATGCGCACCTTCAAGAGCAAGGCGCCTAAACCCGGCCAGAAGGGGTGAGATGGATTTAAAACCACACATACATGTAATATACAAGCATTATCTTCAAGCATTTGCCATCTTAGTCCTTTACTCACAAATACAACTTGTCTCTCATACTCATACTGACATTTCTGTTGTCTGATCCACGCAGGTTCGGAGACGACATCCCCGGCATGGAGGGCCTGGGCACGGACATCACCGTGGTCTGTCCCTGGGAGGCCTTCGGGGACATGGAGCTCAGCGACCTGGCCAAATACGGAATTGTTTAGCGCTCCGCCCTCTGCCTTTTACCAGTATTGCCACGACTGTCCCATCAAGTAACTTTTGACTGCCGCTGAAAAGCTTAAACTAGTGCTCTAAAGAGGACGCAGATATTGCGTATTTAATGTTGGGGGAAAAAAGAGATCCAGCCTCTCTACTCTCATGCACTTTATCTTCCCCTGCCTTTCCACCAATACTACATTGTCCTCAAAACCAGTCAGCAGTTCCAGCCCCAAAGGCTGAACAGCAAAAGAACAAATTAAATGAGTGGATTTGTTGAACTATACAAGTGGGTTTTATATCTTTGTGATATCGCAGTAATGCCTTTTCTGTCCCTCGTCTGATCTAAACTGCTGATTCAACGTGCACAAATGTTTATTTTATTTATAAGCAAAAAATATATTTTTATGATGAATCTGTAATTATTTTAACTCCTTTGTGAAATAAGTAATTCATGTTCTTTGTCAGTTGAAACGAATGATACCATTAACACCATCCATCCATCCATCTTCAGCCGCTTATCCGGGGTCGGGTCGCGGGGGCAACAGCTCCAGCAGGGGACCCCAAACTTCCCTTTCCCACATCTACCAGCTGTGACTGGGGGATCCAAGGCGTTCCAGGCCAGTGCAGAGATATAATCTCTCCACCTAGTCCTGGGTCTTCCCCGGGGCCTCTTCCCAGCTGGCCGTGCCTGGAACACCTCCCTAGGGAGGCGCCCAGGGGGCATCCTCACCAGATGCCCAAACCACCTCAACTGGCTCCTTTCGACGCAAAGGAGCAGCGGCTCTACTCCGAGCTCCTCGCCAATGGCTGAGCTTCTCCCCCGATCCCTAAGGGAGACGCCAGCCACTCTCCTGAGGAAACCCATTTCGGCCGTTGTACCCGTGACCTAGTTCTTTGGGTCATGACCCATCCTTCATGACCATAGGTGAGGGTAGGAACGAAGATTGACCGGTAGATCGAGAGCTTTGCCTTCCGGCTCAGCTCTCTTTTCGTCACAACGGTGCGGTGAAGCGAGTGCAACACCGCCCCCGCTGCTGATCCTCATCCCGACCGCTTCACACTCGACTGCGAAACGCTCCAGTGAGAGTTGGAGGTCACAGACGGAAGATGCCATCAGGACCACATCGTCTGCAAAAAGCAGCGATGAGATCCGCAGCCCCCCGAACTGTAGACCCTCCTCCCCCCGACTACGCCTCGATATCCTGTCCATGAAAACCACAAACAAGATTGGTGACAAGGCGCAGCCCTGGCGAAGGCCAACCCCCACCGGAAACGCCTTCGACTTACTGCCGAGCACCCGAACACAGCTCTCGCTTTGAGCGTACAAGGATTGGATGGCCCCAAGCAAGGACCCCCTCACCCCGTACTCCCGCAGCACCTCCCACAGTATCTCTCGGGGGACCCGGTCATACGCCTTCTCCAAGTCCACAAAACACATGTAGACTGGATGAGCACACTCCCAAGCCCCCTCTATGATCCTGGAAAGAGTGAAGAGCTGGTCCGTTGTTCCACGACCAGGACGAAAACCGCATTGTTCCTCTTCAATCCTTGGTTCGACTATCGGCCGAACCCTCCTTTCCAGCACCTTAGAGTAGACTTTACCCGGGAGGCTGAGTAGTGTGATACCCCTGTAATTGGCACACACTCTCTGGTCCCCCTTTTTGAAGAGGGGTACCACCACCCCGGTCTGCCACTCTTTTGGCACTGTCCCAGACTTCCATGCAATGTTGAAGATGCGTGTCATCCAAGACAACCCCCCAACACCCATTGCTTTTAGCATCTCTGGACGGATCTCATCAATCCCCGGGGCTTTGCCACTGCGGAGTTGTTTGACTACCTCAGTGACCTCCACCAGGCCAATTGACGATGATCCCTCCTCCGCCTCCAGCTCCGCCTCCACCAAAGAGGGCGTAGTAGTTGGGTTCAGGAGTTCCTCAAGGTCTTCCTTCCACCGCCCGATAACCTCCTCAGTCGCGGTCAACAGGGTCCCATCCTTACTGTACACAGCTTGGATGGTTCCCCGTTTCCCCCTCCTGAGGGGCCGGATGGTCTTCCAGAAGCACTTTGGTGCCGACCGAAAGTCCTTCTCCATAGTTACCCCGAACTCCTCCCATACTCGCTGCTTTGCCTCCATCACGGCAGAGGCTGCTGCATTAGCACAATAAATGTTAATGTTTTCCATAGAAGTGTATCTGTGTTGTTATTCTTATTATTAACACCACGCTCTCACATTAAAAACGGTTTTACCTTTAATGCTTAATGTCCAAAAGCAACATGTGTAATTGTGTATTTTTCCCTACTTGTACTTTGTATAATCAGAGAGTAATAAATACAATAATCTGAGCTCAACGACAAATTTACTGAAGCACTAAATATAATGGTATTCATTCAAATTCTAAAAATGATTCTGGCTTCAACATCATAAGAAGTTGAGAAGAAGATTAATTAAATAGTTGTTGCCGTGGCAACCACAGCTGCTAATTCCCCGTGCATACAGTAAGTCTTTCATTTTTCCCCACGAGGACGTGGAAGCGGAGAAGTTTGACAGAGATGGAGGGTGAATCTGTCCACACAAACACCACATGCCAACATCACCGTATCTAATGGAAGTAACAAACAATTTGACGAGCGATGATTCGACCCCCTGTTCCCCCGTTCCCAGTCAGCGGCCTTGAGACTAAATTGTTAAACCGTGTACATTTTATATCCTGTGGATACGTCTTGTTTCATCTTCTGAGGTTTTCAGAAATCAGTCTCTTTGATTTCTGCCTCCAGATCCCCCAAGTACCGCCGTTCATTAATTCATACTTCTGTTAATTACTAATGTGGTGCGTCAGTCACAGCGGTGAATTCAAGAGAAGACCTTCATGATGTGGAGCTCTGCGAGAAAATAATTGTTTCTCCTCTGTGTTCACCCACAGACCCTTTAACCCCCCAAGGTCCCTGGTAATGAAGTGGCCAAAGGTTTTGAAGTGCTGATTGCTGTATTTAAAGCAAATTACACGAGGCACTTTGCTTTGTCTTCTCGCTGTTTAAAGGCTCAAAAAGCTGATTGGTGCAGTGACATGAACGCACACTGTTATCTGGAGGACACACACACACACACACACACACAGACACACACACACACAGACATGGCCACATGCAGAGGTGTTACCGCGGAGCTGCTACTTATCGTATAGAATACACATCTGCAACGGCCAGTTTGTAGCCCAGTATGGACAAACCAAACGATGATGACAGAGCGAGAGACCCCCTTTCACCTGCAGACCACCGTAGTTCTCCAACACGCTTGTGATGGATGCAATCTGCAACCTCACCACCACCAATGGAGGAGGAAGCAGCAGACGAGTGCGGCCCCCTTGACGCTGGCGTGTTACGCCACAGACCGATCTGGAAACAAAAGGGGAAAATGTCATGACTGGCACTTATTTTTTTAATATGTTTATATGTGTGTTGCTTTTTTATTCTTTTACTTTCTTACACCAGTTGGTGATTGAACAAAGACGCTGTTTAGTTTTATTCTAGTTTGTGTTTTCTATGATCAGCGAGATAAATGACTTGTGTCCGTCTGCAGTTAATAATGTGTTAATAACAAATCCTTTATTGTACATCCACTTGAATGTGATTGCTAACATATTTTAGCGAGGTGAGTGCGAAATGTTGAAATTCTTTCAAACATCAGGCCAGCATGTGGTGTTAATCATAATAATAATAATAAGACAAAGGCAGATGTTCTACGAAAAATATTACCATTTATTGTGTCATTTTATGGGATTGTTACCGACAAAATACATCAATTATCCACTGAAGATCGAAGTGAATTATAGACTTAGCGTGAAAATACGATTTGCCAAAACAAATAATGGAATCAGCAGCTTTTAGGAAACATGGAGAGCAAAACATTACTGTGATATCACAATAACAGAAATCCCTCTTTCATATTACAAGTATAGACTGTCATTTATTTTTTTACCGCTGTGGAAAGTAGAAGTTTAGGGCCGGAGCTGCTGACTCGTTGGAGGGACGCTGTGGAATCGGTGGAAAGGCAGGGGACGATAAAGTGCGTGAGACAAAGGGGACTACGGGTCAAACCTTTTATTAATCACTATCTGCCTCCTCTCTCGGGAACTAGTACAAGAGATTTAGCTGCACAGTCACAAGTTGGAATACGTGAGGGGCGATACGAGCAAAGGCGGAGCGCTAAACAATTCCGTATTTGGCCAGGTCGCTGAGCTCCATGTCCCCGAAGGCCTCCCAGGGACAGACCACGGTGATGTCCGTGCCCAGGCCCTCCATGCCGGGGATGTCGTCTCCGAACCTGCGTGGATCAGACGAAGAGAAATCGGCTGATCAGTACGAGATTTACGTGTGACAGACAGAGGAAATACTCTGTGTGTTTTGTGGGATCTTAAAGCCGTCTCACCCCTTCTGGCCGGGTTTGGGCGCCTTGCTCTTGAAAGTACGAGCGGTCCTCTGCTTGAACTTGGGAGGAGCCTTCCTGTCGGCGGGAACTGCAACGTCTGCCATTTTGATTGTTTACTGTGGAATAAAAAGAACAAACGTTATGACATCGGTCAGGAATTAATCTCATTACGGGCAAATCAAACGTGTCAACATTCGAACGTAACATCAAGGCAGGACGACATTCAGCATTGATACAGAAAGTGTGACCAGCGTTCAAAACTGCTCTGGGTTCATCCAGCGAAAAGAGGACATTATCAAGAAAACGAGAGGTGCCTCCAGCAGTGATCTACCAGCGAGGAGGCCCACGTCCAAAAGGCAAAGTCTCACATCTCATTTCAGCCATGACACTGGAGAAAAAAGCCTTGAAGTCGTCCCTCCGTCTGTGAAATTACATTTTATCAAAGCAGTACAACTCACCTTCTGTTGGAGTCCCAAAGTGTTTTTCTGATGCTGTCTGATGATCTTGGCTTGGTTCTCACTTGTGCTTTTCTCTCTCTGTCCGACTGTCCCTTTTTAAAGTCCTCCAGGCGGCTAATCCCATCAGATGGTGTGTGCCGTTGTCCCGTGTGCCGACTCTCCGTTCTCCTCTGGACCGGCTCAGCCTCGAATAGACGAGATAAAGCAGATGAAGATATAAATACGGGACATGTGTACCTGGAGTTACTGCCGATCTCCCAACGTGTGGGTCATCTTCTGCCCGTCAGTCACAATCTGCCCGTCAGTCACAATCTGCCCGTCAGTCACAATCTGCCCCGCCTCGGACCAGCCATCGTATTATAGTACAATAAAATATAATTTATCATTCATTTATCATCATTTAGGATTAGTGAACATTTTCTGCCTCACTACATTTCAGAAGGAAATATTGTACGTTTTCCTCAAAAAGACATGATATGCTTTTATATGATGCAGTATTATACTAGTTATCTAAACGCACATGTTTAAATGATGTCACTATTATTTATCACAGCTGTGTTGTTTCACATCTCCCGAGCAGTCTGAGTAAATGAGAGTTTATTAATTGTCACGTGGAGACTCAGGAGCAGCAATTTACAAATGTCACATATTAACAGAATGACTCAGACGCCAGCAGTCCTCAAGTAATAAAGCTCGGGACGGATTTACAATCTATCTGTAAACAAACATGTGCCTGATGCAACTGATACAAACCTTCTTCAGCATGTGATGTAAGACGAGGGAAGCCCTGAGCCCTGAGATCATTCACTTATGACCAATGCAGAACAGGACGCCATTAAGCTGTTAATCCTTCACCTCCTTCATAGCAGCTACGATGCTAACGCCCGTCCAGCCACCATGTTGCTGAAAGCTTTCATTTTCAGCCCTTTAATGCTAGAATTTGTCAGAACATTTTAAAAGAATCCCCATTTTTCAGCTTAATCAACTTTTTGAACGTGGCCGATGAAGCTCTGGAGTAATAATTCAATTAAATTGATCAATTTGACTTTATCTGGACTGTGCAAACGATTTAAACACTACACTCCCTCTTCTCCGTCTTATCTTTGCTCTCATCCAACAACTTACATGGTGACAGCAAACATCAGCCTGAAAAGATCTGGGAGTATTATACTGTAATACTTAGTATTATTTTATATTTATTGAGACATTTTAAAGAGACGAGAACACAATAAAAACAAAGCCGCTCATAGTAGCTCACTGTTCCTACAAATGAAAGTAACTGCCACTGTTTATGGATGAAATAAAGACAAACTTACAGGCATTTAACTCTTAAAGACTAAAGATCTGGTTTTGTGGTGTAACTTCCTCTGCCTTTCGTTTCTTCTTTAAGGTAGATTGAGGATGGATTTACCGGCTGTCTAAAGCTTCTCTGGTGTTTTCATTTGGGGAATTCTCCTGAGATCTGGACAACCGATATACTGTATATATAAATATATTATAGAAAATACAATTTCATGCAGAAACTTTTCTTTGAAAAATTCTGCACGCATAGCAAATGCACAGTCAAAGAAAAGTAGTACTTTTGAAACATGGAAGCTGGACTTTAATACCATGGTGCAGAACCCTAACCCATGAATGTTGATCACTGGAGTGATGCCTTTCTGGTGCGGGTCAGAGGTGTTGTCTCCACTCTCACGAGAAGGTCACATTCATGAGGCTGGACCAGCTGGCCGCTAACTGGCCGTAATAGGATCGGGATTTGTCCGTGTATGTCACTGCAGAAAGATGCCGTGTGCCAAGGATGTCCAAACAAGACGTGGACACACTCTGTGAGCTTTTGCAGCGTATTTTGTCGTTTGGATTTTGAGAAATAAATGTAGTTTGATTGATGATTGAGTATTAAAAAGTACAGTGAAGTAGTAAAGAATAATTTAAACAATTCCTGTCAATGTAAAAAAGAAATACTTAAGACAGCGGGTTGAAACATGTGTTTGTACATGATTGAGTATATTGTTTTAAAAAAGTCAAAATCTGCATCGTACAGTTTGAAAAAAAATTATAAATCCTCCAAAAAGCCCAGTAAAATTATATAGCAGAATTATATAGCAAAAATCCTGAATTCTTGACATTTGTTAAAAAAAAAAACTAAAAGTCTTCTATCTAAAAAATAATACACATGTTATTGTAGAATGTTGAAAAACAAAGTATAATATCATGAAAAAGTAATCGTAAAGTGAGTACCTCATTAAAAGGTTATACAGAAAACTATGGTACTATGAATGAATCTCTTTTATATAATAAGCGCAGTACGTCTTAGTAATGAAGGGGGGAGTCATAGATGACTGCTGTAATATTTTAATGTATTTCAATCCAGAGAGACTTGTTGAAATTTGAACAATACTTTATTATAACAGGTATAATATGATATTGCAAGTTGTTTGGGGCTTGGACTCCATCCTGCTGCAGGACAGACCCGGGGCCGGGATCTCGAGCCGAGACGAGGCACATCCCCCCCTTGGGAGTCCAGACACTGCTGGTGGTGGTGGTGGAGCCCAAGTTGCATAACTCTCCTGCTATGCCAGGTTCTGCTGTTGATTGGAGGTGTCAGGGGTGGTGGCGGGTCACCTTTGGGGGTGGTGGCGGGTCACCTTTGGGGGTGGTGGCGGGTCACCTTTGGAGCGTGCTGAAATGACAACTGACAGCAAAAGAGAGGAGAACAGTTTTTAACGTTTGCCTGCCCCAATGCGATTGGTTTACGGTAACGACACCCATGTCTGATACTACCCGACCCCGCCCCTAATCAGCTGGCCGTGCCCCCCAGGGAGAGAGGAGGCCCCCAGGGAACGTCCAGTCTTCCTGACTGAATTTTCGCCTAAGCTTCATTTAATTACGCGTTGGTGCGCTGCTGTGTGGAGGAGAAGAGGAATAAAAGGAGATCTGTTTATTGTCACCAATGCTTTCAAGTTATTGGACCTGTTAGGGATTTAAGCCAGAAGTGCACCCCTAGTCAGGGAATTATAGTACGTGTAATAATGTTTAGTGTTAGAATTATAGTTTGTGTGTTATTAGATGTTAGTTATTACATTAACATGTTAGATGAAGTGAATACAATGTGAATCAAACACAGTTTATAGTCATTTAAATCATATAAACACTGTACACATTAACATTCTGTCACAATGTGATGTTAAAACCTGGGGACGGATGCCAATTGCCGTTCTTTATGGATTTCTCCCAATTTTATCCCCAAAGAGGGTTTTTTGGGAGTTTTTTCTCCTGTCAGGTAATAAATGAACAACTTAATGTAAGACAGCCGACTGAGGCAAATGTCTTGAGAATTGGACCACATGAACTGTCTTAGATCTTATGATGAAGTGTGATGAACGGTGATCATTAATGATGGGTTGTTGTAATGAAAGTGTACTAGTTATAAGATGAAGACTTAAACGATGTATGCTTTGTTAAATTCACTCATTGAGGCATAAAGCCAACTGTATCTACATTGAGTGCATTGGAGTGTGAGGGACAGATGGACAGAGAGGTTTCAGGTTACAGCTGCAGCTTCACACCTCGACGTGAAGGGGACAGTCCAGGAGGGGACACTCTGAAGAAGAAGCCAATGACATTCAAATGCACCAAGGAAGACACACCTCAAGAGTTTTCAAAGGACCAAAGCGGGGAAAAGACTGGAAGAATTTTCCTGCAGCCGCTTTGATAAGTCGCTTCAGACTTGCTCAGAGGATTCTCTATTTCGCGAAATATTTTACTGTTCGCTTAGTATTTCACTTTGTAATTGTATCCCTTATAACGTTGTTTAGTTTTTAAATACTTTTTGATTTTTGAATTTAAGCAAGCTGAATCTTTTGATTCTTCGTTTCCAGCCGGGACGAGAACAAAGGAGTGAGGCCTCCCTCGAGGGCTTTCCGAAGCCCTACCAGAACCCTGGGAAGTCACTCATAGTGCCATTAAAACGCTGCTGGTTTGGCTGGTTGATGGACCACTTTAAGCGAAGGAGCGATCAGACTGGCTGCTCCGTAGCAGCATAGTTGTTGACAGACCGGACGACTTCCTCCATAATCAACGTAGCCAAGATTCTAATGAGAAAACCGCAGCATTTCCAGAAAAGAAAGCACGCTCATGTCCGACCTGAAGGTGACACCCCAAGATGAAGCTTCCACCTGAGGCCGTTAATGCCTCATGTGAAGGTTTAGTTCCATTGAGCCACGTTGCTGATGATCACGCAGACTTTCTGCTGTTCTTGCAGTTTGAGGTTAACGAAAAAGAAGAACTCGTTGAGTACAGCACGTGCTGCAGCGTCTTCACCAAAGCGCGTGTGCGATGCCCTTCTTAAAGCAGCAGGAGACAACAGGTACAGGTACAGGTGTCTTGTGTGGGTGATGAACACAGGGACTCTTTCAAATGTCAACTTTCATGCCGGTAGCTGGAATAATGATGTGGGCTTTAGCAGAACCCTTCCAGAGGAGCACCGTGTTCCCTTCAGACATGAGCCGTTACCTTTGCTTTTCTTGCATACTATTTTGTGCATATAGATAAGTATTAATGTTTTCACCTTTTTGACTGAATATTCTTTTAATCTGATATTATATGCCTTTTTATATCATTTTAGTACAGAGTATTCTGTTATTTATTGTTTTATCATCCTTTGATGACTTTTCCAACATTCAACACTGAACTTGTTTTGATCAATTGCATCATTGCTTTTCATGACAATTTTCCAACCGACTCTACTTTTAATGGCAGCCCATGATCTATTTTGCCACAGCAGACTGTGCTCATTTTGTGGATGACTATGTACTGCGATGTCTTTTTTGACATTTTTCAACTAACTATATGACTACTTTTTTTCAACGTAATATAATGTAGCGTGCCTTAAGTTCATGAATGTATTACACGAAACGTTACAATACTATGATTATTTTACCCATATTAAAGTAATTTTTTACACATATCCTACTTACACACTCGATATGTCTGAAGACAATCGGGATACAATGCGCTCTACAAACTGTACCATGACTTTTCTTCTCCCCACTGATTTTCTTCTGTCTTTCCCCATATGTGTCAGCCACCTTTTTATGTTGCCTTTGAAAACCCAACTAGAAAGAGAACGTATTAAAGAGGCACTGTGAAAGGAAACCTTGAAGGAGACATTTATGCAGAGATACAGACGAGCAGAAGCTATTTGCATGTGATTGAAGTGGAAATCTTCTTGGAAACTAAGAACAGAGACAGAAAAATAGTCAAAATGTTTGCGATTCCCCCCCCACATTACGTCTTACATTACCTCTGTGGGTCAACATTAACGCCCACTATATACTGTATCTGTGCGTTGGGTAAATGGCTAATATGGGAAACTTTCCCTAAAACCAAAGTTCACTATATTTACATTTCTTTTACTGAAGTAACAGTTTGAATTCACTTGTAATGGATTATTTTTGCCTCGTTTGTGTCTCAATTCAATACAACAAAACAAAATAAGTTTAGTGTAATTAAATTGAAAATAGGTTGAACAATGAATATATATTCATTCTTAGATTATGACATATACAAAGATTACTTAGAGAAGTTGCCGTCCTTCATCCGGCATCCTGCCTTGGTACTAAGCACTGACAGGTTCTCTTTTTTCGACAAAGTTGTCGCCAAATCGTGTTCTTTTGTATCCCACAAGTTCTTCATGAACACCTTGTTTGCACAATAGTACGTGGTTATTTGTGGGCTGTGATCTAAATCGTGTGTTCCCACCCACGAAGGGGAGTAAGTGTTTGTAAGGAGCTTTATTTAGTTTGGTCTTTGCAGACTAGCAGTGTCACTATGGACGTGTCACCGGTACCACCAGACGTCAGCTGATGACCTCTTTTGCAGTATTAGTGTCCCTGTTGCCTCCTTAAGCCCCATGTGAACACACATCCCCGATAATACGCTGGGACGCTTCACAGCTTCATCTTTTGTTTTAATCTTAGAGGACGTTTGTTGGTTTTTTGATCATTTACAATTAAGGATTCTCTAATTCCCAAATGCATTTTTTGCTTTCATTATTTCTCACATTAGACTACTTGCAATGAACATATTATGATATTTTCCTTGTAGAAATAACTTTAGGAGGTTATGTTTGTGTGTTTTCTTGTTTTTGTTATCTTCAATATTCTTTAGAACGATGTAAACAGTATTTGGGTTTTATTGAGGTGCAACAGAAGTTTAAAGGATTCAGACAGTTTTTTCTCATCTTTTTTTTCTGCTCTGTGGTCGACCAAACTATAACTCGCCAGAACTTTTACAGCAGATTCCCATTTCAGTTAGAAAAAGGAATCACTGAGTAAAACGTCACACTACAAATGAATTATTCCTCTTTAAGGAGTTTAATTTATAAGTTACAAATAAATACATTCATGGCGTGTTTTAACATCAACACATGGCTGTGAGCTGCTGTAAGTTATGTCAGGAAATGTTTTATTGTTGGTCTTTTATTCCTTTGGTCCTCTTTTATTGTTGGTGGTATCGTGGCAACATCGTCATGAATATTAATGAATGCTAGATGTCTTCTAAAATAATCTACAGTCAAGATGCTCACTTGCAGGGTTTGTGTCACTTAAGCAACAAAATCCTGGTGAAAATATTGATGATTTGAAAAATGTAGAAGTGATCAAAACTGAGATGACATATTTGGACAGTTGCATTTTATAGTGCAATATGTTTAGTAAATTAAAAAAAATATATATATATTGAACATTTTTCAAGGTACTCAAAGAGGATCTGTAACGAAAAAACAAGTATCCCACATAGATTTAGATTCACACCTGTACTTCTTGTGATAAAGATATTCCCAAACTAAATTGTGAGAAGTAAGCAGGATTTAGTGAGGATGGGAGCCGTGTCCCTCCTGTGGTCAATGTGCCAAAATGCATCGGTGGTCACATTGGCGGCGCTGCAGCCTGAGCTTTAACCAAAGCCTCAACACATCTCGACAGCAGCGTTGCTAAGAAGACTCTGCTAGTGAGACACAAGACAGGTGTGTGATGCTGCACAACAATAAAGGTCCGCTGGACCAACGGGGCTTGAAGGCCGTAACACACCAATGTGCAGACACGCACGCGGCCCCTGTGGCACAGTGACACGTAGTCCAACGTCCCAGCGACGCACTTATCAAGAGCACCTGGCTGCTTCCCATGCAGCAAACACGGCCATGTGGTGACCCGTGGGACACAGAGAGGAGTCCAACAGCTACAAAGTCGCCAGCACGTCCCCTGCTCGGTTCTCTTTTCCTGCCGCCGCGTCAGTGGAAACATGCTGATCGCTCTGTTTTTCTCCCTCCTGGTGTCTTCTGTCGTTGCCGCAGAGAAAGGTAACTGCTGAGTCTTCTTCCGTTCTTTTTTCTCTGCTTTCAGAGAGGAAATTTCAGCGAGAATACTGCAAATATACGATTTGTAGACTAATTTCACTAAAAATCATCTGTCCATTAATTGTCCCCAAAGGATGAATTCATATCATGTTGGGGATCCTCTGCCTTTACCACGAGCTTTACATTTACACTTGCAGATATGTAGCAATATTAATGGATAGATTGCCAATCAATTGAGTATCAATTCTCCCCTTAGGATTTTTTGATTATTGTTAATTATCTATTTATTTAGCAAACGTTGGATTGCAAACATGCAAAATTTCAGCCCGTTTGCAGTTTTTGTCGTTCCGTCCATAACCAGCATGGATGTGGACTCGGAATGTAAGCCGCAGTGACTGCACGCTGCATTGTGTGCGTCTCGTGTCTTTTGTGTCTCAGACAGTGTCCTTCCCAGACTGACCGACACCAAAGCCGCCGAGGCCTTCATCGACTCTGCTGAAGTGGTGGTCATCGGATTCCTGGAGGTCAGACATTAAAAAGAAAAACAAATCCAGGCCATGGGTTCAAATCAGCCTTTAGACGTATTTTAAACCAGCGCACATGGGAACATGCATGTCATGCATGTGGCGGACCATGATCGTGCCAATTAAGCCGAGAAGGAGACTGAGGAGGCTTAAAAAACACAGCATGTGTTTGCAGCCTGGTGTTTTTGATGCTGCTGTCACGAATAGATTTGGAAGAGGAATATTTCCTGCGGCCACACCTTTGGCAGCGCGGAGGACAGAGTGCGGCTAGCCGTCCCACGGGGGCCCTTTGGCCGGGCGCCGTGCGCGGGGGAAGACGGCGGGCCACTGGACAGGAAATGCATACGTATCTGAGGGCTTGTGGGATTGGCTTCACTGACCGTGTGGTAAACAAACGCAGGGAGAAGGTTCATGAGAGGAGGATGGAGGAGGGAGCACATGAGGATAACGCGTAGCAACGCAAGGCAACGAGAGACCAAAATATTGGTGCTGTGACTCACCGGGAATGAACACATATTACAGGCTGCGAAATGATCAAATGGATTGGCACAGCTCATGCGATACCGGCTCAGAATAGACATGACTCACCTTGCTTTGAGTTAGCTCCCGTCTCTTCCCTCCCCAGTGCATCCCTCTGCTTCTCCATTCCTTAACCTCGCTCTGCCACCCTCTTCGTTTTCCTCATTTACATTCTCTAGATGGAAAAGGGAGAGTTACAGCAGCCGGTTCTTGCTCAGCCATCTATTGGAACCAAGTTCTGCAGATTACAGTGGTTAAAGATACTACAGGCCGACGGTTATGGAGTAAAAATGGAAGTTATTAATTGCAAATCAGTACAGCTTCCCTTGTCATGGTATCTCAAAGTGCCGAGCTACGGATTAGCTAACTCTTGTTCCGAAGCAGGTTGTGCAAGATCCACACATTGTATTGCAAAAGATAAGAAAAGCTATCAAAATCATCCTGTAACTGTGTTTTTCCCCTCATGCGTCAGGGAGAGGAGAGTCCCGGCTATCAGCAACTTGTTTCAGCTGCAGGCCGCGTCCACTCCGTCCCTGTGGCCGTCTGCACGCACAAAGAGGTGTGGAGCCACTACGCTCTCTCCTCTGACACCATCGCTCTTTTCAGAAAGGTATTCCATCACCGCGAGCCGTCTGTTTCAACGATAAATGGGATGTTACCGGTCTCGGGGGGTCGGGCCCTGCGGACGGCTGGGGACCCTCACGAGGAGTCACGCGAGTGGGTCGTGGGTCTGCAGCTTGACCTTCCCTGATGGACAATGTTCGTTTAAAGGTATAATGTTGAACACGATTATTGTCCAGGGGATGAACATGCTGTACGTATCAGTGGGATCAATAAATCAGAATAGCTGGTGACAGACGTCTTTTGGATGGCGAGTTTTAAGATGGTGTTTACCAATGTTTTGTTGGACGATTATCGTTCTACGTATTGATTTTTTCTCTTTTACTTACTCGTTATTATGCTTTATCTGTGTTGTATAAACTTAAATAACTGTGTAATAGCTCCTTTGCTTTAAACATGAATTATGCACCAATGGCTGTGTCTTCTCATACATAATTAATGTGTCTTTCACTTTTTAACGATGACTAAAATGAGTAAGAATTTTGTGCGAATAAGTTTTCCTACATTTTCTTTCATTCAGCTTCAGTGTTTTTGAAGCCGTTAATTATTTAAAGAGGTAAAATTGTACAACATATTTCTGAATATTTACCAGTTTACCCCCCGAGTCACACACCAGGGATGTACAGGCCACAGAACGCCATGACCAGCTGCTCGGAATGCTCGGAATGCTCGGAATGCTCGGAATTCGGCTTCGTAATTCCTCAGTGAATGGCGTGGCTTCCTACATATTAGTTGTTTACTGAACTCGTGAATCTCACGGTTTCGTTACATACTTTACGACCCTGCACGGTTTCATGTAAAGATGACGTGTGTCATGTGATGCAGGCAGACAACCACCAGGAGAACCTCGTTATTGCCACAACCAAGAAGTTAGAAGCCGACGGCCTCGTGAACTTCATCAGCGTCAATGAGGTTCGATACATCACAGAGTACGATCAAGTGGTAGGTCCGACTCATCTGTGTAATAAATGACCTGTCTGTCAAACAAATTGTTCTTTTTTGGATGTTATTTAATCGCTAACTTCTTTTGTCTTAAGGAGATATTTTGTTGAATACAGGTACAACATTTGAAAAGAGTAAAAAAGCCCCTGAACAAATAATGGACCAAACTCTCTGTTCTCAGAGAAATACACACATATTTTATTTAAGCAAAGTAGCAACACAATGTAGAAATACTCAATTGAAGGTTATGCATTCAGCAAAAGTACCTAATGTGAATACTTTGTGTGGATGTACTTAGTGCCATTGAGCCACTATATATATATATGTATATTCAAAGACTATAGATGTTTCCACGGTTGATTTGGCAGTAAGCTGCTTGTCAGGGGAGAGGAAGGAGGTCGCGAGCCTCATCCTTCATGTTCCCTCCCTCCTCAGACCGCCGTGGGCCTGTTCAATTCCCAGGTGAAGACACACCTGCTGCTCTTTGCCAACAAAGGCAGTGACGGATACAGTGAGCTGAAGGGGGCCCTGGGGGCCGTGGCCCCTGACTTCACTGACAAGGTGACAACTGTCAAATGACTTCACCCGAACAACAACAGCTTCAAATGCAACCAAGTGACTAAATTATAGGAGAAGTTACATTCCATGAACTGTGTTCCAGTTCTTGTTTGTGCTGGTCAACGGAGCCGCCAAGTCCAACTCTCGGGCACTGGACTACTTCGGCCTCAAGTCCCAGCACCTCCCTCGAGTCGGTATTTACGATGGCGACTCGGACACAAAGTGGCTCCTGCCCGCTGGGGAGATCTCCACGGAGCGAGTGCGACACTTCTGCCTGTCCTTCTTACGGGGGGAACTGAAGGTGAGCCGAGTGATGTTTATTATAAAAGTGGGATTCGTGAGAGTTGAAAGAGACAGAAAACAACGTTGAAATAAAAAGAGCAGAATTAAGCTGAATGGCGGCTCTTGCTGACGTGGCGTGGAAGGAGAGCGGCAGTGAGCAAAGCTCAACAAGAATCAAGGCGCTTCGAGCCTCGCTGCAGGAACGCCCGTCGACCACATGCGAAGGCTCGGTGATTAATTACAACACAAAAGACACGAGACGTCAGTGTGTGGCATAAATCACACATCAGCACATCAGATATAACTGTGACCCGTAATGCCCGTAAAGGGCCGGCGCCAGACGCGAGAAAGGAATTAACGGCGAAGGATTTCGTGTATTTAAAATGCTCTCTTCAGGTTCTCCAACGGTTTCCAGCCAAAATGACCAAAAAGAAACTGTACTTTTCTCTGTGGCTCAGTTTGTGGAGCTTTCTGCAGGGCTGCTGTTTGCGACAGAGCGGCTGGAACTTCCCCGGACCTTCGACCATATTTGGCAAACGTGGTTCAGACACTTTTATTCGCATCGCCTAAGTTCACAAATTGGCCTCGAGGGGCTTTGGAGTCTCCACAGTAGACAGCAGTCTGCCCTTTGTCTTTTTCTCTTTGGCTCTTCTGATAAACCGTTTAAACACACACACATTCCTCTAAGATGGAGGAATAAAAAATCCAGACGTGGTGAAGTATCAGTGTTGGTGACATTGATGTCCTAAATGAAGGCACTTTTTAGAGATTCCCTCTGATGAAATCCGTTATTTGTGAAACGCTTCATAGATACACATGTGGATATTCACTCTCTTCAGTGTTTCACTTATTGCTCTTGTATGTTTTCTAGGAGGCGAAGCAGACGGAAGCCGAGGCCAAAGCAGAGCTCTAGGACTCGTAATCAAATGAATTCATGTGTATTAAATAAAACCACTGAGAGGAAAACAGACGCTGCTATGGCCGTGTTTGAGAACGTGAAGCCAAAGTGTCCATTTGCATGTTTGCATCCTCACACTGTACATGCGTGTGCGTGTGTTTGGCTTGTGGTCCGGTCAGCGGGCCACAGATCGCAGAGACCCGGCAGAATTTGTTAAATGTTATCGTCCGGACCACAACACACCGACCTTGGAGAGACTGACAGAAAGACGGCTGGGAAGACAGATGAGGACAGTTGACCGTCTCCCACTTCATCCCCAACAGAAAAGTGTGCAGGTCAAAATAAAGAATATCTGTGTACATTAAAAAATACCAGCGAGTGATGACGAGGCATCTCAGACGCAGCGATCACACAGCGGGAAGCAGAGCATCAAGTCTAAATATGCGACGTATAAATAAGACGTATTTAGCAATAAAAACGGGCGGGCTGAGGAGCGCAGACATCAAGAGTGAAAATGTGTGGGCTCGTCCCACAAACCTTCTCCTCAGTGGCAGACTTGATGGGTATAATTAGTGGTGTCGTACTGCCGAGCGGATGCATCCGGCGGAACGGGGAAAAGCCTGACAGGTGGACGTTCCCCAGAGGACGGAAGTATACAGTTTGTTTAGGAGACACGGCCGGGGTCCACGAGGGGCAGTGAGAGGACATCAACATTGTTATAGAGACTATACGGACTTACAGAGAGGGAGAGATCGCAGAGATCTATGTGTTACATTGTCTGTCATTTCGATAAATAAGTACAACTTCTAAAGAGTAAAAATAAGGTAAGTAAGGATCTTCAGTTAATCTGGAATTGTGTTTAGTAACAACGTTATTCACAAAAACTAAGTATTTCTCTTGGATTATCTGGAAATGTAAGAAACCTACAATAATATTTATGGTAATTAACTGGCAGCAAAGAAAGAATACCGTAGTGTCAAAAAATAACACATACATATATTTAATATAATTGGTGACTCTAAATTGCCCGTAGATGTGTGAATGTGAGTGTGAATGGTTGTATGTCTCTGTGTAGCCCTGCGATTGGCTGGCGACCAATCCAGGATGAACCCTGTCTATCGCCCGAAGTTGGCTGGGATGGACTCCAGCCCCCCCGACCCTGTGTGCAGGATAAGCGGTTTGACAATGGATGGATGGATGGATGGATGGATGGATGGTTGCCGTGGAGTATATCATTCATCACTTCATTAAATACATAATACTGTAAAACAGTATGCAGAATAATATGTGTTTTTCTGATGAAAATGTCACTTTTTAAAGAAACTGTCCATGTACATTACTCCTTAATGTGACAGCATAATCAATTTAATCACATCAGTATATCGACTATTCTTTCTGTACAATGCAGGACTTTCACCCATAGTGGAGTATTTTAACCGTGTAATATTTTAACTTAAATAAATGATCTCAATACTTCTTCTATTCTGTGGTGAGAACTAAGTCTTTCTTTCAACAACTCAACTCTCTCACACAAACGTCCCTGACTATTATTTACAGATTTCTTTCTTTTATTTCATGGGCCAAATCCTTCCATGAGGTCCCTCAGATCCATCCCACAGAAAACAACACTTTACAGCAGTAGGGTCATAATCATGGCTCATAGTGTTACTGTGGTTACTGACTCAGATAATAACTCAGTCCCATCCGTCTGATGAGCACAGAGTACTCAGTAAAATGTATAATACAGAACATTATTCTCGTATTTATTGCAAAAGATACGCACACACAAACGTCACAGGCACTTTCCACCTGCTCGCCTGTTATACGCTGAATTATATCGTCCAGTTTTATTAACATACTTTAATACAAAGTCAGAAGTCTCATCATTCAGTCGGTGTGTTACAAGATGTTTTGCGTTTTGTTTGTGACACACACAATCACCCACGCGCACAATGCAGTGATGGTTTGAAGAGAAAAGGGAAACCAGTCATTTAAAGGCTGCTTGTTGAGTGTATCAGGCCAGTGGAGGGAAACTGGGGGAGACAAAAGACGGTTGCAAAGAAGATTCTTTAACATTAAAATCCAAATTATATGTGAATAAATAAATAAAATAAATAATATATTTTTTTGTGCTGTGTAGTCCACTTTAATAGATAAACCTGGTGTTCACTAATAGAAATAATTTTATTTCTATAGTGCTTTTCATAGTACTCAAAGACACTTTACATTAAAACCATCAAACATTAAAAACCTAAAACACACGACTATGGTCACACGTTGTATCCTTGAGATGCCTCGGTGGCGTGTTAGTGTGGGTCCGCCGGATGGAGCTCTGCTCTACAACTGCTACTTCAAGGAGGGGGAGAGATATGTGACCCATGACAGATATACACATACAACGGTTATGTTGTAAAGTCAAGGATCAAATGGCAAAATGTTTTTTAAAATAACCCTCTAAGCTCATGCAAAAACACACCTTCCAACTGTGAACCGATGAGTCAGATTCTCACAATAAAATGCAATAAGAAATGTGATATATACACTGCAATACATTGTTTTTAAGCATTAAAGTATGAATTCAAATTGAAATAAGAAACAACCAACAACCCAAAACAGTCCCAGTCGCTCTGCTGTCCTCAGACAAGCTGCTGAAATGTTTTGTCCTGCATTTAATCACCTATGATAACTTGTGCCTCTGCTAGTCGATCTTCAGTGGAAGTGCTTGGTAAAATAAATGTAATATTGTTTCATGAAGTCGCAGCGAGCCGATGTAGCACCTTGTGAAGGGACGTCATGCGCTCCCTCCTGAAGATACGGCCGTGTCTGTAAGGGCCGATATCGTTCATCTTTATAGAAGAAGATAAGAGTCGACCAACTTACGCTTTATAGTGTTTTTGCCACACAGTGTGCGTTGGTGTGTGAACGCTGGACAGGAAACAGAAACCCAGACCAACAACAAACAAAAGCGAGCGCTCCTCATTGCCAAAATTAAGTGATTTCAAAATGTCTGGGGCAGAAATGGTCCAGACACTTTATTTCCTGCCTATTCAGGGATGCTGCTGGAATTGTTTTCTCCACTCAGATGCAACCACAAAAATGGACACTGAACCAGACATTACAATTACACAGCACGCGGTCCAAGACAAACCCCTGACACCAGGAATAACGCCAGACTATATGAAACACCAAGGACACCAGGGTCACCCTGCAGCAGCGCTGAGCTCCGGCTCACTGTCAGACGGATGGAGCGGTTGTACACATGCATACGTGCACGAAGGGATATGTGTGCACGGACCTTGGATTGCGTCCAAGCTGCAAACTCAAAATACCGTCTTTGTTGGAAGGTCGTAAACCACAGCTGAAGCCACACTTCAACTGTGCTGCACAAACAGAAAGCTGCATCCAAACCCGCGTACATAATGCTCGGCATCCAACACGTGGGACCTGCTTATATTTAGTCTATATATCTGCTGAAATACATCCAGCGAGGCCGCGTCCTGGGCCACCGGTTGGCATCGGTAAACCGTGACTGCTTCTGGCCATGAGCTCGACCCAGATGGATCTGTAAATAGTGACTGGCTGCGGTTCTGCTGGGACTCGGCACTCCAATTAAGCTCTGTCGCATAATGAGGCGCACGGCCGTCCCGTGCCAGCCGATTAGTAGCCTGTGGTCGGGCCGGGCTATAGTTTGGGGTTTGTGGGGGTGGAGTGAACTGGCAGGGTTGAAGAATCAACCCTTCAAAGGGTCACATCCGATTAAAACCCAATCGCATTTATGGGTATTTTGTAGAGATCAGCACCACCACTGGTTTGGACTGTCCAGGGGTTCGTGGCATTATTTGTACCCCAGTGATGAGGGGTGAGGAATGGAAAGTCATTTCAACTGCGATTTACAGGATTGGTAACAACGAGTATGAAAATTGATTCGCTTTGACTTGGGAGAGTGATTGACAAGGAATGACGCAATAGGCCAGAGTTCCAGAACGTGAAATCAGTAATTCCCACTGAGACGTTAAATAGCTGCGTAGAATTAAGGGTTGAACATGCGTAGTACGTTTGCGTGTGTGCGTGTGGAGAATGTCACTCGGTTTGATTTGGATGGGCTTTAATGTCGACGTACATGAGCACATACATGTTTACATGCAGCTCTGTGCGTACAGTTCAATCCCAGGAATGTCTGTGGCCGTTGAAACGTTCTGCCCGGGTGAGCAGGCTTTTTGGACCCTGTGCCAGGGCTGCGTGGGTGTTAAAGGAAGCCTTCACAACAAGTGGAAGCGGAAACGTTGACATCTGATTCCCCGGCCAATCAGAGGGCGATCTCTGCTCCGAGGAAGGAGGTGGACTTGAGTATATATTGACCTCGAGTTGGGGTGAAGAAACAGATCAAGGAAAGAAGAGAATCGAGAAACCCACTTGTCCACAGAGTGAAGCTGACTGCGCCGCACCATGAAGACTCTGACCCTCCTCTCCATCTGTGCCCTTCTGTCTGTGAGCTGCTCCATGGGAGGTAAGGTCAAACTCAGGTTGACCTCTGTGTTGTGCCCAATGTAGGCGCCTACAGTTTATCTACAAACGGGTTTTTTTTTTTCTGTGATTCTCCAGGTTTTGAGCCAGATGTCGTCGTGGACCTTGCCGACGACACAGCGGTTGATTCAGACGCCGCCGACCTCGCCGACGCCGACGTTGCTGACCCCGCTGACCTCGATGACCTCGATGACCAGGCTGACCCCGATGACCCCGACGCAACTCCCGCATCGCCAGCTTCGGATTCTTCCTCAGACTCTTCTGCGTCTGACTCAAACTCCAGCTCCGACTCTACTTCCTCCTCCGAGTCCTCCGAATCGTCCTCCTCCGAGTCCAACTCAGCATCCGACTCTTCTTCCTCTTCTTCATCCTCTTCATCCGAGTCAGTCAGCGAGGAGGGTACGAATACGAAAAAGAATCTTTGCACGTCTTCAGAAATACTTAACGTTTGACTGTGAAAGGAGAAAAGAATATCGCTTGATAAAAGTAATGTTCGATGTTAGTCCCCACAGAGCCTGAGCCTGAGCCTGAGCCTGAGGTGATCATGAAGAGGGACCTGGCTGCCGTCCTCCTGAGGAGAAGAAGAGCTGCCCCAGCAGGAGACCTCTCGCCCCTGCAGCTGGAAAGGTACTGCTCTGTGCTCTGATCTCTGTTCTACCTGAGGCTCATCGGCTGAACTTGGCCCTTCTGACCTCGCCGCTCTCCTCTGCCCTGCAGCCTGAGGGAGGTGTGTGAGTTGAACGACGGCTGTGACGAGATGGCCGAGACCGCCGGCATCGTCGCCGCATACGTCGCCTACTACGGAGCCGTCCCCTTCTAAGACGAAGGCCCCGCGGCCGGTTTACTGCGTCCTTCTGTAACAGAACAGTCCAGCAACTCCCCTCAATCCAGACAAGGAGCAGACAATTACCTAAATCAAATTGGAAAAAAGGTTTGGCCCCCGTTATAGATGGAGATTATTTGTGTACTAACCGCTGCACAGGTGACCGGCTCGAATGGTCGTGCAGGAAAAGGCCCGTCCAGGCTTTCAGAGAGAGGCACATGAAAGCGTGTGACATGCAGTCGGTCACACAGGATTCATTTATTCTCTCCGTCTGCAGTACGATGCAATGAATGGTGCCACCAGTGAGGATGTAGTGTATGTTAATGTATTGTTATTTGTTTATGTTGTGCTTTAGTGTTACTTTAACTAAAAGTAGTTCTTCTAAAAAGTAGTGGATGTAGTAATGAGGTCCTGCACTTCCAGTAGCAGCATATTGATAGTGGTAGCTACAGTGTGTGTACATCAGTTATCCATAATGACTGTAACCACTAATGGCCTCTGGGTTTGAAAATAATAAATTATTTTGTAATGTCAAATGGTTTGTCATGTTCTTAATTTCTAAAATATTTTGAGGCAGCTAAAGTGAGAATAACGCTACGGAACAGGTGATGATTTCCTTCTGGTTCGTCTCTACAAAGGACTCAACTATCAACTATCAATGTGAATATTGCTTATTGCTGCTGTAACTAAGACACGTTCTCCTGAAGGATTGGGATGGATTACCTCTCGTAAACATGCACAATACAAGTGGCAGCCAGTGATGCAGCGGGACGCTGTTCTCTCACCGGCCACCAGATGGCAGAGTCGGTGACTCATCTTCCTTTCAAACGGAGAGAACCTGAAATGAACCCGACCCAATATTATATTACTTCAATCATTCATAGCTGGAAATTAATATTCAGATTCAAATTGCATTGAGGTAAAAAGGAATATATACGATTACATGACTGCTTATTTTAAATAAGTGATTCTAAAAACACGTCATTGGAAAAATAAGACCTCAGTCAGTACATTTCATTAATATAAATAAAATATACAAAAATATTACGAAACAGTTCTGAGAACAGCGAAGATACACAGGCTGTAAGCATCATTGTTAGTTGTGTCGTCTGCTCAATCGCAGCCCATCACGCCCAAGGGTGCATTTCTTTATTGTTAACAGATACATACTCTTTATTCCCTCTGCGTACCGAGAGAGAGACACAGAAAGGGAGAGAGAGAGAGAGAGAGAGAGAGAGAGAGAGAGAGAGAGAGAGAGAGAGAGAGAGAGAGAGAGAGATGATTGTACCAGCTGCAGAAGTTCAACATCAGCCTGATTGCATAAAGTGTGACGAGATTCACAAATCCAAACAGGCTGCACCACACAAACTCACTCATGTTGATATTAGTTGCCACTAAATACATTTTTACATGTTGGCAAGTTGGAAAGTGGGCAAAGCTGCGTGTCAACAACAACAACGCCATTCCAACGGATCATCCAATCAGAGGGAAGAGTAGAGAAGTATTTTGAAAAACACATCTGACCAGACGCTAGACACATTAAAACGTTTCTTAATGATGGATGCCGAGAAGTTCTTAATTCACACCACATATCCTGACATTCCTTGAGTTGAACATAATGTACTATGCCAGTAACCTTTGAATAATACCTTTATGTACTCATATCAAGTACCTCTAAAACCATAGAAAAATACTGCATGTTGTAATTGAAAGTCCTACATTCATTATCCTACTCAAGTAAAAGTAATCATGTATTACAGGGAATATTTCTTTCCCCCCCTCGTTTATAATCCATCTCGTGCCGTTTGCATGACAGTCGGTACCAGTTTCCTGGAGCGCTGGCCGGGTTTAGTGGCCGGGTGCTTCACAAACGATGAAAAGGTCTCGATAACGTTTATGATACTTTAAGATAAGGAGCGTGTTTGTCACTCTGAACTGTACACTCAACTTTTTTTAATCAAAATTCTTCATTCCCAACATGCTTTACTCAGGTGAAATCTTCAGATAGGAGAGCAATAACTAGTCCCTTATCACAGCCAACGTACACGGTTAAATACAGGGTGGACCTGTTAAGGGAAACGATGACTCAAGTGGTTTCTGGGAGAAAAGTTCTAGTCAGTTTTTTATTCAGATATCATTTTGAATCTTTTGTTTCTGAAGCGTTCTTATATAGACAAAATATACAACTCAACATTTACATGGAAAGTTAATAACATTCACATGAAACACAATTCATCTAATTACAAATGACATATTCCTTGGATACAATTATCCGTCTCAATTACAAAATGTATTTTACACCTTAAAACGATGTGTTACGGTTCTCAATGTGTCTTTTTCACACTGTAGGAACCGGATGTCCTTCGTCTCCGGCCTTTGACGGACTGTCTGCGGTCTTTCCCAAAGACTCACATCAAACAAGATTTTCTTAGTATTGCCAAATAAATTTGCATCAGCTATAATTTACCGTTTATTCTTTGCACGACCCATCTGGGCCACACGAGAGACGGTGTGTTGTAATGGCCGCCGTACATTGTGTCTGTTTAACTGACGAAAGGAAACATGAAGTATTTAACATGCGGACTCCTTTCAAACAACACAAGCTGAGAAAAATAAGTTCTGTTCCACTGAATATTTGTGCACAAAAACCAAGGTGTCATGAGGAGTTTGCCATTTTAACAAATAAAATGTAATACAACCTTTGAATTGTTCTGTTCTTTCAATAACAGTTGTCCATCTGTTTACATACACAAACATGTATAATGGTTTAAATGGTTATTTATCAAGGATGGCATGTATATTACATAGATATAGTTAGAAACTCCAATGCTACACAAACCCCCTGATCATCCCACCCTGACGTGGACCTCCTCTATTGGCTCGGTGAGGCACGCTGGTGCGTCGAGTTAATGCTCAACATGTTGCCGTTCTCTTGGTTTGCTAATTAGAAGATATCACTTCAGATCAATATCAGGTTCCGTTTGAATATTTACGTCAGTAACCATAAATAAAGAATATCTAACTAGACAAAAGGAATCTTTGCGAGTTATTTGCTCATCTTGAGGAATGTTCATTCGCTCTGCACGCTGGTGTATTGGCTGAACACCAAAGAACATGTTGAAGTCGGAGCCATTTGGATACAAGTTTAGTATTAATTAACGTAGATGAACAAACGATGGAAAAGCCATTTGTTGCGGAAGCCAAGTGGCTCGAGGTTTGGAAACGCAAAAGATGTTCGCCATCCCTGTCTTTTCAAGGTCACTTGAGTGAACACCCGGCAGGTGACCCAGACAAACCCTTTCCAGCATATTATTTTATTTTCCTTTATCTTATGCTTTGAGAGTTGAAATTCCCTCCATAACCATTTCCCATCTTACATTAGAGCAAAAACATAAATATTAAAGACATAATATTTTTCAGAGTTTTGCTGAAATGTGTCTGGTCCTTGTCCTTTGACCGATGCACTTCACTGAATTATACAGAAAGAGTCACACGTGTCACATGTATATATATCATATCTCAGAGATGTGTCATTTTTAAAGTCTGTAGGTCTAAATTGATCTCATTTTCTACCTCTTTCTCTGCACTCATTGCAGGGTTATCATAAACCTCCGTGTGAGATTTACTGTTGTTCTCCAAAGATTCTGTCTCTCCGGTTTCCTTGTCGTCATCAGCAAACTGGCAGCATTTGCAGCAGCAGCAGCATTTGGCGGTAAACACACCAACCACTTTGTCCCAGGGGGAGAGCGAGTGAGCCCACAGAGGGAGGAAGTCCCAGGACCGCAGCGCCGCAGGCAGAAACCCCGGCTTCCGTTTCTGCAGAATGTTGATCGCCACGATGACGATCGCCACCATCACCAGAGGAGCACCGACGCCCAGCAGAACCTTCCAGCCAGCCAGCGACAGGCTGAAGATGACGAGCGGTAAAATGAAGAAGAAGGAGATGATGTAGACGGCAGCGAACCAGCGGTAGGAGGCTGTGATGTTGCCCAGGCCTTTCGCCAGCCGGATGGGGAAGCGGGTGAAAGGGATCGGATACCACAGAATGATGCCAGAGATGTTGAACAGGAAGTGCACGAGGGCAATCTGGAGACAGCAACAAAAACTTTATTGGTATGTTTCACTCATTATTTATCCCAATAACTCTAATAATAATAATACACTTTTTTACTTCAAAGGTCTGTAAATTCACACTAATTTCCTATTAAGTTTAAGTGAGAGAACTTTGAACGTGGATGTTACATTTAGTACCTGATAAGCATTTAATTGATACACTTTAGACTATTTATTCTAATCCATTGGACCGCAAAACATGTACAAGACTGCAAATTAGTCAAAAGAAGACAAAAAAGGATTTCATTCAGTTGAACTGAAAGAAACCATCTCTTATTTTGCGCGTGGGGACGTTCGTACTGAAGTGACTGACCTGTAGAGCATTGCCCAACGTGTCTCCTGGACTGGCCATGGCTGCCAGGATGGCTGTGGTCGTTGTGCCAATATTTGAACCCAGAGACAACGGGTATGCTCTTTCTATGCTGATGACACCGATACCTTATTAATGGAACAATGGGTGAGTTTGTGTGCTCTTCAGATACCGCTCAACACAACACAACAATGCTTCACTGCTTTTAAATATCACCAGAGAGAATAAGAAACAAAGAAACACAAGAAAGGCAGAATAAAGATTTCTTTCAAGAGCAAAATGGTACATCGACTTTTACAAATGAAAAAACACAACAGATGGATGGAACGGATGAATGAATGAATGATTGACCTCACCAACAAGCGGAGTAATGGCCGATGTGAAAACCGAACTGCTCTGCACAATGAAAGTCATTCCAGCTCCAACTAAAATGGCAACGTAGCCGATGACCCAACCAAATGGAAAAGGGAAATCTGCACGAAACAGACAAAGAGACGTTGGAGCGTTACCAACCGACACGGTCACATCGAGGCCATTGCACGCGGGTTTGCTCCTGACCGGTGTTGAGGATCTTCTTGATGACTGCAGCCACCTGTCCCTTCAGCATGGAGTTGAGCAGCTTAACGATCAGGACCAGGCAGGAGCAGAGCACCAGCATGGCAAGAGCCAGCAGAATCAGACCCACCGCCAGGTCGGACAGATTCACGTTCACAAAGAGATGCACACCTGTGGACGCGCAGAAACACACAGACTGTACTCACTGTGGAGGAAAGCAGGCGATTAGGCTTTTATCGTTCTTATTTTGAAACTACACACAAATGTTTGGGTTTGTTTTTTTGGCCAAATGGAGGCAGAATAACTAATAATCAAAAATAAAATATGTACTGCGACATTCATAGTGTCTCTTTGTATAGTTGTTATGGAATGGGGTCAATTAATAAACATAAAAAGTATTGAGCACCCGGTTCTCCATGTTGGGAACATTATACATTTTAGATCAAAAACAAAAAGAGTAAAACTACTATGACTCTTACATTTGCGAACATTGTACGTTTGGGAAATGTTCTTCTGTGTGAAGGTGTAGTTGCCATCGAACCAGCAGAGATCCGGAGACGTGCAGTTCTCTGGACCAGGAACTGTGACGTTCACGATGGTCTGAAATGCAGCAGTGGTTTTACAGTTGACATTCAAATCTTCTCGCCTGTTTGAGACATTTGGCAGGTGGCTGACACGGTTTGGTCTTACTGTGTTGATAAAGGTTTGACACCATTTCTTGATGAGGCTCTTGTTCCTGGCTTCTGGTTCTCCAGTGGCGATCCCACTGATGACAGACTCATCCAACTAAGTTGGAGGGAAAGAAGCTTTAATGGGAGATGGTGGGATTTTATTGCTGTGATACATTTCATTTCTTTTGAAGAAGCTACTTTAGAAGTTGAACAGTGGCCCAAATACTAAAAGAAACACAAAGAAAATCTGCATCAACCAGACCGCTGGTAATGTTCACCGTCTGTGATAAGCTCAGTGACCAACCAAAATGTGGCACACTAAATGAACTATACTGTCAATGCCGCTAAAAGACACCTACATGAAGTGATTACGATTATCGATCTGTGCTCTTTGAACTTCGTTGACTTTAGTTTCACTTTGACTTGGTGAGACGAGACGAGTATCGTAACGAACTGCTTCACGCAACATGAATCATATTCAATTGCTGGGCTGCTCTGATATTTTGCTTGAACTTGAATATAATACATGTCATGTTTGATCTGCAAGTGAAAGGTTAGAGGTTTGATTTGGGCATAAGGTGGGATCAGCTCCAGACAACTTTGTCACCGCTTAGTGAAATTCTCTCTGGATCATTGCATTTCTAAATGTTCTTTTGAAGAACCAAAAAGCTTTGTACCTGTATGATTGACTCGGTGACGACATCGGTGATCACACTTAACAGGGCAGGGGCCTCTCCACTCTCAATCTTAAAGGAGTCAATGATGAGCTTGGTGACCACGTACATATAACCCGTGGCGACTTCAAGCGGCAGCAGCACCAGCACAGAGAGCCAGTTGAAGAAGTCGTGCACTGTGGCCCCTGCAAACGCCCTGGGGACATGAGGCAAATAACACGGCAACTAAAACTATTTATACAGCCAAAGTAATTCCCACAGTAGCTGTAGTTAGTTTTCACATTAACTTTGCTTCAAAGTCCTCCCGTTTCTCTGCCGTGAGGCCTGAACAAAAGCCTGTCCTAGAGTACTTTATCTTCTCTCCATCAATGTCAATGATTCTTATTAGGCGATTCTCACAATTCAAAGTTTTTGTTTGTGTGTTATAGTGAGTATTTCTTTCCCAGTAACATATAAACAAAGCAATGAGTAGTTACAGTTATTACACACGTTGTTTATGATGGGCCAGAGGCCCAAAAGACAGGCTAGGAAGCTGAGGCAAGAACAGGTAGGATGTTTATGGTGAGGGGAAGCGTTTTGCTTTGTGCAGTAGATATTGAAGATGAATCCGTAGGTTGCACATTCTGTATATCTTAACCCATTGCAGCAACGCAATAAAAAAGTGTTTTCTTTGTTCATTGAAAGCAGGTATTTTGGATATATCATTATTCTAAAGAAGTTATCCAACTTAACTGTTGAACTCAGTTGTCCTGATGCCTATTTTTGACTCGCACAGTAATAAATCATTATTTTATCAGGCTTGTGGTTGTGTAGAACAACAATTACCTGCGGAAGACGCTGCGGTCGCCCGCCTGCGTCATGGCGACTAGTGTGTTGGTCACAGACGTGCCGATGTTGGTCCCCATGATGATCGGAACAGCCAGCTGGACCGTTAGCACTTCCAAAGCAACACATTTCTTCTTCATCATCAGTCGCACTCCACACCTCCGACATGATCACCATTCAAACATTCTTTGCATGGATGTGTGTGTGCGTATGTGCACATGTGTGTGTGCGTATGTGCACTCACATCCAGAGGAGACCATGCTGACAACTATGGAGGAGGAGGTGGACGAGCTTTGGACCAGCAGGGTGACCAGAACACCAATGACCAGACCAGCGAGGGGGTTGGCCAGAACCGTGTTGTCCTGAAGGATGTCGCCTGCTGCTTTACCTTCGCGTGGTGAAAGTAACACCACGTGAGTGCACTTGCTTTTGATTGATTTGTATGATTTTACTGGGATATTTGAATGGAAACACGCCATCGTTCGTGTTGTCACAATCTACTTTTTCAACTATGTCAAGTCTCAGTGGTCCAGTTCATCATCATTACACGCACAGTAGCTCCGGGCAGATGTTGGAGTGTTTACCTCCAACGAGCTGGAAAGCTGAGCTGAGGATGTCCAAAGAGCAGATGAACAAGTAGAGGAACCCCAGCAGCAGGATCAACTTTAGCACCGACACCAACACTCTCAGCGCCTTCCCTTTGGTGTCCAGAGCTGGGACAGAGACAAGGCGCCGAAACAAACAGAAAACATTATCATTTGTAAAGACAGGATTAATCGATGTCATCAAGTGTCTCATTAAGGTGAATGAGTTTGCCAGCGTGCAACCTGGTAGGACATTTGAACTTTTTAAATATTAGAACCATTGGTTGAGGCTAACTGGAAGCAGTTGGTGCCTTCAGTGTGTTGGCACGGGCCAGCTGGCTGCCTGGCTACTGTCTTTATTACATCCATTACCATTTACGATCTCTGTGCCTTCTAAATACACAGAACATTGGCTCTGATGTTATCTGCTGTCTCCGCAAAATCCCCAAATACTTATTTGTCCTTTGACCTGCGGGGCTGTTCATGAATCTAGACTGTTTTGGAGTGATTTGCGGAGTGTTGGAGATATTGGTTGTAGTGACGTCTGGCACCCGGCCTGTAGAACTCAGAACGCCCAAGAAGTACATTTGAAAAACTCGACGGCCACGTGTCTTTCTAGAAATGATTGCCAGGCAACTCAGAGATAATCCACCTAGTTTATTGGAAGCGGTTTCATCTAGGAATAATTTTCTTTTATGGATAGTTGTTAGATCAAAAATAAGGCAGAAGGTCAATATCTCCAAAAGGAATAAGCAAAGAAGTCACATCAATTCTACCTTGACTTGATAATGGTGGGATACTTTTTATAGCTCTATAAGAGGGAGTTACATATCATGTGGATTGGTAAGCGATTTATAGCTATGCCTTTAATTCTTGGAATGCACCACAACAGTGCACTCGATAATAGGTTATATAATACATGCTATATGGGAGACTTTATCATATCTGTTGTAAACCTGTTAGTAGTTGTGTAAATGTATTACTTACTAACCACGTACATCTAATCAGGAAAGCCATGCTTCTTTGTAAAGTACACGGATAAGACAACACTTGTCCTCATAGTAACCATGGACCTCACCTGTCCATGGGACCCCGGTGTCTTTCAGCTCGGGCAGGTCCCACGGGTCTGCGTCCTGCGGCTCCCCCTCCACCAAAGCTACAGAATGAATCATGCACTTCATCATGTAACTTATCTGTATTCATCAGTGGCCTTCTGTTACGTTTGGGTACAATATGAAATTACCGTTGCTCGTTTTTTCATGTCTCTCATTGTGGTCTTTGCCATTGTTTTGAGCTGCCGTTGGCTACGGAAAAAAGGACACATTATTTCAGAATCAGAAGCCATTTATTGCCACATATGTTACCCATAGAGGAATTTGTGTCGATGATTGGGGCGATGTAAGAGTAAAATAGAATAAAATAATATAAAAATATAAACAAGAAGATAAGTACGATAAAACGCGTATGTATGTACATGTGTTTCCATGGGGAGAGAAACCACTGTGTTTGAGGGTTTAATAATTCTATAATGCTGTATATCTATAGTTAATAATGTTCCCGACATTTTGTTTGTCACTGTTTTGTCTAAAATGATTCTATCCAGGACTTGAATGGCAGTAGACGCCTCTTAGGATGCTGAGGGAGGGTTGATCCATATGGCATACTGGTGGTTGCAATCAGATCATGTCATTAAACGAAAAATTATAGTTTGGCTACGAGAGCATCGGGTTAAAAAAATACCCCATGCCACACACACACACACACACACACACACACACACACACACACACACACACACACACACACACACTTTCCCCTCACATGCCAGGGTATCGATCTTATCGTCACATGGTTCAGCTCCAGTAAAATTCCATTCACAACAGAACGACACAGAAAGAAAGCTACACTTGATTGATACATTTACCTAAAGTTATTTTTGGACTTTTTTTTGGGATTTTTGTTATTTGAACGTATTCATTACAATTGATTCCATTCTATTACATATATATGCACTAATATTAATATAATACATTTTGTATGTTTGATTTTTTTTGTATAAAATATAAATACTGTATCTCTTAAAGACATGACTTCTACTTCATGAACCCAAAGATACCTTCAGTTACGATACTAAAATATATTACTATCATAATAGTAACAACGCAGTTAATCATTGACAAATTAAATTGGTATATTTGTAAGTCCATTCCACTAATAATCTTAATAACAGCAGTGATGCATTTGTGCCTAATGTGCTCTTTAGACATACCATTACACATATAATAATAGAAAATCCATATCCAATCCAGTTTTCAGGTGACAGCTGTAACACAGCTGATCAATGCAATGAGAACAGAATCGAGCGCTTGGCCTCACCTGTGGCAGGTGTAGCGAGTCCATGCTGCCTGTGTGTGCTGAGCTCACCTGGGCGTCAGGTTTCCAAATGACTCCTCCACGCAGGTGGTGAAGAGGTTGAAGTGTGGGCTGTGGGTGGGGGATCCGCTCAGATCAGAGGACAGTGTGATGTCCACCGTTTACATCACCAGGGTCACTTCCGTCTCATTGATAAGCACACCCTTTAAAACCTTGATTGTTCTAACCAGACACCGTTGTAATCTGTCCTGGGTCATGTGTTGCAATCCATCACATGGCACGTGATCGGTTCTGAGCTGGTGGTGTTGATACCGTCACCTGCACTTACACTAAATTGTAGAGTTTACCTAAACATCTCAACATAAGGATGTGATACGGTTCTATTGTCTGTTAGATTATTTTGCAAAGTCCATTTTAAAATACAAAAATTACTGCGTTACCTAAAAGAATACTTCTGAAATTGATGACAGCTCCGTCCGGTTGACCGCTGGGAAACAGTGGCAGAGATGACAGCTCGCCTGGACCCGGTTAATTCCACTAACAGATACACCACATGGGTGTGTGTGTGTGGGTGGGGGGGGGGGGCGGTTGCCGGATGTGTACTGTGCCCTACAGACCTTGCGTATGTGGCAAAGGTCTATTTCTGGCACACAATGTGATTTTTTTGGGAGGAATCTATTGATTCTCTTAATACAACCACCCACTGTTCAGTACGCCACGTATTCATGTTCCACGTTTAGGCCTTACTACTGTTCATGATGGCTGGGAGACCTTAGAGGAGAGAAAGTCAGCCCAGGCCACACAGATCCATTGAATTTCTATGGAAAATGTGGCCTGACAATTATAGGTGAGAGCGTAATGTTTCACTGCTTCTATCCGTTTATCTCTGAGTGGCACTCAAGTGTCCTTTTGTGAACATGATTAATCAACAGCGTATGTCCTCGTGAAACGCCTACATGCTTGATTTCTGCCTTCATACAGTGTATATGAGGTCAGCTGACCAGTTGCTTCTGAACGTTCCTCGGCCGTGGCGGCTCCCACACTGTGGAATGCTTTGCCGTTTCATGTGCGGAGTTAAATCACCTGGATTGGATCTTTTACTTGTTTGCCTTTTACTGTTTTGCTTGTTTGTTGTTTTACTTTTGCTCGTATTGTTTATTATTTTATCCTGTAAAGCCCTTTGGCTGGCCATTGGCCTTTAAACGTGCTATATAAATAAAATTGACATTGACATATACATAGTTGTCAGTACATTAAGTACGTCTGGCCAAAAGCAATGCAGTGTAATGCAGCCTTGCATTAAAGGACAACCAGAGTGGAACAAGGAACCATTCAGCTCAACTGACCCCACAATGAACCAATTGATGGTCACAAGTGACCCTTGGTGACCAAATGCAGCCAAGCATCCCTTTGATGCATGAACCGAATCATTTTGGCTGGCACTTCACTTCATGGCATTTCATGTGGCCAGTAGAACCAAAGGGATGATAACAGGGACAATAAAGGAATCCAAAATAAATCAATAAATTAATTGATTGTGATAACGCCTCTCTCTCTCTCTCTCTCTCTCTCTCTCTCTCTCTACTCCTTTTTTTCTTCTAGAAGATGTAGCCGTATATGAGAGGCAAAGTCTTCTTTGTCGTGCAGTGTGCAAGTGCAACAGCATCTCCTAGGCACCACACAACGCCATTACAATATTGTACCGTTCGATTTTTACTTGCAACTTCTTGACATTAAGAAGATACAAATAACCAATATTTTCACCTCAAAACAGGGATTTAAGTAGTCAAACCTATGTGGACACACAAATTACTGCAGTACAGCAACAAGATGTGAAGTGAAATAATTATATTTAATCAAATTACTGTGTTATGCATATGAGTGTGGTGTGGTGTGGTGTCGTGCAAACAATTGCTAAGCTGAGTCCATGAAATGCTGAAATAAAGACATATCACAGAACAGAACTGGTCTTTATAAGCGTTATTCTTTGCATATATGGTCCAATGATGTTACATAGTGCGTCTGTGTGACAAAGACCAGTTAAGTTAAGTTAAGTTGTCTATTTAACACAGTGGTTCACAACCCTTTTTCAGTGATGAACCCCCTGAGAAATATTTTCAGCCAAGTACACCTTAACCAATGCAAAGCATTTTTGGTCAGCACTGTGCAATCAGTGCCTGATTAATTAAACTTTCCACAAGGAAAAAACGCAAAGGTTGGTTGCTACTCGTGAACATAAATCCCATTAAAACATATTCTTCTGAATACTGACAGAACTTTGCCTTCTTTGGCCTTTGTCCCTCCGTATATTCAGCAACATCGCTGCTACGCCTCAAACCCGACTGCATTATGTGAGTTTTCAAGGTGGCAGCGATTGACAGGGGACGACAGGTGCCGGGTTGCGTCAAACCATCCTGGTATGGGAGTTTTTAAGATAATGAAATTGAATATCCTAATAAATATATAATTAAGTTTATGAACTTACACTTATTGAATATTCATTAAATATATATTTTCAAAGGTCTTTTGAACGGATGCTCATTTTAAATATACATTTTTTAATCTAACATACTCCATGAAGTGCATTCACGTACCCCCCCCCCCCCCCCCCTCCCGAAAAAAGTACACCGACCCCTATTTGAGAACCTCGGTGACTGGGAGGTTTCAACCCGGAGACTGTGTTTGCATGTGTTAGATACCCTCTGTGAAAAAAGAGAGATCAGATAAAGAAAAGTAAAACGGGAAGTAAAAAATAAAAATCTAGGAGTTCAGACATCCTTAATGATTTCTGTTTCACCACCAAAGAGCGCTGCTACAGGAATTTAATTCAGGTTAAACTTTGCATTATATAATGCAAACAATTATAGAATATTTATGAGTGTATAAACGTACATTTTTCCCGTCACAGATGGAATCAAATAGACAATATATGAATTACAATATCATAGATTATATACATATTGGTGAATTGTGGGACATACAAAAGAAGTCCAGTTGTGCAAGCTTTGCAGCGATGGTGTGTGTATTATGTATCAGTAGCCTATATATTGGAAATTATATATAATTATATTAAATTATATAAACAAAGATAAACACAAGTATAAAGGGCTATACATAATGATGACATTTTATCTAATATATAGTACAGATTCTATGAAATTATTTTAATTTATTAAATTCATACAACTGGAAAAGAACACAAACATAATTTAGCATTTAATTATAATATGAAAACCGCAGTAATAATACAGCGGTAGTATATAATATGATGTTATATCACCATCTAATAATAGATTTAAAGGAATCACGGGATGATATAAGTTATGTGATGCAATGTAATATAGTAATGCAATATTCTACAGAGACGTATACTCTGTAATATACCAAAAACTACTAAAATGATATTGATAACCCTTATAGAAGATCAACATTTGAATACCTTCATTTGCGCTTTCAAAATAAAAGCACCCTATTTCAATTTCGACTTGTGTAACGTTACTCTTTGGCGATTTTAAGGAACAATATAACCACTAACGTTACATGTGTTTATTCAAACATAATTTGCCCGTATTATTGTTACAAATACACCTCAACTAACCCTCTAATGAAACGGCCTGAAACGTGTTTAACTTCCGGGTCACGCGAGTGCTGGCCGGGGCGATGACATTGTACCAAACACAAGACGTCAGGTCGCCGAGCGGCTTACATGTTGTTACTTCAGGGCCTCTGAACGCTTGAATCAGCACCCACGTCGCCGTCAACATGTCTTCCGCCACTTCGGGCCTCACGGGGGAGCGGCAGCAGGCGCGAGCACAGGTAAGCACGCCCGGGAAAACGCGCCCTGCGGATGCTAACGTGTTAGCCGGTTAGCATCGGTGTTTGATGAACCGCGTCAATTAACGTCGGCTAACTAGATCTGAATGTGCTGTGTGTGCTGATCTGCAGTCGGCCGTGGGCGTGGAGTACGTCCCCACGGAGGAGGAGAAGCGGGTGTTCAGGGAGTGCAACAATGAGAGCTTTTGGTACAGATGTAAGTTGCGTGTTTTTGTCTTCCGCGCACTGGTCGGGCTGAATGCGTGCGCTTTAAAGATACGAGGTGTGACGCCCACGTGTTCTCCCCTCAGCTGTGCCCTTCTCAGTGGTCGGCGTGGCTGTCACTCAGGTCCTGGTCGCTAAAGGTAATTCTATTCCCACCGTGGAGGAATGAGTCGCACACACGCGGGATAAACTCTGCTGTGTTTACCTGCAGGGATTCTGTCTGCGTCTCCGAGGTTCGGATCTCTACCCAAAGTTGTCTGTAAGTTGGTGAATGTCTAATCTGGCAGGTGACACACGCTGTTGCATGAATAAAATAAACTGGTACATAACGATGCTTAAAGTTGACCAATGTTTACCTAATAAACTAAAGTTGTGTGGTATGAACATTGACATCTTTTACATTTCTGATATCATTTAAACCGTTTAACTAAAGTACCATATTAACATCGATAACTACACTTTCACCTGCCGCTTGCTGAAGGTAGATATTATGCTTTATTGCCCTTGTATTAACCATTTTCTTAAACATTGATATCTTTGAGTATGTTCGCCTCTGCAGTCGCTGGCTTCTGTGGCTACCTGGCGGGCAAAATGTCGTACATGAAGACGTGCCAGGAGAAGTTCAAGAGGCTGGATAACTCTCCTCTGGGAGAGGCCCTCAGACAGAGGACAGGAATGTCGCCGCTATCGTGAGAGCCACAACTCCTTGATTGGTGTGCCATTTGTTTTCATCCAGCTACTACTCCCTCACAGCCCGTACGTCTCCCCTCCTCAGTCCCAAGGCTCCTCAGTCGGAGATGAGCGATCCAGACGCCCCGTCGTTTGACACTATGTTCCAGCAAGCGGACGCCCCCGTCCACGCGACTCCCGACAGCAGAACCGATGAGTACGGCTACAACGCCTCGATGCCGATGGGCAAAGCGGATGACTTTGCCGCTCCAGGTACCACAGACAGCGACTGCATGTGTGATTTTTTTTTTTTAAATACTATTTAATGATGACCATCAGCACACATGAGGCTCTGTGTGAACCTAGAATGGACAAAAACTCATCATACTATGATGGTTGAAAACATCCATTTTTCATAAGAGCCGAACCTTTGCTAGTTATAAACTCTTACAAACATCTACATCACTTGTGCAGTACATTATTCAGTTAATTTATTTGACATCTTTGCCTAAGTTAAGTAAAATCGAACTGTGAAGGATTTGGACGCCATAATCCCGATGCATGCAAAGAATACCATTTTACCAAATCCCTTATTCCCAACTCAAGTAACTTGTATGTCAACTTCCCTAGATAGTGGTTTGTTGACACAAACGTCTTTGTACCTTTCCTTGTCCCCGTCGACTTTAGCGGAAGAAGGGGAACCCAGGAGGAAGGGCACCCTCTATGAGAACTTGAGGCTAAAGAACCGAGAGAACTACGAGGTCACGCTCAATCAGAAGGCCGACACGCTGCTCAAAGCGTCCCCCGAGAAGGAGCCGGGGAGATACAATAAAGACGGTGAGCTTCTACTTCAGCGGCGTGGCAAACCCAATGTCAAGAGGTTCATATTAAAGTACATCTGAGGTCTTTACTAAACTCCTCCTGCTTTTCTCTCTATTACAGTGAAGAAAAACATCTATGGAGACTCCTGGGAGGAATGAGTGCCTGTTTTAAATGATCATGTGACCTCTACAATAGGCAGGCCAGTGGCTGTATTGCACCTGTGTGAATCAAGTCTCCTGATGTTCTACCAGTCTGTGATAAATGTATTTGCTAAAGAGTCGATTAAACCAAATTTACATGAGAATTAAATTAGTTTCTCTGTGCTTTGAGTTTGCATTTCCATGTCAATATCTTCCAACTTGTGTATAAACACACCTGATTACATACGCAGGGTGATGCAATGTGGGTTAATGTAGATTTAGGATCTTTACACAAGGTCATTGATATGTCTTTTGCTTTGGGTGAAAAAAAGCACAGTATTTGAATGTTTAAATTTGTCTGGAGTTTTTTTTTTATAAACCTAAATACTTGTTAGTGGGATTGTGATTAACTTTTGCAGCAATTTTTTTGAATCTATCTGGATTCAAATTCAAAAGAATTATATTTACCCTCTACCTTGAACATTGAAAGGAGTTGTGCATGTGCCAGTATTAGAAATGTCTTGAGATAGAGCAGTTCAGGCTGTCACTCAATAGGTATGATATAAGTATATATGATTTCAGAGGAGAAACCTTTGTTTATTCAGAATATTCTACACAGCAAAATCTCTCCAACTAAATGGAGATTTTTACGGTTTCCACTCTGTCGCATCCTTTGACAAGTGCTTTGACAGCTTAGTCGTCACTATTGAGAGCCGCTCATATGCAAAAGAAATGCTCCCAATCTCGCATTTGGCATCTTGGAATGTCTTTTTTTCTTTCTTGAGACATTATGTTGAGCACATAGTTTATGAGGGGGGATTGCACAAGAGTATATCAACATATATACAGAATCCACTCAGAACATCTAGACCCTCTGATAAATGTCCTTCAAATATACAGCCAGCTAGACACTCCCAAATGCTTTAAAGGCCTACAAGTCTGCTTAAAAAGAGTCCGTGCATTTCCCATTTTAGACGACGCTCCCAAAGAAAAGAGATGCTGCAGGTGCCCATGTGGGTTTAACTGAAAAATATACTATGGTAGACAAAGCAACCCTATAAATGACTGTGACCATCACTATGACTATGACCATGGTCATGACCATAGCCGTCACCATGGCCATAGCTATGACTACAACCATGACCATGACCATAGCCGTCGCCATGACTATGACCATCACTGTGACTATGACCATGACCATCACTATGACCATGACCATAGCCGTCGCCATGACTATGACCATCACTGTGACTATGACCATGACCATCACTATGACCATGACCATAGCCGTCGCCATGACTATGACCATCACTGTGACTATGACCATGACCATCACTATGACCATGACCATAGCCGTCGCCATGACTATGACCATCACTGTGACTATGACCATGACCATCACTATGACCATGACCATAGCCGTCGCTATGACCAGCACTGTGACTGTGGCCATGGCCGTCGCTATGACTGTGGCCGTGGCCATGGCCGTCACTGTGGTTGCAACTTTGGCTGAGATTCTGCTCTGAAGAAAGTCCTTGACTTGGCCCAAAGCTGCGTGCAGAGCCATGTCCGTGCGGGTTGCCGGGCGGCGTGGTGCCGGGCCGAGCCCCGGTTGAATTGGGCCAGCCCTCGTAGATACCAGCGTTGGAATTGGGCGTGCTGACGTTGGGAAACGGCGCGTACGCCTGGACCGGGTAGGAGCCAGGAGTCGGATTGATCCGCGGGAGGAGGGTCTTCCTCCTCTCCTCCGTGGACGCAGGTACAAACTTCACTCCTCGGATGCTCCTCAACAACCTAAAAGGCACCGTCTTCTCCAGGGCGCCGGCCCGGACCTCCGACATGTTCAGGAGAGACAGCCACCCTTTCCCGTACATCCACCCGACCAGGATGCCGACGACGTTACAGGGGAGCACACTGTGCGGGACGAGGGCCGAGGTGATGAGGAGGAGCACCCAGGGGAGAGCCACGGTGGGGAAACTGATCCCACACAAAAACCCTTTGGTCATTTTAGTGCGCATGGTAGTCAGAGCCACGCACGCCAGGGTCACGGGAACCAAGCCCTCTGCGGGGCTGCGGCTGTCGCCACTGCGCACGAGGTCCAGGACGCTGTAGAGGAAGCCCGCGGTGGAGGACAGCAGGGAGAAGAGGAACAGGAAGCGCACGGTGCCGACGCCGCGCTCCAAACTGCCGCCGAGGAGCACCAGGGCGGCGACGCTCAGGAGCAGCTGGGCGGGGGTCTTGTGGTGAAAGGGGTACGTGAGCAGCCGGTGCAGGTGTCCGTCCTGGAACACCGCGGCGCCGACGCTCAGAGCCCCCGAGGGAGGTCCAAATATGTCTGAATGCCGAACAAAGCGCAGGACAAAGCGCCACGGTTAGAATCCCGCTTCGTAGGCACAGGACCCACGTCTGTGAACGCTTGGGAGATCTTTTTGAAGCTCTCAGTTGGCAGCATCTTGCAGAATGATCCGCCGATTAGCTAAAGCAAAAGTTTACCTGGGGGTTTAATTGACTCCACACTTCCTAAACAGGAAGTGACGTCACTGTGATGTCCAGGGTGTTTTGCTGCGGGTTTCCGGTTCTCTCGGACGGATTCAGGCCAGGATTGACACCCAAAAGGTTCACAGTCATCAATTAACATATGACGTGTTCGATAATGGCCCCCAGAAGTAAGTGCTTAGCAAACTCTGTTAAAGAAGTCGGAAAAGTAAAAAAAAAACTTTTCAAAATAAAACGTGTAGTGACGAATAGTGGCACATTCTGAGTAAGCTTTCAACTTAATGTCGGAGATAATTAAATAATCCAAACTGTATGTGAGTCAGGAATACCAACATCTGATAAGCATATCGTGCGGGTTTAAAGGGTTGTCTAAATTTAACCTATTACCGACGTGCATCACGCATTTTTTAAAGAATTCGTACGGCTACATTTTTTAAAATTTGTATCTAGTTCGGCGTCAATAGATGCATCCGTTTTGTAATCAGCAATATATGATAATGCAGTGCAAACTTCAGTCAAGCTATCTGCGATAAGGATGTCATAACATCAGTAATGAGAAGTAACCTACATTCACTCAAGTGCGGTTTCCGTGAGTAATGGATTTGACGTAGTCTTTAACAGTTTATATATATGTTTTTATGTTGTATATATATATATATACTGCTAATAAATGAAATACATAATAGAAACCTTTAATTGAGGCAGGTCTGTCCTCCTTCCGGTGTCGTGTGGTCACTGCGGCGGATGTTGATGTTCTGCTCCGGAGCTGGCTGAGCGATGTGAACGTATCTGCTCGACATTCTCCCGTGGTTGTCTTCGCGGTTCTGCGGTTCTCTCGGTAAAGATTCGCTGTCCGTCGGCATCGTGTCTGTCCCGGTGTCTCTCCCGGGAAGCGCGAAGCCGAGTCGTGCGATGATGGAGGACTTTGACGAGATCTACGAAGAGGAGGAGGAGGAGGAAGAGGAGGACGAGGACAGGGCCGCGGAGGAGCAGCTCCTCAAGTACGCTCCGGACCCGGTGGTGGTGCGCGGGTCCGGCCACGTCACTGTGTAAGCGCCGGGCGACCCCTCCGCCGGTACCGCGGTGTCCGCAGCGGACACGCGTCTAGTCAGCTTCGCGTTCACCGGTGACCTCGCGCAGTCGGCTAGCTGCCGAGTTAGCAATAAGCTAGCTGCTAAGTTAGCAACGAGCTAACTCCGACGAGGACGGGCTAAGTTAAGTGAGCTTTCGTTTTAACTGAAGCAGCTACACGACCGAATATACATTTATGAACGGTACTTTGTCTTTGCTGTGTCTCACACCAAGTGTAATGTGTTCCGCTGTCCTCCTTCCGTTCACGTTGGTCTGTTACACTTTTTATTACCGCGGTTAACGTGTATCTGCTCTGTAATGAACAGTTGCAGGAGTAAGGTAGAGATTGATGACTGTCGCCTACTCTGAGAATGTTACGTGTTACATTGTAGCCCCCGTAGACGTGACGTCACAGACGTGCAGATTATGAACACAAAGTTGTGGCCGTGTTTTGTCTGGTGTCCAGTTGGGGGAGGATACGATCATATTCTGCACTCCCTGTATCTGGGCACTGTGAATAAACACACATGATGACGTATGATGGTGGTCGTGGACAATCACGTAGTTCGATTTGGAGTTGAGAGTACATAGATGTACATGGGGCGTCTAAACACAACTATGTTCATCCTTACAATACTTAGTAAGGAATATATTGTTTATTTTTGTGCTTTGTTGTGTTGTTCCTTTAAAAAGGAGATGTTACGTCTCAGCAAATATCTCTTGTTGTGACGTGTATTGAAATTGCAACTATATGTGCTGGATTTGGTCATTTTACCTGTGAGGATAAGTGGCCAGAAATTTAAAGTCTATTTGTTTAAGCCTATTATTCAAGGTCAGCCTTCTGTTTCTACCTCTTCCCCCACAGGTTTGGGCTAAGCAACAAATTTGAGTCGGAATTTCCTTCAGCACTTACAGGAAAGGTGAGTGTCTTGTTGTTCATTAATGCATATTAATTATGGCAAAATGTCAATACAATATTTACTTTATATTCTAGTTACCAACCAACACGCGATGCAACATTTAATTATTTCATGTATAAAAATGGATCAATATTCCATAGTGCAGTAAGTTGTGTTTTCTCTGGCGTAAAAGATGCTCCATCATTCCTCGGACCACCAACAACCTCAGATAAGACCAGTGCACGATTACAGAACATTCCGTGCCACTCGTGTTCACTTCCCCAGGTGGCACCAGAGGAATTCAAAGCCAGCATCAACCGCGTGAACGGCTGCCTGAGGAAGACTCTGCCGGTGAATGTGCGGTGGCTCCTGTGTGGCTGCCTCTGCTGCTGTTGCACGTTGGGTTTCAGTTTGTGGCCTGTCATCTGCCTTAGCAAGAGGGTGAGACACCCGTCCGTGTCTCGGTGAAACCAAATCAAGCCGGGAGTCAGCTCAATGTTCTTGTGTTGACTTTGCGGGCTGTGAATGGCATCTAATATCCCTGTTGCCTTTCAGACCAGACGATCTCTAGAGAAACTCCTGGAGTGGGAGAACAGCAGACTTTACCACAAGGTCAGCAGGAAGGATTACGTGTGTGATGATGTTTTACCCAGCGAGGACAAGTTCTTAAATAGTAATCTGAATTCTGTTTGCAGTTGTGTTTGCATTGGAGACTAAGCAAAAGGAAGTGTGAAACCAACAACATGATGGAATACGTAAGTGTGTTGTTTGAGTGGTTGGTCAATGAGTGCCTTGTCAGTTTGTTTTTTTCTTCATACATTGCTATTGTTGATTACTTACTCACTCAGCATCATTAATCAAAGTAAGCCGTTTTCATAGAAGAAGAAAATCCTCAATAGAAATAGTAATTTGTTGGACTAAATTTAGGCTTTTTATTATTATTATTATAAAATCAACTTTCATTCAAATGTTGATTTAAAGTTAAAATGTCAGCATTATCATTGAGGTTTGACCATTTGATAAAGCCCGACACGCCAATGTACTATTGATTGATTCATATTGATCTTCCACTACGACCGTAGATACTAGAATAACGGCTATTTTGGTAGAAATGTAGTAACAAACTGGAACCCGGTATCGTCTCTCTCTCTTGCAGGTAATCCTAATAGAGTTCTTACCTAAGATCCCCATCTTCAGACCCGACTAGCCCGACTCCGGCCCCATCTGGAACCTCCGCCGCGGCCCAGCTCTGTCCCGGAACAAGCTCCTGAATAAATCCCCCAATGTTTTTTGTTTACAGGGTAGCATTAAGCCTCTCCCATCTCTCTTTGACCCGTTCTCCAACACATACCCCCACGTTTACAAATCCGGCCACCCCGACCCTGGTCTTTGGAGCAAATTCACTGTTGAAACACAACCCACTGGAGCTATCTGGGTCACAGTTTAGCCTTACTAACCAGCACCAGCCAGTGGAATGTAAAGAGATGGCTTGGGTGGGGGGGGGGCAGCGATATGGATTTTGTTAGCTACGACTGGATATGTCGTCACTTGTGTGTTCCCTTACCTGAGCATATGGCACAGCCGGACCGTGGCAACACAAACACCCTCGCATCTTACCAACCGTCTCACCGACCAACTCCACCGGCAGAAATCCCCCCGCCCCCCCGGTGCTTTTGTAACGGTCGGTCTGGTGCTCTTGATCCATTTCAGGAGGCCACATAAGTACCAGAACATCCAAATCAAAGCCGCTGTGGACAGACTGCTGTGACAGGAGCGTGTTGGGGGAACTCCATAGTGTCCCTCGCTGTCCTCAGCTACCAGACACCCTCTCGCCAGCTTCCACGTCTCTGCACACTTCACGGTGCATCGCCGCTAACCCACTGACAATCACACACTCTTGACTGTAGTAGTATGAATGGGTATTTGTGCCACGTGGTTTACCTGGAACAGTTTGTCTTCAACATTGTATGTGTGTGTCGCTGTGATGGCTCGGTGCCTAGCAACCGTCTCGCGAGTCGCAGTGGGGCAAGTACGCTGGAAGGAAAGCTACTGGTGATTAAGAGGAGAGACCTGTTTTTTCTTTTTACTTAGTACCTCAAGTTTTGTTTACTATTTTGGTGGAAAATGTTTTTTTCACGGTTGTTGTGTTTATTGTGTCTTTCTGCGTGAGGGAGAGAAACCTAATCGACATGAAGAGTTACTCTGGAGGGGAGGGATCTTTCTTTGACGCAGCTACTTGCCATAACCGACCTTTGTTACTTTTATTTTAGTAATTTATAAACGAGTGTACTTGTTATCTGTGCATTCATGAAATGGGCCTCCGTTTTTTTGTTCATGTCATGGTCTTCTGTCTTTAATGGTCACGTGTCCACACTAAAGCACACAATCGGTTCCTAAAAGGTTCACATTGCTTATCTGCTGACTTTGACTTACTTGTAGGAGTGTTTCATGTTATATGGCTCCTCTGAGATGTAGTCTGACTAACTAATCGGTAGAGTGTTCGGGCCTCTGTATTAGGTGTTGGTTAATGAAGCAGGCTTTCTTGATTGCTGCACTAAAACAAGACCATTATCCAAGCAGGAACCTGGACTTAAAGCTGCAGCACTACTCGGTGTTTCTGTGTTAACCGTAGAAACATTGTTGCTGTGAGAAGCCCGGCTGCAGTTCCCCACAGGAACGACACAGCGTTTGGACTTCATTCCTTCAGCGCGTAGGCCGATGCCGCTGTCGGGCAGCTAAAGAGGCAAAAAGTTCCCTCGTGTGTTAGTGGAGACCAAAAACCGACTCAGTCTTCACCAGGTGGAGACAAGACCTATAGCGTTTAAATAGTTGACATCTTCTAGACAGCGTCATCATGGACATCTCAAACCATCTGCCAGCAAAAAGAGTGATGGCACATATTTAGCTTGTCTCGCTCAGCAAACCTCATGATTTATATATATATATTTTTGAACATCCAGAGGCTGAGACTGAACAAAGACACGTTGTTGTGGGTCACACAGCTCCAGTGAATGTACGGGTCACACTCAGGGGATTACGCTTCTAACAAACGCATGTAGTATTGGGAAATCTCCCGGTCAGGTATGTCCCAACGTCCCAATCGGTTACAGTGCCGATCACATATCACTTGATAAACGATAAAATGATAATAGCAAAATTCCCTGTATATAAAACAGACAACCAACCACTATGTGGTCCTCTGGTTCAGGTAGTGAAGGGACTGATTCATGGACCTGCGGACGGTATAGTACCCAAACTCACTTGGTCAGCAGTGGGCTGTTGGTTGATCAGTCACTTTTCTATGTTTCACATTGTGGTCTGTTCCATGTAAATCAAGGCGTAAGGCCGTATGAAGATATTTGTGTGTGTGTGTGCGCACGTATGTGCACAGTGTGTTCAGATGCAAATTTTCTTTGTAGATCTCAGACTGTGATTGAACCCTGCACAGAAAACAAGTCCTTTTTTATATAATCTTGAGTGATCAGTGTGTTTGTGTGTGTGTGTGAGGGAGAGAAGTATACATGTACATATGACTCATGTGAAGGTGTGCAGATAATACAGTAATAAACAGTAATAAACTACCAATTAAAAGGCTGTGCGCTTCTTCCTCTCTAATTCAGTGTGATACTTTTGTTTGTTTTGCTTGTGGATATCAGGTCAGAATTACAACTATCTGACCAATATGGAAGTAAATCTGTCATCGGATTTTGAAAGAAAAAGGTGATTGAATTTCTAGCACTGAATATTTATGCATTGAAATCATGTATCTGAATGTTTTTCAATGTTAAAATATTCAACTCCAAGAAATTAAACCGCAAATAATTCAACATTAAAATATTCAACTGCAAAAAATTAAACCGCAAAAATATTCAACAGCAAAAAATCAACCACAACATCCAGGAACCCAAAGAGGAGCAATCGATTCCAGATTGAAGCTCGGGAGCGTGCGTCGCGCAGAAGGAGCGAGCGCCCCAGTACAGCTCCGGCTTGTCGGCTATGATGACCCGTGTTCTGTCGATTTTTGCTGCTTTGTCGAAAATCGCTACCGCCGCATAAATCGATGGCTCTGTCTATCGAGTCATGCTACCCTATCAAAAAATGCTACTTTATAGTTTTCTACCTCTGTACATCAAATGAAGGCATGAAGTAAGTGTTTTTTCGCTCATGTCTAATTATAAAAAGTGTAATGAAATGTATTTATATGAGGTGTAGCATATTTTGATAGCACAATGACATCCTATCAAATATTGCTCCTGCTACTCCAAGCAGTCATGTAATACTGCTAATCACCTTAACTCCACTGTAGGATGAAGGCCAGCATATTCATCACATTTTATTCATCAATACATGCATCGCTAACAATGACGAGAATTCTGGCATCCTAAAAACGAGGCATGCAATTTCCTCCAGAGGGATGAGCATAGACATAGACATAGATGAGCGACTCGCGAGACGGTTGCTAGGCACCGAGCCATCACAGCGACACACACATACAATGTTGAAGACAAACTGTTCCAGGTAAACCACGTGGCACAAATACCCATTCATACTACTACAGTCAAGAGTGTGTGATTGTCAGTGGGTTAGCGGCGATGCACCGTGAAGAGGGTGTCTGGTAGCTGAGGACAGCGTATCAATTTTTATGAAAGATATACAAATGGTAATTGTTAAAGGTGCTGGAATGTATGTACGTCATGCATGTAAACAGCATAACCTGCATGAACTCCGCCAATCACTCCTGATGGCTTGTCGAAGCTTCCCAGCATCATCAACTTAATTCAAAACGAGAAGAAAATGCGTATTCTGACCAGCTGTACGCTCTCGTTTAACTTCTGCTTAGTTCATGTCCTATACATTCCGTTAATGAACAAATGTCAGCTGTCTATCACTGGATCTTACAGACACAAACCACACTGGTGGCAGAACGTTAAAGTTAAAACACTCAACGAAGCGCCATTATTAATGGACATGGCTGAAATCCGGTCATCATAGCCGACAAGCCGGAGCTGTACTGGGGCGCTCGCTCCTTCTGCGCGACGCACGCTCCCGAGCTTCAATCTGGAATCGATTGCTCTTCCTTGGGTTCCTGGATGTTGCTGGAGGTTGAATTTTTTGCAGTTGAATATTTTTTGCTGTTGAATTTTTTTGCGCTTGAATATTTTGCAGTTGAATATTTTAACATTGAAAAACATTCAGATAGATGATTTCAATGTATAAATATTCAGTGCTAGAAATTAAATCACCTTTTTCTTCAAAATCCGATGACACAGATTTACTTCCATAGACCAACATCTTGAAGCACTAAATCAGGGCAACTGGGTTATATTCTTGGCAATGGAAGTCAAGGTCACAGACCACGGAAAAGATTAAGATGGCTGTACTTCCTGGGAGAAGTTGTAAGAAAGACTGATAAGGAAACAGTTTCCTTTTAGATTGATACAGGAGCACTCATTTCAGAATGATAAGATCCAAAATGAAAAGCCTGAAAGGCCTGAAACGTGCTCGGCAGTCCGGAGGGTCCGGAGGGGTCTCAGTTTAAGAGGGGAAGTCACACACTGCAATGCTGGTTAAGAATCTCAGAAAAATCGACACAACGCAAAATAATACAATTATTCCCCTCAAAAACAGGAGCAAGCTCAAATAGGTGGAAGAAAAGACAAATGAGAAAAATTGAGAAACGAAGGCAATAAAATCCAAAATGTGGCGCAGGGGGGTAGAGCGGGTGCGCTGGGAACCGCAAGGTTGGTGGTTTGAGTCCCGGCTGCCCCATGTCTCAAGTCAAAGTGTCCCTGAGCAAGAAACCTGACCCCTAAATGCTCCCCGGGCAAAATGTGAAATAGCCATGTGTTTAAAGTGTAATGTAAGTCGCTTTGGATAAAAGCGTCTGTAATGTAAAGTCACGTGTACGACTTGTTTTTATTTACTTTAGCAGATGTGCATGTTTACTACACTGACTAAACCGATGTGACCTTTGAGAGATGGAGTTTAACTGCGTTCAACAGCAGAGAGAACGTTGACCGAAGGTCTGCTCATCTGTTACTGGTGCACAGAGCAAAAGGAGGCGGGGCTTAGCACATGTCCAGTGAACCTATTGTGTTTGTTGGGATGACTGTTGATAAAGCCGATCTGCATCTCTACTGAACTGAATGCTGCGTTGAACCTTCTACGGGGACTTCAAGTTGTTACTTTTCACTTCTAAAGTGCAGTTTCCTTGTTAATCTACTAATTGTATTCTAGACCCAAGAAGAATACAAATAATAATGAATAAGGAGAAAACAATGCCAGCGCTTCCATCTTCATTTTATTAAACTTCGTTATATTTCTGTTCATTGAAATCAAGCAACAAATTCCACTTACTTAGTCGGGACATAATAACGGAACTAATCAGTTCATGAACATTTCCAAAACAGCATCCAGGAGTTTGACAACTTTGTGTCCCGTCTTGGCCTCTAACAAAGTGTTGAGGGCGGCGATCCCGTCCACGGGCGGGATGTTGTCAGGGCAGATTTCTGTATTCATCAACATTCAAAATGAGACAAAACGGCTTTAGTGGGGCCACAGTGTGTGTTTGTTTCATTCTTACCGTAGTCTGGGTCTAACATTATGGGCGACGGCATCCGGAGACATTCGGCCTGTCTCTTGAGCGTCTCCAACGCAGCAGGGGAGACACTTTGTGTCCTACCTGGAAGTAAAGACAGGTTGAATTGGAATAAGATTCATGTCGCTGCAGGGTTCTGGGAATGATGAAGACGTTTCTTACTGAAGAACAAAAGGCTGGTGAAAGTATCATTGCCAGAGACGACTTCTTCATGAGCGAGCAGACAGTCGCTGCAGTCAGTCTGCAGGTAGACCTCCTTGAGATAGAAAGGTTCCTCTTTGAAACACACACAGGGAATAAAAGGAGTGTTTTTAATCCAGATTTCCCCCCTAAAGGAGAATCTCTCTGATAAGATTGTGGCTCTTCTCTGCTCACCGATCAACAAAGTGCTGTTTCTAAAGTCCATATTGTATTGTATGCTGAAACATTGGCCAAATCTGTGAAAAGAAAAACATGATGCCATGATGGACTCTTAAGCCCCCATCAGAACCGTTTCAAGTCATACATGTTAAACATAAAGTTGCAATCAAAATTATTTAACTGCCATTGCGTAACAGGCTTATTCGCAAATTGTATCATTTTTCAACTGTTTGCAATAAACAAAGTAGACAAAACCAGTTAAAATAGTTCAATACAACTAAGATTACCAGTTAACAAATCAGGGGCTTCATTGGTTGAGCTGTGCTTTAGTTAGAACATAAACACCTGGACTGGCTACGGGTTTGTTGTGAGGGACATTTGATGCTTGTTAGAAATATGGATATGAAATAAGTCAGAATAATTGTGCAAAAGGTTTGGAGTAGAGAGTAGAGACGTGGCAGAAAGAGGAAGCAGCTGCCACCAGATTCCTGAGGAGGAAAGTGGTACGAGTTACTGCAAAACACCTGCAGGGGCCGACGGATCAGCAATATGTCTGCTATATGTCAGCAGAAACCTGCAGCGTGTGGACGACACGATGGATCCAGTCCCGTGTCGGGACGTCGTAGGACCAAACGTCATGCGGTCTGTGAAGAAGCTGAAGCTGAAACCGTTTTTCATTTAACTACTTAAACCGTTCTTGTGTAATTTGTTTATTGCAAACAGCTGAGGAATTGTATATTTTGCAATTAAACCTAATGTGCAATGGGGGTTGAATCCTTTTGATAGAACAGTCAACACAAGGCAATAGCTTATATTCAAATATGCTATATTTACATATATATATACAAGAATACAGAATATGAAAATTTACATTAGAATATGGTTAAAAAAACAACACAAATAAGTCATTTTAATGAGTCAGTGGTAATGGAAACAGCAGAACTGTGTAAACATGTTGTGTGTTTCTTTTGGCGGTGTGTGGGGATTTACACTTTCTCGGTCTGCAGGAAGTGGAGGACGTTGTCCTGCGTCGTCGTGGTGACGTTCAACCAGGCGCTGGTCATCAGGCGGCCCACGGAGCGGCTCCCCGGGAGGTCAGAGCTCCCCCCGATGTACAGCCAGCGCCCCAAAATCTGAGGGACACGCAGACGGAGCGCAGAGTACACGCGTCAGCGTTTCTGTGTCATTGGGGGCCGGGACGTCCTGTGGGCTCGTTGGAGATGAATAGGACGTGTAAAATGAGATGATTTATTTCATCTATTGGAGTTCAGTCCATGCTGTGATCACACATTGATGCAATATTACATTTGGATAAAGCATTGTTACAGGTCTGTCATCTCAGGTTTGGTCTGAATTATTTTTGTAATGATTACAAATAAATGAGAACATGTTTTAGTTCCCAATAGAAATATTTGACTTTTTTTAAATTACATTTTGCACCACGTTACGCATCTCTATCTAGGAAAAATCCTGGGAACGTATGTAGCACGTAGTGGAGTAAAGTACGTAGTGGAAGTGGGCAGAAGAGTTCAAACATGGAAGGTCACCCACAGCTCTGAGCTTTTATTGCCAGAGTTTAAACAACTTTGGCTGAAGGAAATATTTCACACGCACGTTTCAGTCGTGCATTTACCATCATTGAAATACACCTGAGGAAAACGTGTTTTTACTGCAGTTTGAATTAAACGGTGATAATTAAAGCTGAAGTGCACTAACCTCTTCATTGGTGACAGCGATGGGGTTCAACAGACTGTCACAGCTGCTCAGAGGAGCAGAGAGTCCCACTGAGAGGAGGCTCAGCACCACAGCAGCAACGCACTCCTTCATCCTCGCCATGTTTCTCCTTCTGCTCCCTGCTGTTCTCTGGTCTCCTCACGGCTTAAATCAACAGTGGATGCATCTCACCAGCACACATATCGACGTTTCTGTGAACTGATGTGAGCAAAGCAAACAGCCAGAGGCAGGAACAGTTGGGGGGGGGGGGGACTCTGACCTGTCACATGTAACAGCACAGGCTGTTATGCACCATGCGTGCTAGTTTAAGCCGTGATTGAGGACATTTTCAGAACGTTCACTGTGCCAAAATGACCAAATACCAGAAACACTTGATCAGAAACGTCTCGTGATACTTTGGTAGTGTGTGTAGTTGCATGTGCCCCTCCAGTCGTAGTGTGTAGTTGCAAGTTTTACACAAACTTCATGTACAATAGTACAGAAAATCTGGATTACAACAGAACACACAGAGGGAGAGCAACTTGATTCTTGACCCCCCCCCCCCTGCCCCCACATACACACACTACAGCTTTTTTATATAGGATGACTAAAGTGATGCAACCTTTGAACAGATGGAGCATATCGGAGTTCAACAGGAGAGAGAACGTTGACCGAAGGTCTGCAGCTTGCACGTCTGCTCATCTGTTATTGCTGCACAAAGCAAAAGGAGGTCATGAGTGAACTTATTGTGTGTTTGTTGGGATGACTGTTGATGCCGATCTGCATCTCTACTGAACTGATTATTGTGTTGAACGTTCTACGGGGACTTAAAGTAGATGTTTCACTGGGATTTATTGCATTGTAAAGTGCAGTTTCTATGTTAATCTACTAATCGTATTCTAGACCCAAGAAGAATACAAATAATAATGAATAAGGAGAAAACAATGCCAGTGCTTCCATCTTCATTTTATTAAACTTCGTTATATTTCTGTTCATTGAAATCAAGCAACAAATTCCACTTACTTAGTCGGGACATAATAACGGAACTAATCAGTTCACAAACATTTCAAAAACAGAATCCAGGAGTTTGACAACTTTGTGTCCCGTCTTGGCCTCTAACAAAGTGTTGAGGGCGGCGATCCCGTCCACGGGCGGGATGTTGTCAGGGCAGATTTCTGTATTCATCAACATTCAAAATGAGACAAAACGGCTTTAGTGGGGCCACAGTGTGTGTTTGTTTCATTCTTACCGTAGTCTGGGTCTAACATTATGGGCGACGGCATCCGGAGACATTCGGCCTGTCTCTTGAGCGTCTCCAACGCAGCAGGGGAGACACTTTGTGTCCTACCTGGAAGTAAAGACAGGTTGAATTGGAATAACATTCATGTCGCTGCAGGGTTCTGGGAATGATGAAGACGTTTCTTACTGAAGAACAAAAGGCTGGTGAAAGTATCACTGCCAGAGACGACTTCTTCATAAGCGAGCAGACAGTCGCTGCAGTCAGTCTGCAGGTAGACCTCCTTGAGATAGAAAGGTTCCTCTTTGAAACACACACAGGGAATAAAAGGAGTGTTTTTAATCCAGATTTCCCCCCTAAAGGAGAATCTCTCTGATAAGATTGTGGCTCTTCTCTGCTCACCGATCAACAAAGTGCTGTTTTCAAAGACCACATTGTATTGGATGCTGGAACATTTGCCAAATCTGGGAAAAGAAAAACATGATGCCATGATGGACTTGATAGTAAGTCCCAGTCAGACCCGTTTCAAGCCCCAAAATGATTTAACCCGCATTGCGTATTAGACTTATTAGCAAATTGTACAATTTTTCAGCTGTTTGCAATAAACAAAGTAGACAAAACCAGTTGAAATAAACTAATATTACCGGTTATTAACAAATCAGGGGCTTCATTAGTTCAGGTTTGCTTTACTTAGAACATAAACACCTGGACTGGCCCCGGGTTTGTTGTGAGGGACATTTGATTGCACGTTAGAAATATGAAATTGGGGATTTACATTCTCTGGGTCTGCAGGAAGTGGAGGACGTTGTCCTGCGTCCTCGTGGTGACGTTCAACCAGGCGCTGGTCAGCAGGCGGCCCACGGAGCGGCTCCCCGGGAGGTCAGAGCTCCCCCCGATGTACAGCCAGCGCCCCAAAATCTGAGGGACACGCAGACGGAGCGCAGAGTACACGCGTCAGCGTTTCTGTGTCATTGGGGGTGTCATTTGTTAGTCTTTTGGTGGAGTCTGAAGAGGTGTGTCTTTAGTTTGCGGTGGAAGATGTGAAGGCTCTCTGTGGTCCTGGTGTCTTCAGAGAGCTCGTTCCACCATTTAGGAGCAAGGACAGAAAAGAGTGATGATCTAGTCGAGTGTTTTGCTCTCAGTGAGGGAGGGACGAGCAGTTTATCACATGCAGAGCGGAGAGTGCGGGTTGGGATGTCGGGTTGGACCAGGTCCTGGATGTAAGCTGGACCCCATCCATTCACAGCATGGCGGGCAGCCACCGGTACCAGTGAAGAGAGCGGAGGAGTGGAGGAGTGTGGGAGAATTTCCGAAGGTTAGAGACCAGTGGAGCTGCTGCATTCTGAATGAGCTGCAGAGGTCGAATGGTGGTAGCAGGAGACCTGCAGGAGGGAGTTACAGTAGTCCAGGCGGGAGACGACAAGAGCCTGAATCAGTACCTTCTGAGTGAGAAGAGGACGTGTTCTCCTGATGTTGTAGAGCGTGTATCTACAGGATGGTGTTGTCAGTGATGTTGGGAGTCAGGGAGAGTTGGCTGTCGAGTGTGACGCCGAGGTTCTTAGCGGTCAAAGTGGGCGTTAACACAGAGTTGCCAAAATTGACTGTCAGGTCCTGGGTCGGAGAATCTTTTCCCGGAAAGAGTAGTTCAGTCTGTCGGGGTTGATTTTCTAGATGGTGGGCGGATCCACTGAGAGATGTCAGTCAGACAGGCAGAGATCCGAGTGAGGGAAGGAGAGAATTAGTTGTGTGTCATCGGCATCGCTGTGGTAGGAGAAGCCATGTGAGCAAATGACAGCGCCGAGAGAGTTGGTGTAGAGCGAGAAGAGGAGGGGACCCAGGACGGAACCCTGAGGAACTTCCGTAGTAAGAGGACAAGGTTCCGACGCAGATCCTCGCCAGGTTACCCGGTAGGTGCGGCCGTCGAGGTAGGACGAGAGAAGGGAGAGAGCAGAGCCTGAGACACCAAGTTCCTGGAGGGAGGAGATAAGGATCTGGTGGTTGACTCTGTCAAATGCAGCAGAGAGGTCCAGAAGGACGAGGACAGAGGAGAGAGAGGAGCTCCAGCAGTGTGGAGTTGCTCTGAGACAGCAAGGAGAGCAGTCTCTGTGGAGTGGCCTTAAAGCCTGACTGGTGGGGGTCAAGGAGGTTGTTAGGGTGGAGATAGGAGGAGAGTTGGTTAAAGATAGCACGTTCAAAAAGGGAAGAAGAGAGACCGGTCTGTAGTTGTTTTCTTCAGAAGGGTTGAGAGTAGGTTTCTTCAGGAGAGGGTTGACTCTTGCCTCCTTCAGAGAATTGGGAAAACAGCCGGATAACAGAGCATTGTTGATGAGGCAGGTGAGGAAAGGGAGGTCAGGAGCGATAGATTGTTGAAGATATGATGGAATGGGGTCAAGAGGCCAGAGGTTTAATAGGGGTGAGAACTTGGTTAGGAGACAGGGGCGTGAAAAGAGGAGAGTGAGGGCAATAGAGGTGAAGTCAGTGGGTTTGAGAAAGAAGAGCGTATGTCAGCTATTTTTCTTGGTAAAGTAGTTGACAAAGTCACCCGGAAGAAGGGTGGAGGGGGGCAGGAGGACTAGCGGGGTATCTAGGAGTTTTGAAGAAGTATAGAAAAAGTTTTTGGGTTAGAAAATGAAGATTCAATTCTGGATTGGTAGAAAGAGCTTTTGGCAGCAGAGATAGAAGCAGAAAAAGAGGAGAGAAGAGATTGAAACACAAGCAGGTCATCAGGTCGTTTATATTTACGCCGTCTCCTTTCCCGATGCTCGCATGGTGGCTCTGATGGCACCGGTTCAGACCGACACGGCGCCGGAGGGGATTTGCCAGTCCGTCGTGTATTAAGAGGACAGAGAGTCTAGAGAGGAGGAAAGAGTGGAGAGGAGAGTCTCTGCAGCAGCGTTCGGATGCAAGAGTGAGAAGGAGTCAGTTGTAGAGAGAGCTGATAGAACAGAGGAGGCTTGTCAGGATCGGGGTGTAGGCAGAGGCAGGACTCAAATGCAGAGTTGACAACGAAAAGACTTTAATAGTCAAAATCAAAATGCCAAGGGGCAAAAACGCGGGCAGGGACCAAGAACTCACAAGACATTCAGGGAATGACAAGTTGGCTTAACATGAATACATTCAATGACACGACAAAGGACACATGGCTTAAATACACTGGGAGGTGCAGGTGATTGGACAAAGATGGAAACAATCAGACAATCACAGGGGACGACAGGACAAGGCAGGAAGTGAAGTTAGGGACACAAGGTGTCAGAGCGAAGGAAGAAAGTAGGTGTAAGAGGTCAGATGACTTCTCTGTCTGGATGTTGAAGTCACCCAGGAGGATGAGCGGAGGGACATTTACAGGGAAATTGGACAGGAGAATGTCCAGTTCTTCCCAGAAATGACCCAAGGAGCCTGGCGGACGGTAAAGGACAACGATGGTTAATTGTACCGGGTGAGTAACTGTGACAGCATGGAATTAAAGACAGTGGGGTGGATGGTGGAAGAGGGTAAAGAGAAAAGCTCCATTTGGTGAAATGAGTAGACCTGTGCCACCACCCCTACCAGTGGGCCTGGGAGTGTGGCTGAAGGAGAAGGCGGAGGAGAGAGCGGCTGGGTGGAGGTGTTCTCCGATGTGATCCAGGTCTCGGTGAGAGCGAGGAAGTCAAGCGACTGCTGGATAGCGAAGCCGAAGCCTTGCGAGCAGCTGACTGGCAGTTGCAGAGGCCTCCTGTGACGAGGTGCTGGACGTGAGTGGAGCGGGTGGGATCGGTGAGAGAGGAGGCGTAGCGTATGTAGCACGTAGTGGAGTAAAGTACGTAGTGGAAGTGGGCAGAAGAGTTCAAACATGGAAGGTCACCCACAGCTCTGAGCTTTTATCGCCAGAGTTTAAACAACTTTGGCTGAAGGAAATATTTCACACGCACGTTTCAGTCGTGCATTTACCATCATTGAAATACACCTGAGGAAAACGTGTTTTTACTGCAGTTTGAATTAAACGGTGATAATTAAAGCTGAAGTGCACTAACCTCTTCATTGGTGACAGCGATGGGGTTCAACAGACTGTCACAGCTGCTCAGAGGAGCAGAGAGTCCCACTGAGAGGAGGCTCAGCACCACAGCAGCAACGCACTCCTTCATCCTCGCCATGTTTCTCCTTCTGCTCCCTGCTGTTCTCTGGTCTCCTCACGGCTTAAATCAACAGTGGATGCATCTCACCAGCACACATATCGACGTTTCTGTGAACTGATGTGAGCAAAGCAAACAGCCAGAGGCAGGAACAAGGGGGCGGGGGGGGGGGGGACTCTGACCTGTCACATGTAACAGCACAGGCTGTTATGCACCATGCGTGCTAGTTTAAGCCGTGATTGAGGACATTTTCAGAACGTTCACTGTGCCAAAATGACCAAATACCAAAAACACTTGATCAGAAACGTCTCGTGATACTTTGGTAGTGTGTGTAGTTGCATGTGTCTTTGTACAGTGTGACTGATTATCTGTGCAGAGGACTGTGATCCTTTAAGTGTGGTGAAATCACACAAATATAGAGTACACACAAAACAGCTGGCCGGGTGTTTACATGTGCGGGAAAGACCGTTGTCGTATGAAGGCATGTGGACAAATACACTTTCCCCTGCATTAAACATGCATTGCAGCATGAGGACTCTTCGAACACAACTTGTCAAATTTAAAGAAAAATACGATTAATCGTTTAATCGTGGCACCATCTCTGGTGGGGACGAGTCCGCCTACAGGTGGAGTCTGACCATCTGGTGTCCTGGTGCAGCCAGAACAACCTGGAGCTCAACGCTCTAAAGACAGTGGAGATGGTTGTGGATTTCCGGCGGAACAGAGCCCCACCCTCCCCCATCACCCTGTGTGACTCCCCCGTCACTATTGTGGACTCCTTCCGTTTCCTGGGCTCCATCATCACCCAGGACCTCCAGTGGGAGCTGAACATCAGCTCCATCACCAAGAAGGCTCAGCAGAGGTTGTTCTTCCTGAGGCAGCTGAAGAAATTCAACCTGCCAAAGACGATGATGGTCCACTTCTACACGGCCATCATGGAGTCCATCCTCTGCTCCTCCATCACCGTCTGGTACGCTGCAGCCACAGCCAAGGACAAGGGCAGGCTGCAGCGTGTCCTCCGCTCTGCAGAGAGGCTGATCGGCTGCAATCTGCCGTCCCTGCAGGACTTGTTCGCTTCCAGGTCTCTGAAGCAGCTAAAAAGATCGTAGCCGACCCCTCTCACCCCGGACAAAACCTGTTTGTGCCCCTTCCATCTGGCAGGAGGCTGAGGTCCATCAGGACTAAGACCTCCCGCCACACCAACAGTTTCTTCCCGTCGGCAGTCGGGCTCATCAACAGAGCCGGTCCCCCACTGCCTGACTATAAGACTCCACCGGTCACTCCCCCTCACACTGCACATGCCACTTTAACTGCAATTCATCACTTTGTCACTTGTCACGTTGTCTCTTGTCGGTTACTTGTTCGTTAGTGCACTTTATGCTTAATATTTTTCTTTTTAACTTAGTATATAAATTTTTTTTTTTTTACTTTATTCCCTTATTTATACTAACCCATAAGCCTTATTCTACTAACCCATTGCATTAGCATTTCATTCCACTTTATCTTATTACCTGTTGACTGTTGTCTTGTCTGCCTACTGTCGCGCACTAACCGCCAAGACAAATTCCTTGTATGTTTGACATATTTTGGCTAATAAATGTTTCCTGATTCCTTATGTCGCAGAATAGTTTGTCTGTTACGGTTTTTACACAAACTTCATGTACAACGGCACAGAAAAGCTGGATTACAACAGAACACAGAGGGAGAGCAACGTGATTCTCAGTTCATCTCCCCACTACAGCTTTAATAAATGTTTGCGCAGAAATCATTGGACAAAAATCACAAAATGATGTCTTATCAAAAAGGGTTTTTTTTAATTCAACAAATTGACCCGTTGGTAATAGATTTCTTCATACAGGACAATAACAAACAAATGACAGAAAAAAAGAGCTAAACCTGCTGATCAGTGGGGCGCTACAGGGAGATCTCTGAGCACCACCTCATTGTTACAGCAGTGCTCTGAGGGGCGGGAGAAACGAGAGGAGACGGGTGTGGAGGATGAAGACAGATTGGCGTCTTCGCCTCATGTCGGCCCGTGAAAGTAAGACCGACTGACTAAACAGGATGACCACCTCCTCCGCTCCATCAGCTCTCCGCCCGGGGCGATGGCGAGGACGGAGGAGAACGTAGATTGATGGAGAGACGTATCGATCGCGCTCTGACTTTCTGGTTCTTGATCTGTCCCCAAACCCCCCCTTTCCCTCCTCATCGTCATGCGTGTGGCAGACGCGGAGAGACAGACAGGACCCAGAGACAGACAGGGAAAGGACCACACAGACGGGGGGTGGGGGCAGGGGGTGGCGATTGCTACTCCATGGCCTCCTGGTTCTCTTGGTCTGCGCTGATCTCCTCGCCGGCCTCTTTGCCCTCCTTGCTCCTCTTGCTCTTCTTGTGTTTGTGCCTCCGGTGGCTGTCGCCCTCCTCGCTTTCGTGCCTCCTCCTGCTACTGCTGCTAATTGAAGCAGAAGGACAAAAGTGTGGAAAGGGCAAGGAGCGGTGGGTGGTTGACAAGGGAGAGGAAAGGGCATGGATGGAAGACAATATGGAAAAGGGAGAAAGGTTAGGGGGGGGTAGGAGACAAGAAGATCGATCGGAGAAGGTGACGTGAAATAGAGACGGACAAAAGGTGGTTAGCAAAATAACAGACAACCCAGACAGAAAACACTATAGAACTTTGTTATATAACTTCGTTATAGCGACCATGGCCTTATGTTCCCAAAGTCAGAAGATTAAACGTCTGGCAGACAAGAAGCCTACAGAGAAATAAGACATTTGCCTTTATACTTCCACCGTGAGTCACATGACACAAGCGGACCAGATCAAACAAATCAAACACTTTTTAATTGTTGTAACAATCTGAGCTCAGTGGGAGAAACAAGCCCTTTCAGTGGAGGTACATTGACGGTAAGGAGTTGCCCCATTCCCCAATTACACTGCAGCCTGTTTAGCAGATGGCAGCATCGTTCCCTTAATACTAAACCGATTTCAGAAATCGGTGTCGAAGTTGAAAGATACCAAAAGCGAAGTGATGGAACACTTCAGATGTTCAGAGAACGGTCCCGTGTCTTTTTCTGAGAGGGAGGCGTTGTGTGTGTGCTTACGTACCTGCGAGAGGACTTGTGGCGTCCCTCCTCCTTCTCTCGGTGCCGTCTCTCTCGGTGTCTGTCCTCCTTCTCCCGGCTCGACCGCTCGCGGTGCCGCTCGGCGTAACCACGTTCCTGGTACTCGCGGTAACGGAATCGCTCCTCGTCGCTGCGGGGGCCGAAACAACGGCTTTCACTTTCCTGAGTTACGTTTGCAAGCGTACCCAAACAGTCCTCCGAATGACTGTTATTAAACAATCAGTCTGACTATGAGAGCCCTGTTTATTCAAATATCTGGTTAATTTGTGACCTACATTAATAATATACCATTATAAACATAGACATTAAAACGTAAAACATTGGAAATAAAAATCTTGATATTCCTATTCTAATACTACTCATGATTTCTGCCCACGCTGCAGATAGCTGGTCCACTTACTGAGACCGGCCCAGATACTACGCCTGTGAAAGTGTCTCCGCCCCGCTCACCTGGTGTAGCTAATCGCTGACGGGCTGTGCTCCCTCTCTCTCTCCCGCTCATGCGTCCTCTCTCTGGGCCGCTCCCTCTCCTTCTCTCTCTTTTCGTCTCGACGGTGGTAGTAGTCCCAGGGTTTGGAGTTGTCCATCATGGGGGGCCAGGGTGGAGGCACGCCTCCAGTCATGGGCGGAGGGTATGCGCCTGACGAGGCAAAGAGGAGAGATTATGATTAATAACACAGTCAATGCACAGAAATAATTTTTTTAAACTAATGATTATGAATAGCTAAGGATGCATATCTGATTTCCATTGGTCCGTTTTCAATGCATTTGGACCAGCAGGTAGCAGGTAGCATTGTAGCGCTTCCTACCTTGAGGGAACGGGTAGGGAGGGACCGAGCGTGCATCATAACCGCCAGGGTGGCCACTGTGCAAAGAGAAGAAGGTTACAGCACAATATATAACCTGCACACATAGAACAAATTAATTTGAGAATTGTCTATTGAGCCTGAAGGAAGATGTTAACAGCGCTCTGCTCCAAGATTACGTTTTGTACGGGGATAGAAGCGTTAGATAATACGGAGACTTCAGCAGGCGAGCCAATGTGCTTATTGTGTATGTGTGTAAGTCTGTGGCTCTGCATGTAATAGAACGAGAACATTATTGCTTCAAAAGGTCAGATTGATAACATTTTATGTATCTTAACACAAATAATCCCCACAGTAAGGGATGGAATAAAATCACCCCTGTTCCTGATTCATTTCCAACAAAGCTCATTAGCCAATAGTATAAATCTGTATCTTTGTGATTACGTTGCCCGTTCACATGTACACGGCTGAGTTCATGGTGAGCGGCTCCAAATAGAGGCTGCCTACCATGAGGCTGCCATAACGGCCTCACTGACCTTACCAGCTGCAGGACAGGGAAACAGTTACTATGGCAACACGTGGCGTTAGCATGTATTAGCTATTGTAACTATCCAAAATAAATGACCTGTAAGATGAGAATACAGCAGAATATAGCCAACACACAAAACACTTACCTGTCCATAGTGGGGATGATAGCAGGAGGGGGGCCGCTGGGGGGAGGGGGAAAACCAGGAGGAGGAACTGTGATGGGCAACCCTTTAAGAGAGAGAAGGAGAATTTAAAAAAGTAAATACAGGGACAGATGCTTATAATCACACCAAGGGAACAAATAAGACGGTGATGGCAACAGACTTACGCGGTGGGGGGATGAGTGGAGGTGCAGCGTTGACGTTGGGTGGCGGCGGGAGGAACGGCGGTGGGGGGATGTTTGGGGGAAGCGCTCCGGGAGGGAAGAAGGGTGGGATCTTAGCCGGAGTCGGCTCGGCGTCCGTTTGTTCGGCGATCACCTGCACAACCACCAACAGAATGACTCCCGCGAACGCACTAGAAGGCGCACTGCCGGTCAACGTTAACACGTTAGTAGGAAAAAAGAGACCGTGTTGCTTCTGTGTACCTGGATATTGTTCCCTTCTAGATTGTGTCTGCGTCGCCCTTCCACCCGGCTGATGGTGGCCGTCCCTCCACCGATCACATCGATAGTACCACTCGTCTTCCTGCGGAGAGACCAGGTAAAAAAGGAAAATCAAGGTCTCCAATATGCAGTCAGCCTCACATACATAAACTTCATAATTCCCCCGGTAAAAGCCAGACATTCCTTCTCAATTATTACTTTCATAGATATTTAATGTGAATCCATTTGTGCCAGAAACGTCCGTGATCCCGGAGGAGACAATTAAATACTCTAAGGAAATTATGAATTGAGAAAAATACTGAAGTTTAAGGAAGAATGATTATTTTAAAAAACGCAGGGGTTATCACGAACATAGAAAATAGGACCCTTCTGTCAAAGTAGCTTCTCTTGAAATAAGAAAGGTTTTGGTTGAAAATTAGCTTTGAATTCAGCTAATGATGATATTCTAGTGACTCTAAAGCTCTACATTTTTCACATCGACCACCCAAAAAACAATAACGTATCTCAGGGGCCTTGAAGGTTTTTTGTGGTCAAAAAAAAAAAAGACCAGGGCCCCCATGTTTGAACATCAACACATTTCCAACTTACGTATAATAGGACAAGTCCTGAGGAGGCGGACCTGGCCACTGAGGGGGAGAGATCCTACCATTTTGAAACAAAGGACAGGGGTGAGGAAGATTACAGCAACATCGGCCCAATCACACATGGTCTAACATACTAGGAGCAGAGCCATTAATAAACCTGGTGAAGACCAGGGGCCGGTATTTACAAACCGATCAGAATGATCCGGATTATGCAGCTGATAAAAAAGGCCAGTTCAATCTCCACGGATCCCCATGTGAAAATGAACCGCTTCACAGACATACAGCGTGTACGGGGATGAATCTTTATATAACTCAAACGTATAAAGCTTTTCATGGCTTAATGTTCTGCATAATTAAGAGTAGCCGCTAGGTTTTTATATCGACTAAGTTCAGTCATTAAATGTAACCTGCCGGCTGTGTTACTTAGCGGCGATAAAAGCAAAGTCACCGGTTGAGCTGGCTGACAGCCGGCTTGTACAGGCTGACAGGAGATGTGAAGTCTGGCTTCGACGTGTGAACCGGCAAACTGGACATGTCCTTGTCATTCCCTGTCCGCCCTTGCTGGACCTAAGAAAGGGACAAAAATAAGCTTGTTGGTATATGCAATGTGTTTTTCAAAGTAGAGATATGTTATCTGATCACAATATTGTAGAATTATTTGAATAAGTTTCAAACTGATTTTTGTTAATACTCCTCTGATGTACGACAAGGTGGGTGAAGCATTTGCTATTATGTAAAGTTTCCAGATAAAAGCAAAGCAGGAACTGCTTCCATGCTAACTGATGAGAGGGAGGGGCTGATGAAGAAAAACAGAAAAAGGAGAAGATGGACAGAGTAAGCTCCGGTTTCTCACAGTGATCTTGCTCGTCACCGAGCCGATAGTAGAGACCTCCAGGCCCATGCGCAGTCTCCTCTGTTTCTCACAATAAGCTTTCCAAGTGTCTTCATTGAAGCCGTAGTTAAAGTAGTCCGATAGATCCGCTCCTACACACACAAACACACACACACACACACTACTGTAAATGGCAGGAAGCCTGTATATCACCAAATATCCAGAAATCGCTCATAACTGAGATCCTGTTTATATTTTTATATATATATATATATATATATATATATATATATATTATTTTTAACTACATACACACACCTGGCTTTCTCCAGGGCTTCTCTTCAAAGGACTCCACTTCCGCTTCCAGCACTGGAACCCCGTTAATGTTACCAGGAGCGTCCAGATCCACTCCCTTCATCTTGGAAGCTGCAGAAAATAATCAACATCATAACATGTTAACTAGACATCAACATTTTGGTTCAAACTCTTTACTCTCCTTGTAATATCAAAGTTCTCTGTGATTTGAACTGGATAGTGGAGAGAATAATACGCCGTTTTAAGGTCAAAACAAAAATACCTTGTCCATAAGGTCTGGAGCCGGTCTTTATGTTGAGATTGACAGGTGGAGCGCCATAAGTTCTGTGAGGAAAGAACAAATAAAACTGTCATAAGGTCTCCTCTTAATATAACTGATGTAAATACATGTACAAGAGGTTAGCTTTAGGAGAAGGATCAAAATACATCTGGTTGGAACAAGAACTGTCTCTTTTTGTTAATTAACAAAAGTGAGTTTGACTGAAAACCTACGTGTACTGTGGCGCTCCAGTTTTAATGTCTCCAATGGTGACGCGGACATCGTCGTCGTCGTCATCACTGTCGCTGTCACTGTCAACGTCCTCACCTGCTCCTGCACCATCGCCCTCGCCTTCACCCTCACCTGTGTCCTGACAGAGCATGGGGGGGGGGTCTCGGGGTTAACCAAGAGAACACTTTGCACTAAACCTCCGTTTAGAAACAGGGCCCGGCGAGGTAAGGAAGCGCACAAACAAAACAGAGAGAAAGCACGGCGCATAGTCGAACACACACTGTGTGCATGCACACGAGGGTTACCTACCTCAGAGGCCACTCCATTGCCTGTAGCGTGTGCTGCAGCATCCTCTGTGGAGGCATCAGCAGGTGCACTGTAGATAAAAGGAAATTCTACTTGAAATCATTACAAGCAGGGCTGTCTTTTTTTACTGAACTTCACAATCTCGATGCAAATGCAGCACAGGATTAAAAAGTTACTATTCCATAATAATGGCAACGAACACAGGTTTTGTATCTAGTCATTGTAAAGCCACTGATAAGAATGTATCTTACAATGGTGATGAAATGATGTTGTCAATTTGTATACAACACAATTTGTATATAATGAAGATTTAAGAGGTTTTGTCCTTTATTTTACATTTCTTTTGAAACCCATGAAGGCATACTTATGAATAGCCCTTGGATGTAAACAAGTGATCTTTTTAGTTCTCAAGTCTCTTTCAGAAAGTCCAGGTGTCGATGTGTGAACACAGATGACACAAACCTGACTGCTGCATTCAGTTTGGCTTCTTCGTCTTCATCTCTGCCCTCGGACTCATCTGAAATATCAAAAAGGCACAAAAGTTCTTTCATTCAGACAAGCTAGCTCTAGAGGCTATTCGTTAGCTTCTCATGTGTAACATATGCACACAACGCAATTCAGACACACCTTGGCGTTTAACACATTTCACGTTTTCATTGTGCTAAAATTAAAAATGTGTGGCAGGGATATATTTTGTCACTTTTTTTCTCAAGTCATACGGCCACAAAGGCCAGCAAAGCAAGCGAGGACAGCTAGCTTAGCTTAGCTTACCGGCTAACGTTGTTATCTTCTCACACTACTACCGTGTTATGGTCAGCAGTTATCACGCGCACAAACAGACACACACGCCGTTTTGGCCAAGAAGAGCCGTTTGCAGACAGAATGGCTTTTTCTTGTCATACCTCCGTACAGCCATTCCTCCTCCTCATCTCCAGCACTGGCATCCGTGGTGGTCGTTTTGTCCGCTTCCTCCGCGGACATGTTTAGCTAACACGCAGCGCTTCAGGCTCAACCAACAGCGGCGTCACAAGAACACAATACTCAAAGAAAAGCTTTTCAAAATGTGAATTCACGTACAGTGTTTCCCTTCTGCCGGGAAACGCGGTTATGTACCAGAAATTACGCCCTCATAACATTCATCTTCGAGCGAGGCGAGCGAGGGAATGGTGCGAACCCGGAAGAGGTTGTTGGCGTCCCGCTGCGGTGAACAAAACACAGCGCCGCCAGGCGGCGGAGGCCGGTAGTGCTTAATATAAGATCATGGCCTCAGCTCTTCTTACCTTCCCCCCGGACCTGGACTCAATCCAAAACCGTTTCATTATGGCTTCTTTGTTGTGTCACTTGATATCTTCAAAGGGAAAGAATTGAGACAGCTTATCTTGACTCCCTCAGACAGTTTAACCGACATATCGCATCATTGACTCCAAGGGTTCCTGCCAACAGTATGAGGAAAACATCACGCCCATGTGTCCTTATTAACCATTTCATTCCTAAATCATGAGTTCTCAATTGGTTCAACACAAGTCTCTACTGGCTACTACCTAGATGGGATTCAGCCATCATTAAGTTCATTATTGTTTCTACTGTGACATGTCAAAACACTTAGAAGAAGAAACACACCCGAAAGGAGGTAAGAAAAAGTTCAGTGTACTTAGTGCCCACAAACCCTTGGTTACAACACACACACACACACACACACACACAGACATAGTGGTGGTGGGGGTGCAGACTGTCAGTAGGGGCCCACAGCTCATTAATGCCCCAGGGCCCCTAAGTGGATTCAACTGGCCGTGGCCACCAGAGAGAGGTTGAGCACTGGTGTTGAGCTCGCTGAGCACTCACATTCATCCCAGCATTGTTGAGTGTTGTTGAGGTTTGTGTTGGTCAGTCAAGTTTTTCCACATTCAGATTTGGGGGGGGGATCCGTTTCTTCATCCCCTCATCCACAACAGGAACGGTGCTTTTGTCCAAACATCATATATGGGTGTCACAATCTATAAAAAGCAATCCCACACCAAAAGAAGAACGGTATTTGCACAGTAGACTCTACATACTTTTGTCCACCAAGCAGAAATATGCTACAATGTCACATTGTGAAATGTAACAGAGACAGTCGGTGAAGTGCAGCTTGGGAGTGAAAAGCGGAAGGGTTTAACTCGTTGGACCGCCAAGGAAATGAACATCGAGGCTAAGCACCCTGCTGCAGTGGGCCGTCATTTAGACTGCGGTTGTTGGTTTTACTGAGCAGCAACAAATCTATATACTTCTATCGCTATGGCTGTGCAGATTTAAAGCAGGGCGTTGCTGGAGAAGAGAAAACATCCTCAGGGTGTGCTAACATTATTCATTTACCACTACTCTAATTCTAAAGGGTGTACGGAGAGGCAATGATAAATGAAACAAGAGATAATCAATGAATGAATGCTAAATAATTGAATATGTAAATATATTTAGTTGTAATTTGAAAGAAAACCCAGTGTGGGCTCTGAGCTGTCTTTAGGGTTAAACAGCAGCAAATGCTCGGTGACCTCTGGTTGCAAATCGAGATTTAGGAGCGGCCTCCCGACCCCTGTGCACCCTTGTGCACCCTTCACAAGTCTCGGCTTCTAGAGGCTCTCGGAGCTGGAGGCAATCCACTTAATGCAACTTCATTTCTCCAAAATGCACTGAATGAATAGACTTCCCTTGATATTTTATTGCACCCCCATCCCCCCTCACACACACACACATTTCCCTCAACCTGCATGAGAGTTTAGTTTCGTTGTTGCAGAGAGAGCCGAGCCGCATCTCCCCCTTTTTCTGCGTCTATGAAATCAAGCAGCAGCTGCAGTGGTCATAACCAGCAAACAGATCACTGTTGTGGTTCTGTACACCCCCAGTAATGCAAAGAGGATTGTTAATGCATTTATGGCCTTTTAAGTGGAATCCACTTTTGCGTTGTCACTAAACGCCAAGAGAAAGTCTGTGGATTCTTTCACTCTCGCTCTTTTTCTCCACCACTCAAGCTTTTTTATTTTCTTTACAGTGAAAATATGACTACAGTGATTATGCAGATGCAAAATCCACACAGGTATGATGGAAGTAGATTGGTGAGAAATCAGGAAACATGCTTATACGCAAGGAGGGGGGCTGCCATGCACAGCATTCACACACAGTGGTCATTTTATATTTGTGAGCACAGTGATGTTTTCTGATACTATAAGTACTGCATCACATCTGAGCTGTTGTGTGGATCCCTGTGTGTGCACAGGACACACACACATGTCAGGATGGATGCAGAGAGTGAGAGAGAGGGATACCAATGGTTTCTCAGTTAAACTAATCATGGACATTGCATTTGTTTTATTCTCTCCGTCTCTCCTGACCTCATGTTACTCCTCAGTATATAACTCCATACTTTTACAGCATCACAGTCCCTTTGCCTGTCTCTCTCCACTCTTCCCCACAAATAATACTAACATGATAGTTATGTTGATAAGTGTGTGCATGGTGACATTATATGTACAATGGAGAAAACTGTGTTTTTCTGGGATCATTGACCCTGCAAATCCTTAAACATTTCATCAATTGGCCAAATGGCTCACCCTCCTTCAGCGATGGATAGTGACTTAATAGAGATTCATTTTGATGACATTCTTAAAGGGTGCCACTTTAACGATAGCCCATTTGTCGATTGTCAAAGGCGTTCTTGGTAATGATATTGTTTGTAGTTAAAATTGTAACTCTGATAATTCCGTGATAAAAAGGTGTTTTCACACTTTTGAGTTTACAATTTTGAAACCAGAAAGATTTAATTGAATTATCTAAGTTGATGTTTTGGAAATACATTGTTTTCAAAGGGCGGCAGCAGTGGATTCTAACAACATATCATTCACCACACAAATATTCTGTGAAAGAAATAAAACCAATGACATAAATTAATAACATTTAAAAAGATAACATATCCATACAGGTGATGCTGATGTTTATTATTCCACCCATTCCACTTATGTCAGTGGGGGTGCAACAAACAACAAGCTCTGCCTCCTCCTGCACCCTGTTTGCCTCTATGTCCCCTTCGTGCTTTCCTCTTCACCTCTCTCAGTGCTCCCTCCCTCGCTCCCTGCAGCCATCCCTCTCTCCTCACGGTGGATTAGGCCTCTTACAGCCTGGTCGATGCTAATCGGGTTTATCCAGACAGAGGGCGATCATTGGACTATCTGTAATTACACTCGCTGATATTAGCTTACTCAGATATGTGCACTGGCACATTTTCAATCCACAACATCTCTGTGGAACATGTGGTCCTTTCCAAAGTATGACGCCAAGCACGGCGGCTTATTACGGCGGATTCAACTCTTTTGTCTCGAGACACAAAGATCCATCTGCCGGAAAGATAAATGTTGTTTTTTTCTAGATAAAGCCTCAATGTATGAGATCATTGTCACAAATGTGATTACAGAAACTACTAGTTTTATACTGATGTGCAATTCAGATTTGAGCTCACTTGGTCTGTGTTAGATGTTCACTACAAAACCAACCATATATACGTTTATTTGGTTTCTGCATTGATTTAAATGGAAAGACACGCTCGCAGGTCTGGACAGTAAAGATGAAGCTGCAGACATTTAGCTCAGCTTTGCACGAAGACGGCTCTGTCCAGAGGTAATGCAATCCACCTTCCAAAAAGCTTCTAAAGCTCACAAATAAGCAACTATGTCTTGGTTCTGAGCAGTTGCCAGGCAACCAGTTAAGACTCTAGGATGTAACTGTCTGGTCCAGCCCCAAAAAACATTGTGATTGTTCTTATTGGGATTAACAAATAGACAGCTATGACGGTTGTATTTATCTTTAATTTAACTCCAAGAGAGAGCAGAAAAACTCTTTAAGGTTCTCTAAGGCCCTACATTGTTTCACTGAGGAAATGGTATTTATTTATTTATTTATTTAACCACATCTTAGTCTGATCTGAGGTGAAATACCACAATTGAACCGTGAATGGACACTTAACAACCACAAAGAGTGGATGGAAAAAAACAAACAACCAACCTCCCCCGACTGCAATCAAGGAGAGGGAAGACACATGAGACAGACATCAGGGTGATCGTGTCTAGTCAGCAGACAGAGAGCAGTGTGGAGGCATTCGGGGCGAAAGAAAGATCTGGTCGGGTCTGAGCTGGCGGCCAATCATGGGAAGAAGAAGCGATGAGGTATTGTTTCAGTTTAAGCGCGTGTCCACGCGCGTGCGTTCTCCTGCTTGTCTCCTGTGGTTTTGTGGAGCCAAAGAAGGCGTACGTGCCCGCCTGAGGGTGTGAACATCCATTTGTAGGCGATTGAGTTAGGATCTGTGTGTGTGTGTGTGTGTGTGTGTGTGTGTGTGTGTGTGTGTGTGTGTGTGTGTGTGTGTGTGTGTGTGTGTGTGTGTGTGTGTGTGTGTGTGTGTGTGTGCGTCACTAACAATGAGAGGGTTGAATGAGGACTGTGAACAAGAATAAGAGAGAGGAATGTTTTTTTCACTATGTAATCTAATATAAGTGGCCATCTTTCTTGTATAAAACCTCCGTTGCCCTCTAAGAGGCCGCTGGCCTCATCTGTCTAAAAGCACTGAGTGAGTCATGGTGACTTCACGCACACACAGACAACGTCACAGTGAGTCAGCCGAGATCTGCCCCAGCCGCTCACCTAAATGATGAATAATGTAAGCGGGACAGGCACAGCATGCTGCTCCCCTGACCTGTGTTCTCGGTGGACAGCAGACATGCGGATGATCTGGAATCCCGCGCGCAAACAAACACGGCGACACCTTCCCTCTGGCAGCTGGCGGACAGGTGAATTGTACTTTGACACCTCGGGGGGCCGGTTTGCTTTGTCTGCGTGCAGGATTATTCGTGCGGCCGAAGTCAATCTGTCGCTGTCAACATTGAGGGAAAATGTTTATGCACTTTTGGTTGGAGAGTTAACTCAGCATAACGACTGAAAACAGGGGGGAAACAGCCGGCCTGCAACAAGATGAACAAACCAGCAGCCTTAAAGTTCAACAGTTGTGTCAGTTGAATTGTTAAACCCACACAGTTAAAAATGATAATTCAACATCTGGTGAGCTGAACATCAATGAGCCCATTTTCCAAATTGATTAACCATTCCTTCAGTGTTCATTGCTCGATAAATGTTTGGGGTAAGCCTTGAGGGTCCTTCAGGGGTTTTAGATGTGCAACCCGATTTTGCAGAAAAAACAACCAAATATTTGACACATGGTTGGGCTGAGGCTGACCTTCATGCTTCAAGCTTCCCAGTTAAAAGCCTACGCCCCAACCACTACTGCCATCCCTGCCACACGAGCGCATTGGCCTCACAGCAACTTCCACAGCGCTGTTTGCCGGGATTTCCCAGTCAAATCAAGCAAAATCCCTCAAAGGACTCAAAGGACAGGATGAAATAGGTCATTGATTAACGAATCAGGCAGTTGGTCCTCTTTGCACATGCACACCAGGAAGGAAACTGCCTGAGATACTAAAGCTCCCCCCCCTGTGTGTTAGCAGAAGTGAGATCTGTCCACGGTTTTATTACCAATCACATTTTCTGGAGAATTATGAAGCAAAAACAAACTAATGAGGTAAAAGAATTGATTAAAGAAAAGTGCTCTGTTTGTTTAGCATCGTCCTGCCGTCATGTGCTGAAAATGAGGCGCGTTGCCGGGGGGCGGGACATGAGGTTAGAGACGAATCATGTGGGTGAGAAAAAAACACAACAGCCCAGTGTTCCCTCACATTATCCTCTGGACCAACAAGGAACACACACCAGAAGATACAAAACCCCTCACATAACCTCACACACACACACACACACACACACACACATTGCTTTCTTTTTAAAGATTGAAGTATTTAAATGTTTTGAAGTATTTAAAAGTTGTCACCGCCAAATAATACACCTCTTCTTTGTTTTTTTGGGGATTATGAAAAAGGATTTGAGGGGTCCGGCAACGCCTTATAACAGATGTAATACTAATACTGGCGTGTAATAATTGTGTGAAGAGCAAAAACGTGTAGATGTTGGGGCTATGAAGAGAAACACATTGGTATGTTCATGAATGGTTGAGTTTTGGCTTATTTCAGTTGCTCTGCAGCCTGTCAGCGTTGTGCAATTATTAAAGCTTCCCTAAGAATTACTCTTTATTGTTTTTTTTGTTCGTGGGCCTTCTGAAAGTTGTTGCATGTTTCGTCTTATACGTTATCGACCCCAAAATGCTCACTTTGTGTCAATTTCCCTCCTGTTGAGCACTTAGATAGCACTTAAAAAACATGCTCTATAAATACATTTGACTTCTTTATAACATCCAAACACTTGTGACGCGGTCTTGGGTCTGACCTTTGTAATATTGTTGGGCCTTTGGGTAATGTGGGTCCTACACGACCTCCTGCTGAGCCTGATGTTTGTTGGCTCTTTGTGGGTTGTGAAATTGATTAAATCTGGGAAAGGTGTGGGACCAACGTACGTCTGACTGGTCGAAGCTGGGAAACGCGAGACATCAGGAGCTCGTCACAAGCTGGAGGCCTCTCTGTGGGAAACTCATCAGCTGTCATCAAGAAGTGTCACGTCCGGGGATAAACGTCTGAAAGACCCCGCCAGCTCCCCCATCACTGGAGCCATTCATTACCGGTTTAATTGACCTCTCGCAATGACTGTAGAATAAAAGAAGAAGGCGAGGATGCTTTCGAGCGCATCACCTTGGCCGCTCTCCAGCCAGTGCGGGTCAGTTAAGGAGTGGCAGGAGCCGTGGAGGAGAGCCGCAGCACTGCGCCTTTAAGCCGCGGAGTGGACTCGTGCGCGCGCGTGTGTGCGCGCGTGCGTGTGCGCGTGTCGCAGCCGTGCTGGCTCGTTGTGTTGTGCGCCCCGCGCCGTGGAGGGACCTGCTCGGTGGATGCGGTGGATGCGCACGGGATGCTCCTTCCCGCACTTGTGTCGCGCGCAGTGAAGCCAAAGATTTGAACGAACGAAAAGCTCGAGTCGTGTCTGATCATGAGGTGCTGCTGGCTGGCGTTCGCCTCGCGTTTTGTCCTGCTGCCACTTTCAGGTAAGAAAGGAAGTATTGTTTAAATATTGTCTTTGAGCGACTCGCGGTGTGGCGGCGTTCGCAATGTTCATAGAGACCTCATGATACCGCGACATAAATGATCGTTTGGTTCCTTTCATTTCCAAATGATCCCCGACAGGGTCCTTTGGAAGTGGCGATGCCTTTGTACTTTGTGCGTCATTACAGAATTACTTTAACAATCTTTGTGTATTTTAGTATTAAAGTGTTGCTCTGTCTCCAACGGTTTGCTACACATTTTTTATTTAAAGTCCATTCCGCTCCTAATTACATGTGGAGAAGCTTAAAATACACGATCTGTCTCCACGGAGACGTCCATCACACCCAAGTGTCCTTCAGCGGGGCAGTTGGATCAACCTGTAAGATCACATATTTGCATGACCTTACTGTTGGGTCGCATGGCCCACACGAGGGGAGATGCCACTGCGTCTACCTGTCGCGGCAGCCAACAGGTGTGTGCGTGCATTCTGTGGTCGATTAATTCTTCATCACACCGACGTAAAAGGGGATTAAGTTGTGCGCCTTAGCGCGGCCAGCAGGAGCAACAAAGCGGAGGAAACACACCGAGCAGCACCTCACATTTACCCAGCTGCGCCTGCTGTGAAGAGCCCCGTGTTACTCACACGAAACAGCCTCAGGTTCTGTGCGAGACCTTTTGCCTTCCCAAACATCCACCGCATCTCTCAGCCAGATACCAAACATGCACTCTGCAGCCCGCACAAAAACACATTCATCATTGTTTATGCGTGTGTGTGTGTGTGTGTGTGTGTGTGTGTGTGTGTGTGTGCTTCCCCTCTTTGACTTCTCGCCCCGAAGGCACAACAGTCACATGAAGATCCAGTTTTTCGGGGCTTATCATGTTGAAATCTGGAAGGAAAAGCAAAGTTGTAACTGGAGGGGGAGAAGGGGGGCTCACTCATCTTGTGGATGTGGATGTAGGGGACTTAATGCATGTGTACTCAGGGGGCAGGCAGCTCATCGTTATTGATTGTTCAACTGAGGCGTGGTGGTTTGATAGCACTCTCTCCTTGGGGGCTCTAACATTCCATTGAACCGCCACGTGTGTGCGTAACTGTGGTGGCAGTGTGATGGACTTGACAAAGGAGTAATCTGCGTAAAACCCTAAACCTCTATTTGCTTTGTCCTGTTAACGCTCTTTCCGTTGATTTCCATCTCTTCCTTGCAACTCCTTCATTCATCCAGATAACGGTGCTTATGTGCAGCAGCTGCGGCTGCACCCAAGCTCCACCTGTACGTCATCCACATGACCTCCCTCTGTGCTCTGTCTCACAGTTTGGTGCCAGCCGGTCATCTCGCCCAGCGGGCCCCACGTAGTCGTTCCCCAGGGGGGAAGGCTGGAGCTGCGTTGCCATGACAGCGACGCGACGTCTGCCTCCCCGTCCGGGGTGAGGTGGGAGAGAGCTCACAGGTTGGAGGGAGAGGTGAAGGAAGGCGCAGTGGCCTCCGTCACGTTGCCGGAGGCCAAGGGCCACCACATGGGTCGCTACGTGTGCGTCAACAACAGCACGCGGCAGCACAGCTCCATCTACGTGTATGTCAAAGGTGGGTGTTTTAAGGCGGAGGCGGCGGCGGCGGCGGCTTGAGGTCGCGCGGTTCTGTGCGATGCGTCTGTCAACGTGCACCTTCCTCTGGTCTCCCCAGAGCCGCAGAAAGCGTTCCACAGCACGCTGGTGAATAACCTCCTGGCGCGCGCCGGAGATAACTGCACCATCCCCTGCCTTGTGACCGACCCCGAGGTCTCCCTGCTGGCCTTGGAGACGTGCGATGGAAAACCTTTGCCCTCTAATGTGAGTTACCGCAGCGACCTGCAGCGAGGGGTCACCATCAGCAGCATCAGCAAGGAGAACGAGGGCTGCTTCAGGTGTGTGGGGCAGCTCGCTGGGGTCAAAGTGAGGTCGAGTAATTACACGGTGGACGTACGACTCGGTGAGTGAGAGACACTGCAGATTTTTTAACGTTTAACTATTCTTGAGAACTCCAGGGTTCAAGGGGTCTTCTGTGGTATGTGTGTGCACTGGTTTGGGTGATAATTAACCCTAAAGGGTTAATGAAAGCTGTTGACAGGTGAGTTTGAGGGCTGATATAAAGTCAGCCTGCCTCCTGCAGCCTCCCAGTACAGAGGGAGTGAAAAGGGAAGCCAAAGCTTCTGGGTTGGGAATCGTAATGCGAATGTTCCTCATAGAGCATGTGCTGTAACTACTTTCACGGCCCCCTAAAATGGGTATTTGGATGTCTCTTGTAGCCTGACTCTAAAACAGAACTTGTTCTGCTGGTTTTTAGGTCACAAAACTAATATTATAAACCTTTAAATGGTTCACCAAAGTCAGCGAGACAGGACCAAAAACATTATCCCTGAAATAGTGTGAACCATCAGGCCAGCAGAGCCAATAACAGGGCTACACATCTTCATCAGAGGCCATAATGCATGCGGGCAGAGCTCTGGGGCAGTGACAGCAGATGTGTTTTCCCCCGTAGCTTTTCATATGAGCTATATTAATAGCGAATGTACCATAAAAGCATCTCTGAGTGGACCTCGGTTGGAACCGATCATATTTCTATTGGTCCCTGCGATGCATCAGCATTTTCAGTCGGTTCTGCAGTGGAAAGGAGTGTAAAACAGAGAGCAGCTGGGAGGAGCCGGGCCACAGTGTCCGGATGGAGGGAGGGAGGGAGAAAGGAGGAGGGAGGGAGGGGAGAGCGGAGGGATTAGAGTCCCACACCAAACAAAGCTTTGCAACGTGCATGAAGGCCGTGTCTGGTGTAAACAGAATTACCGCCGTCTTCATCAAACACAGGCGCAGTGACACCAGCTGCCATTAAACGTCATAAAATAATAGTGGCCTGCACGTCCAAATCGACTACTTGTGTGTTTGTTATTAGTGTATGTTTGTTCAGTGACTCCAATCAAGCTCCTCCAACGGTCTTGAACGGCTGCACACGGATGTTGTAATTTCACACTGTTCAATAACACGCGACCGCTAGTGAGTTTAAATGAGTCATCCGATGAAATCAGTCAGGATAATGTTGATTTTGCGTCTCTTGATTCAGTGCCAGAGGTGCCTCCAGGGATCACGTTGTCCCACAAAGGAACAGTCATCCTAAGGAGGGGAGAGACGTTTGACGTGACCTGTAGCTCCAACAACGTCAACCCGGCCCTCAGCGTCAAGTGGGAATTCCCTTCAACAGCGGTGAGATTGATGGAGGGATCGACTGGCTGACCTTTGGCCTCACGTCCGGGTGTCAGGATGGGAAGCGTCCTGTGTTTCTGTCTGACTTGCTGACTCTCTTTAAGTACATTAAGCTTTAACAACCCGAGACACTGAGATGTTTGCACTGCATGTGGATTACGGGATGCTGAGGTCAAACGCTGAGTAATGGTTTTAATGGTAGTGCAGAAAAGGTCTTTTTTAATGGTTGAATCCTACTATTTGCTATGTAAAGATGTGTGATGTCTACCTGTGCCTCAGCACCCCGATGAATCCGACACCTCACACATCCTGTCCGGTTCCGGCGGATACCAGCGCGTCGCCTCGCTCTCGATCAAAGCTGTCAACCAATCAGACTCGGGCACTTACCGCTGCCGCGCCCACAACGAGAGAGGCAGCAGTGCCACATCGGTGACGCTGGACGTCCGGGGTGAGTGTCGGGACGGTCACGCACGGGTGGGGTTGCAGACACAAACAACGGATGGATGCTCACCAACGTTATCTGGGCTCCTCTGAGCCGGCAGCAGCGCCCGTCCCTCACAGCGTACACAGGAATGTTAAAACACGGAAAACCTACGACATAAGATCTCAAATTTGCATAGTATGCAAATAAGTAGACGCCTTAGTAAAACATTGTTCAAAACGTGAGATGAACACGAGTTAGGCAAGACACACGAGTCAGACCAGGTGCAGCAGGACACAAGGATGTTCCAAAAAATCAACTTTTTGCCAAAATGAATCAACATGTTTCTTCGAAAGCAAAGAGCGGGAAAACCAGCTCACCAGATTTGACTACCAGATGTGCGGCACAACGTCCCATCACATGATTTACACTGGAAAGCCAACTCATCTGTAGATCTCATAAAAACCTACAGATGGGAACGCAAAGAAGCTCAGGCACATTTGCATCTGGCATTTTGTAAAATTCTTTGAAATCCCAAACGGAAACAGTGGTAGTAGGTTGAAGAAGCACGAGTAGGTATCTGTAAGCATGTAACACAGGGAGCACGCAAATGACACGGCATCTACACTGTGACCAACACACAACATGGATGGGCCGCTGTGTAAATGCGATGGGGGGCGCTTCTCCTCTTTGTTTCTGATAAGATAAGGGGTTCATCACCACGTTAGGAAGCCCAGGTCCCATCCAGGCCGAGGTCAAAGAGGGGCAGAGCCTGAGCCTCAGGGTGGAATTCAATGCCTACCCGGCCCCCAGCTCCCTGTCGTGGGCTCACAACGGCAAACGGCTCCTCAACACCACGGAGCACGTCATCGCCGTCCACCGCGGCAAATACAGGTACGCCGAGTTCCCCCGCGCGCGGAGGCCGTGCACCGGCGGACGCGTTAACAGCCGCGCTGTGTCTCACCAGACTGCTCAGCGAGCTGCGACTCGTCAGGGTCCTCCGCTCGGAGGGCGGGATCTACGAGGTGTCGGCCAGCCACGAGGACGCCGCCGTCCATCATACATTCCACGTGTACGTCATCAGTAAGTGGCCCTGGCAGTTACTGCACAGCCTTAGTGGTAATACATTGTCTATGATTCATTTTTATCAATCTGCCCACCTTTTCCCACCACCAGGCAAGCCGGTTATCATCGGCCAGGACGGCCCTATTGATGGGCAGGTGCGGTGCATCGCCGCTGGTTACCCAGTTCCTAGGATCAGCTGGTTCTTCTGTGAGCTGCCCCACACCAGGTACACCTAACAAGTGTTTAGGTCCCTTTATGTACCCTATGAAACAGCTTCCATCAGATCGATGCTGTGTCACTGTTATGGATGTAAACCGTTTGGGTGTTTCATGTTTTATGTTTGGACCTCAGTGTCATTATTTATATTAGATTAAATCTATCTGAAAGGATGATTTAATAACATTCCCTAGAAATGAACTGCATCACATTGTAAAGTACCACCTTATTTTATTTTGTTAATCCTTCTTATTCATAGTCAGCTCCGTTTCATTAAAAACTGTAACAGCAGTGTGACTCGGGAGCATTTCACAATAATCCTCGACACCTTCTGTTGTTTGGTCTGCCGGCTCCTCTGGGAGCAGAAGAGGCTGATGAGAAAAAGTTTCATGTGATCACATAATCTCCTTCGTATTCAGACAATTAAGCCAACGACATTTTGACTCTTGGCCAACACAATATAAGCAGTTTAGGACACGAGGAGCTTTGATTTGAATTGATTTGATGAAGCAGCGTGAAACCACTTCGTGACCCTCCGCAGGTGCTCGCTGCTCCCCAACGCCACAGAGTGGGAGACTGCGGATGTTGCCGTGGTGACAGATTCCTCCTTTGGTCGTGGCGAGGTGGTGAGCCGGCTGAACGTGAGCACGGAGCACGCGCACTATCACACCCTGGAGTGCGTGGCGAGCATGGAGGGCGAGGAGGTCTACACGCTGTTCTCCATCAGCGGTACGACACGCACGCACACATTGTGTCTCTGGCGCCCATTTGGTTGGTTATTGGGTGGAGATTAGATGAGATTAGTGCATGCTGACTGTGCAGGTTGGGATTAGATGGTGCAGTCTTATCCTCGGCAAGCCACCGCTGCAGCGCTGCGCGCCGACACCGAGGAGGTGGATGTGAGCGCGCGTTGTGTTTGCGTGTACTTGATGTCTGATCCGCTGCCGGCGTGTGTGTGTGTGTTCTTCTCTCAGAGCGCATCGTCCCCCATAAACTCTTCACTCCTCTCCTCACTGGCACGGTGGCCACCGGCATCCTGCTCAGCCTCATTCTCGTGGTGCTGCTCTATAAATACATGCAGGTAAGGCAGCAAGGAGATCGGACACAGCAATAAAGACGTAGCTTTAGATATGAGGGGGAGAGGGCTCACACATGGAGAGAAACAAACGGCTCTGACAAAAGGCCCACTCTCACTAACTAATGACTCGTGCCTCCATGTTGATTATTGTATGTTTTAGGTTTTCAGGAATCGGATTCATTTATTTTTTCTGCATGTGGTAGAGGAAGTATTTCCTTTTAAGTGATATGAATGTGTCTTGATGAATTGAAATGAACCAATCAGCCATTAAAAAGTGGCACACACACACACACACACGCAGCGTGCTGCCCTTGTTGCATGCAGATGAGTCAGACTGCACGAGCAGGAGTGATCTTTACTACGGGCAGACAACTGAACTGAAGTTGAAAACAATCACTTTCTCTGAATAAATGCTGTACGAATCTCTCCAAACTTGAACAGAAACCAAAGTTCCAAACCCAGTGGAAGGTCGTCGAGAGTATCCACGGCAACAACTACGTATATATCAACCCCACCCAGCTGCCGTATGACTCCAAGTGGGAGTTTCCTCGACAGAAACTACGCTTCGGTACGACGCCCCAGAGCTGGTTCCTCTGTTGAGTCGATTGAGGCAATTTGAAATACGTTTCCCTGCATAAAAACAAGACAGTTATTATTCATTCTGCAGTATTTTAAATGTCTTAAATGGTGCGCCATGGGGATCTTAGGTGTATTTATAAAATACTAATGTGTTTGTGTGTGTTCCCACAGGTAAAACCTTGGGCTCTGGGGCGTTTGGAAAGGTAGTGAGGGCCACAGCGTATGGACTCTGCTCCGCAGACACCGTTACAACTGTTGCCGTTAAGATGCTCAAACGTAAGTGTGTGTGTGTTTTTATCTCTCTCTCTTTTTGTGGCTCTGCCCAAAAACGTCACTCTGTCATTCCTTGTATCATAACTAAACACCACAGCTGGGTTTGTAACCGTAATACATTAAATCACGTCCGGGTCCTCATTAGGTTCTGACTTTCTGGGTGTCGGGGCAATACTATGAGACACACGCCGACCAATTGGATGATTAATAGTTTGTATGCACGTATATAAATAAAGGAAGTAATGTCCTTATGATGTCATCCCAGCCAACGCTCACGCTACGGAAAAGGAGGCGCTGATGTCAGAGCTGAAGGTGCTCAGTTACCTTGGAAACCACGTGAACATCGTGAACCTGCTGGGGGCCTGCACTGTCGGAGGTGAGGGAAGAGTCTGGAGTCTAGTCTCTATTTTAATGCTGAGGGTACAAATGTTTCTAGCGTTTGCTTATTTATTATGTATCTGCAGACTGATTATGTTTTATGGTTGTGTATTGTGCTGACTTGCTGAGCTCAGGCAATATTGATCTCTTGTGGAAAATCAGATATTGCGAAATCGTGATGCAGTTTGACTTGTCAAGGATTTACTTTGCAATCGATAATCATGTTGCACTTGTGTAGACCATCAACATTGATCATAATGCAGCATTCGCTTGAGTGTGCTGTGAAGAAGCTCTTTTGCACAAATTCAACGCAAAATCATCATTGGAGCTTCGTGTTTCCACGTCTCTTTTCATTGTTCGGTGGTGTTTCAAAATCAGCAAGTGAGGTTTTCTTTTCATCTCTTTTCACCCTGCCAGGCCCGATTTTGGTGATCACAGAGTACTGTTGCTATGGCGACCTCCTCAACTTCCTGCGCAGAAATAGAGAGGCCTTCAAGAACTCCCAAGTTGGGGATGGTTACTATCGCAACGTGTCGAACCCAACGGAGCACACAGCGAGGTGCGCATGTGTGTGTATTACAATTGTGAATTCAATTGCAATATAATGTCTGCTTAATGCTTATGTGTGTGTGCGTGTGTGTGTGTGTGTGTGTGTGTGTGCAGCGGAGAGGTGACTGCTACCGAATACGTGCCCATGCGTCCCTCTGAGAAAGAAGGGTCCTTCCAGTCAGGTAGAAAGTGTCTCAGTCCGCTCGTCTCACCGTGCATTTGAACGACACGCGGCAGAAGTGTGACGATGTCCTCTCCATTCAGTCGACGCAGAGGAGCTGTCTCTGGACCCCGAAGACCTCCTCAGCTTTTCCTACCAGGTGGCCAAGGGAATGGAGTACATTACCTCCAAGAACGTAAGGCTTTTAGTGCGCTTTCTTTATTCATAGAGTCGTTACGGGAGGGATTTTAATAGTGCTGCTGCTGGTTTATGGCCTGTGTCCAACACGCCGTCTCATAGTGGCCGTGCATTCAGAACTACACATGATGCATTATCAGGCACCGCGCACACAGTGAAACATGACCAACCTGATTCACTATGTTTCTGTTAAATGAAGCAACATTTATGCTTAACGGTAGAAATATTTTGGGGTATTTTTCTTGATTTCAATGAGTTTGTATTTGCCGAATCTATACAGCAGCTTTATCCATATATGAGTTCTGCTGCCAATATGCCTTTTGCGTTTGTGAGGTTTGTAACGAGTCGACACATTTCCTACATGTCACTCACTCACACTGCAAAAACCCGTCACTATGTCAATACTCACTGATGTGTGTGTGTGTGTGTTCAGTGTGTCCACAGGGATCTTGCTGCCAGAAACATTCTGCTGACTCACGGCAGGGTGGCAAAGATCTGCGACTTTGGGTTGGCACGTGACATCACCACCGACGCCAGCTATGTGCTCCGGGGAAACGTGAGTCTGTCCGTCACTTTTTCTCGCTGACCGTGAAATCAAATCAAATCGCCATCTTAGTACCCGGTATTAATGTATTGTGTATGATTTTTGCTTGAAAGATTACAATGAACGTAGCTGCTGTTTATTTTTCTCTCAGCCTCACTTAAAGTTATGGATTTGTAGACCCAGTTGGACATCTTAGTTGTATTTGTTGAAATTCTTTCCAAAAGCAATCAGTACATCAGGTGTCCTAACAAGAGGCTGTGATCGCGGCTCTCCCTCCTGCAGGTCCGCCTGCCCGTCAAGTGGATGTCTCCCGAGAGCATTTTTGACTGTGTCTACACTTTCGAGAGTGATGTGTGGTCCTACGGCATCCTGCTCTGGGAAATCTTCTCTCTGGGTAACGTTTTCAATTGCAGCCGTGCTCTTGCATCTGTTTCATTATGTCTGAGCCATTATCATCGCTCCTTAGAGCTGACGCTCCCAAGCAGCAACATCACTTAGCGAGGGGGGATCGGGCCAAGTCATATCGCTGCTGATACAAAATGGTTCTCCAGAAACCAGTATCATTTCATGGGTCCATGATTTCTTCCACAAATGACACGAAGGCATGTTAAGTGTCTCCGTATGTCTGCGCTGCAGGTCACAGCCCGTATCCCGGGATGCAGGTGGGCTCAGCATTTTACAGCAGGATTCAAGACGGCCACAGGATGAGCCGCCCCGACTTTGCTCCCATCGAGATGTAAGACGTGCATTTTTATTTTTAATGTCCAGCGGGGTGGCGACTCCATCCGATCGCATAGAAGTCTGTGAGGAAATTGGCCTGTTTCTCTCTTGAACTGAGAACACACTCAACAACAACTCAAAATCTGTAGGTACGACATGATGTTGTCCTGTTGGAGCCACGATCCTCTGAAGAGACCGGCCTTCAGTAAACTGGTGGAGCGGAATGAACTACTTCTGTCAGAAAATACCAGGAATGTGAGTTGACTCGGGTTGTTTTGTACATTTCCTGCTGAAAAAAGTTGTATCATCATCAAGTGTCGTCCTGCAGGTGTACCTGAAACTGAGCAATTCTCCCGATCATCCCGACCAGCAGAGGGCGCCATCACGGAGGCTGAGCTCAGTCTGCAGCACCACGGCGCCAAACCAGCCTTTGCTGCAAAACACTGCTGATGTCTTCCAGGAATATGTCTGACACACACTCTGACACACACACACACACACACACGCACACACACACTCTGTATATACGGCCCTGCTCTTGGCTCTCAGTACTGGCCTCTATGTAATCGCCCCTTTGTCTTATTGATCTCTGTGGTCAGCATATTCACGTGTATAAATAGCCGACTGCAGCACGTCAGATGCAACATCTCCGATCAGCAGCACGGGGAGTCTTGGTGACCTTCAGGCTTAGTTTGCGTGTGAAAACCTTTGACTGAGAGTACATGAGCACAGTGGATGAGTGGACTGTTTATGGTTTTGTTGTGTTGGGATTCTCTCCCTTTTTATAGGAATGTTGGGCCTTCATAGAAACGAAAGCTACTGCTGTCTTGCAGAGAGTTGGATAAGAAGATTAATATCACCTTAAAGGTACCTGTGCGTCGTTTAGATTAGTGTAAATACTGAAAACAAGGGAACAGGGAGCCTGGTTCTGTCCTATAGTCTCTATACACATTTGCTATCTACTTTTTCACCTTATTAAACTTTTCATTGATTAACTGATGAACTATGATTTTCCTCGAGTTGTCCTCAGGTCGGTCCGCTGGTTGCCTGGCAACCTCATCCAAACTAAAGCTGTGGTGCGCCAGAGTTATTATTACTTGTCCACGTATAAGTAGACTTACGCTAGCCAGGCTAGTTGTTTCTTAATACCTACCTAGTTTAACAGCTTCATGTCATGTCATTCATGTCAGGCAATTAGGAGCTTTATCCCAAAACGTCATAATATCAATAACTTCAGTCCCTAACAAATGCTGTTTACCTGAAGCTTCACCAGGGCTTAACAAAAGATACCTGCTGCTCATTTAACATTATAACAAACGAGCCACAGCAAGGTGGCATGTCAGCGATAACTAATAATAAATCACAACGCGCTGAGTTGCTGAAACACTGATTACCACCGCTGGGTTGTAGCTTTGAATGCTGTAACTAATAAGTGACTAACGTGTCGTATTGTTGTAAGTGAGTTAGCTTCAGTCTGTGGCCACGCGTTACGTCAAACAGGTATGCAATGTAAATACTACAGAGATGTGCCTTTAGATTTCTTCTTTAAATACTGAATGCGTTTGACGGTGACATAGTGGTTGTTGTCGAGAGCCAGAGGAGCTTCTGTGTGCGTTTCCAGACTGATGCAGTTTTGATACAGTTGGTTGACTTGTAACAATAAAGAAAGTACCTGTGATGGTAGAACCGAAGCGTCCATTTCATTTGTTTGTCATTTCCCGTCCCGGAGGCTGTTTGCAGCTAAACGCTAACATCCGCATGCTAACCTGTTACAGTTCAAGTTTTGCCGATTCACCTCATTAGTTTAGCATGTTAGCATTAGTTAATTAGCACTGAACATGGGCTGAATGTATTTAGTTAAGCAGATATTGGGATGGTAACATTTACCATTTTGAATTGAGCGGATTTAATGTTTTAGTATTGATTACATATACGGAGGACAGGGAAGTCATTGGGATTAATCCTCTGGAAACCTCTTTACCAAACTTCATGACAATCCAGCCAATAGTTGTCTTCTTCTGACGAAAGAAGGAAGGCATCAGCCTGTTGGTGGCGCTGGAGACTCAGTCTGGGGACCACCAGGTCCTTAGTTTGACCAACACACAAGAAACTCAGAACAGACATTATATGTTTCACGTATAATATTTGCAACTGTTTTTATTTTCAAATTGACCAAGAGGGGAAAGGGGGGGGGGGTGTTATAATAACAGCAAACATTTTGCTTCAAACTGTTGATAATTATTACATTTGACTTTGGGCTGGATAAAAGGAGCACAGTTCAAGGGCAGAAAAAGGGGAATACATACATACAGTACAGGTAAGCATAGCACCGATTAAACTGAATACTGGTGTACTTCGCTGTGTGTATGTGAATAGGAGTATTATACGAGAACTACAACTTTTTAGAACCAGATTGTGTAGAGGACAGGTGATCTGTGTGGAGAGGGGGGGGTGCATGTCTATAGTGTCCCCCAAAACAACCTTGTAGTGTAAAACAGGATTTTCTTTCCAACAACCCTCAGTTTCCTTCATCACAAAGCCTGTCAATGGTTCTCCACGGCTACAACATCCATTTGTCTCCTTTAAACACCTTTACATTCTTTGGGCTGGGTATCAGTGACACAAACTATAGACATTTCATCATTACCCTTTAGAGTAACGCCTTAAACACACACTAGTCTATGGAGGATCTACATCTGCTATGTGAGAAGTGGAAGATCTGCTTCAAACTCTAGGACCCTCTCCATAAATCCCGTCTTCTATTCCTCACATGTGGACAAAGTCAATAAGACTCAGACGCACAAATCGCCAAACTAAATGAAAAGACGCGTCTCAGCGATGTCACAGCTCGACGCGTAGCAGTTGTCGTGATAAGTCTTTTGTGAGCAGCCGGCCATCATGAAACCGCAGCACTGCCCGTCGGCTTTACTGTGACCAAGGCGCCGCATCGCCTCGCCGCCTTTCTTTTTATAGTCACACATCTGTTTCCATATGAAAATATAACAACAGGTTACAGTGACAGTAATCATGCACACACACGCACGCACACAAACAAACATGTATTCAAGTTGAGCTGTCCCACACACAGGCTTGCAGAATTCTGAGCCCCACCGGAGAGGAAGTTTCTTGAATAGTTAAATTATTTTCTTTATACTGCAACGCAAGAACTGATTGGCTATCGCCCGGGGAATCGCCAATACCGCCCCTCGCCCCCCCGGAGAGATACGTATAGTAGAAGAGCCTATATATTTATATGTTTACCACACAAACACGCAGTCTTAACTACACTCTTGAGACAAAACAACACATTTTATAAGCTCCTTCGCCAACCATTACTTTTCCTGCGATTCCAAGGCTTTTCTGTTTGATATGGCTTAGTAGTAGAGGTGCTGAGCCCACTTCCACCAACGCCACGGGAGATGGACGTGGGCCCAGCCCTGGTTTTGACCAGAGACGAGAGAACTGAACCGTGTTGGGAATGGTTTCGGAGCCCAACAACTGCATGAGGGTTTCTGAGGCCTTGGAAGAGATAGAAGGATTAAAAACACTGATGACACAAAAAGGCCGTGAGACAGTGAGCCGGATCGCTGGTCCAATGACGTCTTACTACACCAATCGGGGTGAGGAGCTGGAAAAATATTCTGTTCTATACATTTCTTGCTTTACAAAAGGACAGGAAGGCTGTAAAGTGTTTTTGTCCTCCGGTCTTTGTTCATCACTGTCTAATCCTTCTCGGTCCGGTTCCAGACTGAGGCAGAAGCAAAAAATAAAAACCGTTCCACATTCCTGAGAATACAAGTACCATCCAGCAACTTCAAACCCTTACTAAGTCAATTATTGTAAGACACAAGGGGAAAGCGCACACACACACACACACACGCACACACACGCACACCAACCACAGACACACTCATGCACACAAAGATTGTATTCCCAAAAACACGCTAGCTCACAGAATCACACCACTGATTACAAACAACTAGGTCTCGACAGTGATTTACTGTACACAACCACATCAAGTGCTAAAGTTTCAGGAGGTTGAGGATATACTGTTTGTTACTTATAGGGCTCTGACTGTTAAAAAATAATCCCTACTATATACACACGCGTTAACTTTAATAGGGGTAATATCTTGTTGGAAAATATATATATATATATATATATATACGCCTTTGTAATAGTCTGCTTGAAGTTAAAGAAAAGAGATAATCAACTATGTTATTGGCACTTGGAATCACTAAACCCGTTATACGTGCAGTGATCATTCTGCAAAGAATTCAGTTAAACTGTGATCTGCTTTCTTGCCAAACATAGTTTTTCACAAAGTTAAAAAGAGCCATTTGTCTCTGACACCCAAGAAAACCGCAGCCCAACCAAAACCGACAGAACGTTAAAGCCTCATCTGGACTGTTATTGTTTTGGGGGAAGGTGGGGGTAGAGGGGGACTGAGAGAGCAAAATATCGCTCCATCTTTGACCAGAAAACACTTGAACAAAGTAAAAATGTGTTTCTCAAAAGCGACTAATAAAAGCTTACAGTTATTCTTTCCATGCAATCATATAAAATACTACATTTCTGTTTCCTGTTATGGGCTATATTGGATATTTACACGTTTTCTTTTTTGTATCATACAGTAAATCTGTACATGGTCAAACTTCGACTACACCTTCGAAAAAAAAGAAAAAAAGGTCCGTTGTTACTTGTTATTCCACAGAGACCGGAGCTCCCTTGCAGCTCAACCTCGGATAAAAGAAAAGGGGAACTTCAATCCATCCTGTTGCCACGGTGACAATAGAGTTCCTTGAGGACTCACAGGCTTCCCTCATTCCTATGATTCCTTTCTTTCAGATGGAGGAAGGGAGGGCAACGGTTTTGTGTGTGTGTGTGTGTCCATATGGGTGGAGGGCAAGAATGTTTGTGACGTTCTGGTGAACAAAAACAGCTGTTTTCCCGGTGTCTCTAACCAAACCGGGCCTTACTGTGGTTGGCTGCTGACGCTGTCAGTCCTGTGCGACGACGGGGCTTTCTGCGGTTTCTGGGGCTGAGGTTTCAGCTGCTGCTGGTGCCTCTGGTGGTGAGACTGGTGGTGGTGGTGCTGTTGCTGCTGCTGCTGTTGTTGTTGTTGTTGTTGTTGTTGTTGCCTTTGCTGCTGTTGTTGTTGTTGCTGCTGCTGCTGCTGCGTTGTCTGCGTGAATGTGCCCTGTTGTTGGAGTGGGAAAGCTGCCTGCAGAATAAGTTGGGTAGACTGGTTGCTATGGAGAAGATGAGTGCCCTGACAGAAATACAGTGCAGGAGCATTAAAAATGGAAGCAGTCCTTTAGTATCTTTTTCTTTTTAAATGTTTGACAACATGTTTGAGTTGATTCAGTGTATTATGTGACTCGTAGGATGAACACAAAAACAATATAAAACGTATATCGTATTTAGTCTGTTTTTAAATATCTGCTGCCCTCTACTGGTACCTGGAGGAACTGCTGTTGCTGCTGCTGCCCCTGCTGGCCACCCGGAGCCACTACAGTGGTTTGGTTTTGGCCGTCCGGTTGACCTTGGGGCGGTTGGGCTGGTTGTAAAGTCAGAGTCTGGGTTTGACCTCCCTGCTGAATATACATAAAAATATAGTTAACACAGAACAACAATGGAGGATATGATATTGTCATGTCAGCAAATCATACGGGAAATGTAGTTTGGGATTTTATATTAGGAGAAATCCCTCGCATTAGGTTTAAATAGCATCACCTCTACTCATGATCACTTTTAAGGCACTCACAGCAAACTCTTCCAGATGTGATTGGACTTGACAGATAAATGAAGAGGGATGGGGTCTACTGTAAGGTGAATACAACAACACTGCACCAGTTATATTGACTGACCTACACTGTAAATATTGCCGTCTTCATCATGCATAATGCATCAATTACAGTCATTCAAAATGTGAGAACAAGCCATTGTCTCCCCACCACCTTAATGGCTTTTATTAAACACGTTCACGCTCTCACAGCACTGAGCCTGTGTGCCTCACACACAGCCGCCAATGGACTATTGTGGTATATAAAAAGTATACTGGTTTCAAATTTCCTTACAGTATGTCATTTTCACCCACCATTACAGACATTAGCTGTAACGACTGCTTTAGCTCTTCGGCAGGCAGTGAAATTTAATCAACGCGGGCGCAGCGGTCGGAGCTACTCGTCTTACGCGCATTGAGACGGAGTCATGGTTATAACTTTATAACAACAATGAATAACTCACAACAAACAGGGAAAACACAACGACGCAGCCGTTTGCTACACATAAACAATTTGTATCACTAATAATTGCACATTAAAAAATGACCCCATTAACAGCATGCTGGGTACAGACGCTACATGAATACACGGAAAAGAGTGATGCAGGAGGAACACCGAGAGACAAGAGATGCATCGACAAAACTTGTGCCCAAGAGGAGCCGTGTGCTGTTTGGAGGTTTTTTAATGTAGTAAAAACAATGTATGTTAGATCAGAAAACAATTTAACGCTTTGTTTACTTCCGGTGTGCGTCGACGACGAAACGGATTCGCCGCTAGCTGCTGCCAGTTAGACCGGAGAGGCTGAGACCGTAGCTGAAGACGGGGGGTGAGTGGCAGACGGACCACTTAAAGCGCCGCTACGCTAAACTAGCTGCTACGCTAAGCTAGCTGCTAAGACACTTCCATCTCAACATCTAACGTTACCCTGCGCGGCACACAGTCTGCAGGAGGACCACCACTGTGTCCCTCAAAGGCCGCGGTTTGAAAACGTCCTGCCTAAATGTGGAGAGATTGTTGGCACTTCAAACACAGTCGTCAAATTATGGAGAGTAAAGTGCACGAGGACAGCAGGAAAAGTCGCTACTTCAACACGTTCCACCCGGTGGAATTCTGCCTCCAGGATGACCAAATACGTGTGGTTTTATGTTTAAGAAAATACAATTGAACAACAATGTCCAAAATAAACGCTTTCTAAAGTGATTGAAAATGTGAGATTAATTAGCTCACTTCTTTAATCTATTGACAGCCCTAATATATAGTACACAATAGTAGTTTTCCTGGTATCAGACAACGTTTAATTAGTCCCTCTGTGCCTCATACCTGTTGCCCACCAAAGGGGTTGTATGCAGTGACCACCTGTCCCATGAACATGGAGGTGGGCACCATGACGGCTCCACAGGCCATTGGAGCCGTCACCAGCTTGGTCACCAGCTGCTGCCCTGCTGGGAACCTGCAGAGGGTGAATTAGAAAATGAAACAATATATGCGCTTGGTTATCTCGCCTACAAATCCTTGTTTACTGCATATACATGTGTGTCTGCAGAGGCTTGGGTTCGGTGAGAGTGAGGGGAGGTTTGAGTTTCGGGTTTAGTCGTTGTCTACCTACCGGATCTGTCGATCCTGCGTGAAGGTGGCCACTGCGGTGCCTTGCTGCGTGTTGGTCTGCGGCAGGCTGGTGCTGATCTGCAGCAGGTTGGGCTGCACTGGCTGGGAAATCATCATGGTGTTGTACAGCGGAGCGGATACGGAGCCCTGGGGCGGGGGCTGTGGCTGAGGGGCTGGCTGGGGCTGACGCTGGGGCAGGAGAGTGATAATGTGGGGGACGAGGAAGGGGCATGATACAAATTCCTGTTTTTATTTCAGCATTTTAGTCCATCTTGATTTGAACATACCAAATATACATACCATATAAAAAATGTAGACAATATATATATAAATAGTTAGATTATTATATTCTATAAGTTATATTCTCAAACCATATTTTCAGTTACCTTCCATATATGTATGTATGTATTATATACAAAAAACTGCTTAACAGAATGATTTTGTTGCCCTGGTTGTTTGAAATGAATGTGACAAGATAACTTGGATCAACTTTGCTCCATTGCAGAGTACGGATGGCGTTTCTGAGTTAAACATTAGTGCGACTTTCCTGTGAGGTCCAACACTAACAGCGTGCCCTGTGGCTCTTCTGGAGGAGATGTACACACTGCAAGTGAATTCTCTACATGACCGATCAATATTGAAAAAAGTGAACACAAGCTCAGTTTTCTCACAGGACCTCAAATATTGAGCACAAGATTCCCGTTTGACCTATTTCTTTAAAGGTTGATTATATCAAAAGTTTTGTCTGAGGTTAAAAGAACCTTTTGTTGATAGTGGGGTCCTACCTGTGCGAGGGCGTTGGTCTGCTGCTGAGGGGCCGGAGCCTGCTGCTGGATGGTGAGCTGCTGAGTTCCTGAATGGACGGGGTTAATTGCCGTTTGCTGAAGCGGACCGGTCAAAGCAGTCGTTGGTTGGACCGAGCCCACCTGGGATAGCTGCACGTTCATTGCTCCTCCTTGCTGCTGCAGCAACATCTGTCGGCATGGAAACACCAAAAGTCAGGCTACAGTGTGTGGCGGAGCTTCTATTTTCCTTATCAGTGTAGCTTAATACAATAATTCAATGTGAGTAAATTGCCTTTATAGGGTGCACGCTGTCAAAATAAAGCAATCCTCTGAATAGACCAAAATGAATAATACATAATGCATAACTCTCCGATCTAGGTCAGGAAGTGCCAGTTGGAACAGGAAAAGACAAAGCGCACGGCATCTACTGATCTTATTAAAAAGGAGGGGAGGTTTTGTGCAACTTTTGTTCAAATAATCACCTGGTGAGTAGACTCAATCTAAATATAACGCCTATTTAAATCAAAGAAAAAAGGGGTTAAAAATAAAAAAGGGGACATTTCAAATTTTGGTGGCTAAATTATGTTAAAGCTCATAATCATGTTTGTTTTGTTAAGTTTAGGATTACAGAAGATTTCTCATCAACATCCTAAAGTAAAATGTATCTGAGGAATTTTGCTCAATATAATAATAAACACATTGGTCATAAGATGACACAGCAAAAAAGATCACACCCAGTAAGCAGGGCTAAACAAGTCATAATATCCATTTGAACGGCACGGCCCTATTGCACAATTTTAAGTGTGTGTGTGTGTGTGTGTGTGTGTGTACACCCGACCTGGATGCCCTGCCCCTGGACTCTCTGCAGCTGGTCCTGTATATGTCTCAGCTCGTCCTGCTGCCGCTGGATGTTGGCTTGGATCAGTCTCGTCCGATGTTCCAGCTGGTCCTTCAGGTGCTGCATGGCGTTCACCTGCGCTGAGAACTCCATCACCGGCTGTGGGTGGAGAGAGACAGTAGAAGCCACTCGTGTCAACAATGCTCAACAAGCCCAGTATGAGCATCGTTCAGCTTTATAGATTCTCAAAAACTCTCTGGATTTCTACTAGTACTAGTTAATGTGCAAGGATTACAGCCATTAAGTAGGATGTTACAAGAACTGTGATTAGTGAAAATGTTGATTTCATAAAAAGATTACTAAAATATACCCAGATGTTATGCATATGGCAGTGTATTAGTAACAAGACAAAATGTAATGCCTTCATTACGACATGTATCATAAGTGATTCATCATTTTGGCCTATTGGACAGAATATGTGAAGAATCAAGCTCTGACAATCTGGGACCACTGAATATTTCGTCTTTGAGCTCTGCTACACAGCAGATCATGATGAGAGGAGGTGTCCCGTTCTCACCTGTATGTTTGCCTGTAGCTGCTGTGGTGGCTGTTGCTGTTGCTGTTGTTGTTGCTGTTGTGGTGGTGGTGGTGGTGGTGGTGGTTGCTGCTGTTGTTGTTGTTGTTGTGGTTGTTGCTGCTGTTGTTGTTGCTGATGTTGCTGATGAGTGATCATACCTGGAGCCACACTCTGTCCTGTGGTCTGAGAGCTCATAGACTGAAAACAAACCCCATTACCAAGAGACTTATGCCAACTGACAGGAGGAAGAACCTGTTTTACAGCATTTTTCTTAACCAAACTGCAATATACAACGTAATTGACTGAATAAAATCTCTATTTGCGTAACCATGGTCACAAAAATCAGTATCAGGCAAAAGAAGTCCAAGAAGCGTGTGCTGAGTGCGGTCTCACCTGGCTGCTGATGGATGAGCGGCGCTGTGATGTCATCTCCATGGTGGAGGCCAGGGACTGCCGAGGAGGCGTGGCCGTGTCCATGTGGAGCTTGGAGGCTGTCGAACACAATCATTACTTCAGCGTAGTCGTACTCTGCTAACGACCTTGTATCATCTTACTGCGCAGCCTCACGTGCCAATCAATTCTACAACCGACACTCGTGTGTGCTTTGTGTGTGTGCGCTCACAAGTGCACGTGTTGTCGGAGACGTGCGATGAGGACTTGCAAGAGCTCTGCGAGGAGGTCGAGTGCGTCCGGCTGCGGTCGAAGCGCTCCAAGGCCTCCTTGAGGCTGGACGTATTCAGCTGGGACTCCGAGCCGGAGTCGTGACCCTAGAAGGAAATCCATCAAAGAACTTCAGAATTTCCCTAAACAAATAATGTTGCATCGCTGTGCTGTGTCCTTTTGACTGAGCCCCCCACACACACACACACACACACACACACACACACACACACACACACACACACACAAAATCACAAACACACACACACACACACACATTCCAATTCTGGCAAGCAGGACCTTCCTGCAGGCTCGTGCAAAGGTGTGGGTGTGTTTTATTTGTCCCGCTTTGTTCTCGCTGGCGGCGCTCCCTCTCTTTATTCACGCTTGTGTTCGCCCGCCCGCCACACCGTCGTCTCTCTTTCAGTTCGATTTCCTTCGACCTGCTTCACACTATTTCCTTGAGAGCCGAGGAAAACGGCCGGCTTTGGGTGAGCGGTTCTCTAGAAAGGTCCATGCTGCGATGCAAGAGGCCGACCAATCGGCGCGCTGCAAAGCGACGCGTCTTAAACAGACGCCGCACTAGTACATGATAATTAGCAGCTACTAGATGAGACGAGCGACAAATGTGTTGTATAGACAAATGTCACTGAATTAATGTGCAAACGACAACCATAATCCTCGTGGTTTATCCGTTTCTGAATTCTTAAAAAGAAGATATTATGATAATTTGTTTTTTCTCCCCTTGATGTCATCACTCACCAGAAGGATTGAGATAAAATAAGTGAACGGCAGATAGTGTGTCGGAGAAATATATCAATGGGCAGAAAGAAGCGTCTCACAGACAGAAGTTATTGAACAGCACATTCGGCTTCCTTTTGTATCAGTACAGTTTACAGTAGAAAGAAGTCAATCTACCAACAGAAAATGTAATTTACTACTAATAGTTAATTGTCTTTCTCGGGCTTTAACAACAAATCTTCACTATTTCCCCTTCATAGTATACCGTATATTGCCATACCTCTCATCATTACACATGTGCATTGATGAAGGCAGACGTGTGTAAAGCACTTCTAGTAGTTTCTCACCTTATTTGCATTTACTTCTGGGTTAGACTCCTCAATGCCCAGCTCTCTGCGCTGCTCTGCCCTCACCTCTGCATAGCTGCATTGTAGACAAAACAATAAGAAATGTTTAGTATATAGAAATGTGCATACGAGGAGCGGCTCATTGTAGCTTTTGACAAAAGGTTTGTTTGTAAATGTCTCATGACCAGAGCAGTACCTGACTACTGTGTGCGTACAGACAATAAACTCGGGTCGAGAGTTCCACTGGTGATAGGTGATGTAGTAGTGCGTCTGAAGCCAGATCCACTGTTGCCCTTTAGTCAGGAAACGATAGTAACAAGACTTCCCTTTGCCGTACTGCATCACTGAGCAGGAGACAGACAGGGGGTTAGATGCAGCCGGCCTTTCACCGCGCAGAATGACCGCGTGCAAATACGAGCCCTCACGGTGTTCGTGGCACTTGGCTAGTGTCTCCAGGTCGTCCACATGGTAATAGTCGTACCCAGATGTTCCCAGGACCTCGAAAGGCAGGTATCCTATGATTGGTGGAGCTCTGAGAAGTACAAATGGAAAACAGAAGGTCTGGTCACCAAGCTCAAAAAGGACCAACTCTTAGCTTTCAGTGAAGTGGAGAGAACTTGATGCTCAAAAGTACATATTGATAAGACATTACTGTTTTGCCTAAATAGAAGTATTTTATACACAGTTTGCATATTTACTGTATGCAAACTTCAGACGGCGTGTACGGGGGCGGGGGCGGGGGGGTTACCTATGGTCTAAGAAGAGGAACTTCCATTCTAGACTGTGTCTAGAGGTGAATTCTTCATTGGGCTCCTCCACTGTACACATTTCCTGTGAATATAGAAACAAAAACAACCGCAGCGAGATGGTATGTTAGATCAAACAGAGCATTAACGGCTCAGCGTGAACTATGTGTGCCAGTGTGTGTGTGTGTGTGTGTGTGTGTGTGTGTGTGTGTGCGGTTCAACCTTGATAAACTGAGGTTTCGCCAGCCGAACTGTGGCTACGAAGCACACTTGGTCGTCGAACGCAGGCTGTAGCGACCGCTGCAACACCCCGGCCAGACCGTTCCTGCCGGCGTTGGGAACTGCTCGCCATGCAGCGGGGTTGAAAAGGTCGTTCAGTCCCTCAGTCTAACCGGCTTTACACAAATGCTGCTGAGCTGAAAGCTTTTTGAGGGACATACCGTTGTTGAGGGATTTGAAGTTGCCGATGAACTTTATGTACTCGTAGACCGGCGGTTCTTTGGGGTCGATGGTCCCTCGTAGCATATGGCAGCAGAACTCCATGTGGTTCTTAGCTGGAAAAAGGAGAACAATAATACAGTTCGGTCCAAAGAGAAAGTTATGCGAAGAAGACAATAGTGTGTTTATATAGAACCAATTGGTATAAATTGTTTGAAAATGTGTCATGCTGCAGGAAGGATATCAAGACAAAACATAATGTAGAATATAAGCCTTTTGTTTCCTTGACTTTGAGTTAAAAAGAAAGAAATGATTAATAAATCTTTGTTAAGCTACTCAGATTTTTCTACATTCTTCAACCTGTGTTCCTCACAGACAAGACCAACGGGACAGGATTTGTGCCAAACAAAATTAAATACGTTTATTTGAACTATTTAATGTGATCTGATGGCTGAGAATGGATTTGTAGTCTTATCGTCTTTAGAGGCCCTAACACACATTTAAAAGTGAAAGATATTCCCCAATTAACCATGAAGCACATGTATCAGCGCAGTATCACTGGATACTGTTCAAAACCAGCAGCATGCACTGTGTAAAACGTCTCGGGTGTTACTGACTCTTCAGGTAGTCGGAGCTAAGGTTCTCGTGGTCGGTGGGGTGTGTGGACAGAGCCTTGTACACCTCAGAGTGTTCCCCAAGTGGCAGGAAGTTTAACAGGTTCTGGTCCACCAGGTCCGTCTGGGGAACACGACACACACGTGACAACAAGCTTTTCCCCACAGACACACTTAGGTCGTCCCAGCATGAAACCAGCATGAAACCACTTACAGCGTGTTCCACCGTACAGTGACGACTGATACAATGCAGAAAGACCAAGAGAAGAACAAGTGTTACTCACCGGTAAGTGTTCAAGTAGTGAGGTGACACTCTCGGAGACGTAGAGGATGTTGCCATCAGTCATTATTGCTAAAAAGAACCCGTCCAGAGCCTGACGATGCAAGACAAGGTCAAGCAAACTTCTGGCCTCAGTCTCTCGATTGATTAATATCAACAAAAGCAAAGCAGTGCCATAATCCCTTGAAATAAAACCACAGCGTTTTTACTTTTAGAAATATAATCCAGTGCGTCACTAACTGCCTTTTTAAAGTCTCTAGTTTGGCATTTTGGCTGTAGCCATGTTGGTTTTGTGCAACCAGAGTTGCTACGAGAGTGTGGAGCCAAGTACAACTGACAAAGAAACGTTTAGGCAACCAAAAAGTCTTTTAAAGTCTTTAAATGGACCAGCATTTATAAAACAAACACCATCCTGTAGTGAAGAAGACGTCAAACTAAAGATTGAGACCATAGACTCATGTTTACAATGTTCCCTGAGGTAATAAATCAACAGAGAGTCATTTTCCCATCGACTTCTATGTGAGTGCGTCATTTGCAACCAGAGGAGTCGCCCTCTGTCGGCCACAGGAGAGAATGTGTGTAAGGAACCTGAGCAAAAACTACCACAAGAGTAAAACTACCTACGAACAACATTACAGTACAAAAAGTGTGGTGTCTGACCTCCAGCATGAGCTGGGTGAACTCCTCATTGCTGAGAAACGGAGGCTTCCAGTCCTGCCTGATCTCACTGGACTCCGACTGCGCTGCGATCTCTGGTGGAGGAAAGGGAAGGCAAATTGAGGGGTTGATAGCAAAGGGCTCAGAGTGAAAACAGAGCAAGAGATAACACAGTGCAACGGTGAAGAGGCAGCCGAGTTAATTATCACGCACACAGCAATGATAAGAGCTAGGATTAAAACAAAGAAGTAACACGTGCCTAGTAATTACATATTTCAACATAAAGGAATCCCAGTGATAATGACTGTGAGGGGCAACAGAGTAGAGGGTGGAGCTGTAATCAGCTAATCCTTAAAGTAGGACACGTTTATTATTCATAACACATTCGGTATTATTATTCATAACACACGAAACAGTCAAAAAATGATTTGCACTGTCTCATAAAATGTGACATAGCGAGAGTGTCGAGAGAGAAAACACTGCGCAGACGGAGAGTTTACAAAAGAACAACTAAATAGAGAGCGCGGCGCGTCCGCCCTGTGAGGTGTCCCGACCTTTGTGTTTACACAGGAAGTCAATGCTCTTCTGCAGGATGGTGGACTTGTCCATCTTCCTGGTATTGCCCGGCAACATCGTGCCGAGTTCCTTGATGAGGACATTGAACTGGTCTCTCCGTTTCTTCTCAGACTTGTTTCTGGACACCCTGAAATGAAAGCTCACAGCCATCAGTTTGATTCTTAAACTTTTGGTTTTACTTTTCTGCCCAGATTTGATATTTTAACATACAAACCACAAGGATCTTGGAAATAGGCAGGCGTAACTTTCTGTCATGTGGGCCTATGATATAATGCTGGTTAAGTGTAGTTCTGGTCAAGAAACAATCCTTTATACGTTTATGAGGCTCTTTCATCACACTAGCGTCTTCATCCGTACATCTTACATACCGTTTTGCTTTGTCCTTTTCATCTTCTTCCATCAACCCGTCAAAGATGCTACAATCATCCCTGAGGGGCAGAAAAAAGCACATTTGCAGCTCATCCAACCTCACTCTGTTTTGTTTCCTGTGTGAGCGTGTTTGTTGGCAGCTTGATAGCGGATCTGTATTGTTAATAATAGCGAATGACGGATGCCGGTTAATGAGAGGATTCCTACATGCCAGGAGCGAGTCTATTTTTGGGTCACAAAAAAAAAAAGAGTAAGAAGGGGGGGGGGATGTGTTGTGGTGGCCAAGAAGACAGCAAGTGCATTGGTGCAACAGGGTGTGTTCCTGCCAACATTTCAATCAATATGGGTCAAGACAAATACCGTCATTTTCACTGACTTATAACTGGCGGAGCCGTTGGAGCCGTTATTTAATACCTTCAGGTTCTCTTTTATTGTGACACTCCATTTCCTGATGTATTACTACAGAACAATGTGTCCTAGAGACACTTACTGCAGAGGAAACTACGACAGAATGGACGAGAGTACTTTGGTAGCGTCACAACCTTACAGGATGCATTGACAAACCTTTACAAGTGTTGTTGTTGGGATCAAAACAAAGCTTGAAGCTGGCTGTGGTTCAAGAAAACGGGGGGGAGGGGAAGTAGTGGGGAAGGGGTGATCCGGCTCCAAGATGCACTTTCGTTCAATTATTATTATTATCATATAATAATTAATAAATAACTAATAAATAACTAACTACTCTAATGAATTAGAAGCATGTGAGGAATTTACATTGACACCATAATAGGTTTAATGTTTTTGAGAAGCTTGAACGTATTTTGTGTGTAGAGTGTGCATGAACGTCATTAGTGACACATTTATATATGATGTGTGTGTGTGTGTGTGTGTGTGTGTGTGTGTGTTGCAGTATACCCTATGCTTGATGTCATGGTGGCTGCGGATCAGGGCTGTGGCTGCAGTGATTTGCTCTTTAGGCGTGAGGTAGGCATTTGGAAGACCAACTGGAGAGACAGAAAAAACGTTTTTGAATTAGTTTAGTTGTGGTTGACCTATTTTGCAATTTAAGTGGACAGAAAATACGATTGACCGTTTGGGAAACTTGATAACAATCTTTTCTGAAAAAAAACAACAAACCCCCCCAAGGATTTTTATATGTCTTTCTCCAACACACATCACAGATATCGGTGTTTCTATTGTACGTTATTTTATTCATAATAAACAACGGACCATATTTGTAGTCAACATGTTGACAGAAATGTTGTGTGTGTTAATGCACATCTCACCCTAATGCAGCTTATGCACGTGGTCTGTTTATGTCTTTTCTCAAGTGTCGTAGAAAGGGTTTGGGGTCAAAGCTGACTCTAGTACGTCCTTTGAGGTCATTGGGGTCATGAGAGGGCAACAGACCAGGGAAACAACATTGCCATCCACCCTACCTGCAGGAGAAACCGCAAGAGAAAAAAGGGGGTCAGTAGGTCAATTTGAGGGGAGCGTTTTATTTCTGCTTCAACAGTGTTTTTTTACCCAATTCACCATTGAGCGTATGTTAAATTGGACCCTGCAGAATTAATACTACCTGACTTTCTAGACAGCTCACTGACTAATAAACAAATAAAAAACAAAGGAAGCTGATTTTATGCGTCAAGACCGTCGGTGGGGCTGGAAATTCCATTTATTGCAGCACAAAGTCATAAAACATCCGTGCAGCGAGGAAACCCTGGTATAAGTCAATTATTGTGCTTACGTTTGAAGCACAGTGACCCAGTTATGAAAAATGTGGCGATATAGTTGTTTTCAACTCACGTTCTGGAATGTGTCTTTGCAGGCAGAACTATCTGCTTCAGATCCGGTCCTTCCAGGCGCTGACAAATCTTCATGAGTGAGCCACACCTGTCCTGCAACATAAAGAACCAACACTCATTCACAAACATACCAGGGGGCCGTATTCACTGTTTGCCTTGCATGCAAATTCTAGAGTCCACAAGGACAGAAAATGGTCGTTGGTGCAAAACAGGAAATTAGCCACCGAGCAACGTGCGTCCAAACGGCAGCTGAAAAACTTAAAATATATTCATACTTCCAAGATTGCGACTGCAAATTAGGAATCTTTCATTATCCTTTAATCTGCCAATTATTCTTTTGATTAATGCATTAATCATTTTGTCACGAAAAAAGTTTTTCTGACCCTCAAGGTCAAGATGAGGTCCGACGTTAGTCCAGAAGTCAGATATGGTCAGTTTGCACTGATATAAAACCCAGATGAGCTACACAGATTTGAAGCTGGATCAGATGAATTAATTACTAATGAGATTGGAAAATGCCTTTCACACTTTTGGTAAACCCAAAGCGTCGCTTTCAAAGGGCCGACCAACAGTAAACAACATGAATATCGACATCACTTAAGATCATTAGAAAATGCACCAAATTTGTTAATTTATCAAACAACCATTTTTGGGAGTGTGGAGAGACAGTCCACACCGATCTGACACCAAAGCAAGGCATGACAGCACACAGTCACACGTCTAGGAATAACATTACCGCCCAGCCAGATCAAATATAGCGCTGGTTTTCGCGGGGGATTACGGTGAGATTTAGTCATTTTGTTAAAGCATCTTATGCGTGTCCTCGCTGGCAGAGCGCTGATCTTCAGCCGCGCATTCCTGACGGCCAATAAGTGGACCTCATTAGCCGGAGCTCCTTCATTGGACGACCCTGAACACCGTAGTGCTCAATGAATCAACGCGGATATTACCGACGCGGTAACGAGCTCGACCCGAACAGCCAGTAGCTCTCAGATGTGCGCGCTCGCGTTTTTCGACGCGTTACCTTCCACAGGTGTCTGTTACACAACCGAAAAGAGAGCGACGGCGAGCAGCTAGCTAGATGCTAACTAAGCTCGCAGCCGAAAAACGGTCCATTTCGCGCAGAGCCCGCGCGCACCTACTGACCCCGTTTCCTGCACGCTCGCGCCGGTGCGCGACGCGGATGTGACAGGTAGCGCGCGCGCGCGCGCGCGACGAACGGAGGCGGAATGTCAGCGTGCGCGCGGGCAGAGCTGGCCTCGCGCTGTCACGCAAACAACTGACATTGAGAAGGAAATCACCTCTCGGGAACGTTACCGCCGCTCCTCACGCGTCACGCGGCCGCGCTCTCTTCCTACGAGCCAGCAGAGACGCGCATGTCGGCCGCGGAGAAACGCACGAAAACAACGACGAGGGGAACGTTTCCGCGGCAGATGAATGTACACACACGCACGCGCGCGCGCACGCGGCGTCCAGGAGCTTTCCCGTACACACACACACGTAAACACACAACGCACACACACACTGGCAGAGCGCGCGCGCGCCGCTCCGAATGTGGGTCACTGGGCCTTGCTCTCGCTCGGGCGCGCGGACACCGTCCCCGAAGCCTCCTCTCTGCGGTCCGACCACAGCGACAACGACGCGGCCGCGCTCGTCCGCGATCGGCGGCCGCCGGCGCCTTTGAGCGCGCGTTGGGAGGCCCTCACCTGGTCCGCTGGTCGACGGCAGCCTCCGCGCTTCGCTTACTCGGACGTCGCATCGAGTCGGCGGGGGCCGGGAGGACTCCGGGGTGGGTAGATAGACCAGTAGCCTTACGTCATAGTGCGACGTGAAGTCATGGGCAATAGCGACAGCAGCGCGCACTATTTCTCGAGTACAGTAGCAGCAGAGCCGAGGGTATCGCCGAGTGGTCTTCACAGGTGAAGTTACTGCGCGCGTCCTTGTGGCTTTACATGTGTAAATATCACAGAGAATAAAAGGACGCGGGGCGGGTAAATCAGTGATTTTGATTAGTCTTGGTATTGAGATTAAAAGGATATCCCTGTTGAAAAAAAACTATTTTCATCACAATTGCATTAATTAGCATTATTAACAATTGCATGTTCTGTTTTTAGGCAAACACTGTGGCACCGGACGGTCTCCAGGGGGGTGCAGCGCAGGGTGGGGGTGCAGCGCAGGGTGGGGGTGCAGCGCAGGGTGGGGGTGCAGCGCAGGGTGGGGGATGGCCCGGCCCGATGGCAACGGGTTTCCCCTTTTCTATCCACATCCAATCAGAAGCTCGCCAGGCCGTGACGTCGCACCTATACTGTGTCGAGGTTCCCTCCTAAATTTATATTGAGCATTCCGACCGTGGACACGCTGTTTTTATGAGGTTTAAGTGGTACTTCTAGGTTCATTTTTAAAAAAGCACCGTTCCATTTTTATTGCGACAAGATTTATTGGCATGACATAAAGTGGCACACAAAAGCAACTGCATTACAGCTCAGGATGAAGTTTACAACCATTTTCTTGGAAAGACAGCATCAGGGGATGATAGGGAAGTCCGGCCATGTGGGCTGCGAATGATGTAATGATGTCTGTGTGGTTTATTGGATGAGAGAATTTTATCAATAAAGATAATAAAAGAAAATACTACCCACCCTTGCAAAATCAAAGCTATCTGGTCAGGATTACACCAGTGTTAAGTAACCCAACCCACAGTTCTTCTATACTTCTATATAAACATATACCCATATTAAAATCACTAGGATGAAAAAGATACCAAAAGGTCACTACTAATACTGATTATTCTAAAATCCTGATTTTAAAACTAAAACCAAGACAATAGTTTAATTCTTGTTCAAAACAGGTTTAATTGACCTGCATATTGCCATGGGACACTTCTGCTGATGACTTTGTGGCTGTGTCATCCTCCTAGTGCAGCACTTTAAATGCTATAAGCTCAAACAAACAAAAGCAAAAAGAGATAACTGTAGGTGTGTGTGTGTGTGTGTGTGTGTGTGTGTGTGTGTGTGTGTGTGTGTGTGTGCGTGTGTAAAACAGCCCAGAATACAAGGTGCCACCGTTACACATCCACGCCCACACTCAGCACTTAGTTTCAAAATGTTAAAAAAATGCTTGTGGTCCAACTTAAAGACTTAATAAATGACATTGTTGCCATAAGGTTTCATGTTGTCGAGATGGCTGTACAATTAATCCTCATTTTAAGTTTTCTTTAGCTTCTGATTGCTAAATTAACATGACTGTACTTGTTGATTCAACTTAGTATTTGAATAAACAGTGACTTTTTCTCTGCTGAGACAGAACCTTTTTTGTTCGTCTCAGTGTCAAAGTTGTTTGCAATCTGGATATTGTTTTATTGTAAAAACAAAAATAAATGAGGTAAGGAAATTAGGAAAACAATGTCAAGGGTTGTTGGAACCACTACTTTGGACATGTGAACTGAATGCGTGTTTATACGATTTACATACACCTCTTAATTTGCATTGCTAACATATTAATCAAATGGGTGTCAAACGTCGTATGATTTTGAATTTAGTGGCCTCCTCTGGCAGGAATGACCTGAATACCCCTCCGCCCGCTCCTCCCTTTCCAAGCAAGTGAAATTATAGTTTGCAAAGTTTTCATTACTGTAAAGAGTCAGCGGGGGTTACAATGAGAAAACACAGTTCAATATACTTTAGGTAATGAAAAAGCATGAGAAACAACGGGCTCGATGAGCAGAGGCTTCTCCCTGAAGGATTTATTTCAGCTTTTGGTTGAAGAGCGATAGGAGATGCAAATAACAGCCTGTTTTCCTGTGTGACGCGTTTTGTGTCATGAGAAGCCGCTCGTAGAATTAGATAACCTGATCCTCTTTCAGTCATGGGCAAACTGCCCGCCCGTTCTTTAAACTGACATCCTGAGGCACGTCACCTTTTGTTGCACGTTTTGTTTGGCAATTCAATAAGAAAATAAGAAAAACACACAAATCTATTGTGTAGAAATAAAGGAACAACTTTATTTCGAATACTAATAATAATTAATGAATCATTTTCATTTTGCCCAAACCCGACAGGAGCCCTTGGATTTGTTTAGAGAGCATCTTCCACATATGAGCCCTTCTCAGGATGAAGAAGCACATTGTACACCTGAATACAAAGCGCATGCACATTTTTGTGATTAAATACAAAAGATTTTGTACATATATGTACAAATAACACATAATCCACAGAAATACAGTACTTTCACCCCCCTCGTCTATTTCCTTCCTCTCTGTGACCTCAACCTGCCCCCTAGCTTTTCCTCTTTTCCTCAGTCATCCGTTTCAGCTTTGTGTTTTTCTCGGATTAGTTTGTATCTGCTTCTCAAGGACCCCCCAGCCTCCCTTCTCATTTACCCGTCTATTATTGTCTCACCGCTCGGCAGCGCTCCCTCTGTTATTCAATCCTTGTTTTAATCTCCACAACCGGATGGTTTTTCTTCCACCTTTCCCTTCGTTCCATTTGTTCACGCTTAGTCTTGCTCCTCTGCATCTTCTTCATTCACTTCATCTCATCCCTCCAGTTCGTCACGCGGATCTGCTCCTCATCCTCTGAGCTTCCTCCTGAATCCTAAACGCACGTCCTCCTGTTCCACTTTAATCACGGGCCCTCTCTTTTCAATCTCCTCCCACGGAGCCACAGGTATTCACACTCAAAAAATGATTCAAGCCCTTCTTAGATGTGACAAGTTTAAATGCTGTTTGCTTTATTTGAATATATCTTTTTAATATGTCTATTAAACGGTGATATATATAATCAATAGCAGCAACTTAAAATGGTTTAATAGTTTCACTTATGCGATTTATTTAGGTTAAAGCGTGTATGTGTCAACTCAAATAAATTAATTAATCAAGGATTAACCACACTTATCAAAGAGTCGATGGAAGTTCGTGGGACACACGTAGGATATTAGAAACAAATATACGACCCAGTTCATAAAATTAATAAAAATGCATATAGTGTACACCAGAATACAGACATGATTCTGAAACTGTGTAATCAATAAGGAAATGACAATATTGTAAAACCACTGTGATTCTGCAACTGTAATAGAATAATACCAATGCAGTTATGATTGTATTTGATGTAATGTGATCAACTGGAATGCATGCATGTAATACTTGAACAACAACTGATATTCACTAAGGATCATTCGAAATCCCGAGTTACATTGAACTCACCAGAAGACTCCCAGAGGTGTGGACACTGACTTTCACACCTTTAAGCATTGTTATAAATACCTGTAGGAACCATTGTTCTGGAGTTCGCTGGTGGAGGAACAGACGGGCACTATGGGGGTCAAAGGACTGACCTGAGGCCTGTTGGTCGCTGAGACCAGCGGCTCCTCAGCTGAGATGTTCTTTTTACCACAACGCCATCTCCTTTATTAAATACATTTGATTTGAACCTTTTGATCAGCGATCTCACCAGCTGACCAGAGTTGTCAGCCGCTGTTGCAGCCCCTGCCAGGACCCCCCCCTCAAGGGCCGGATCCCAGACGGCCCTCAAATCACCACCGGGAGGGAGGGAGGGAACCTCGGGAGGGGGGGGACCGGAGGCATCAGAGTCATGAGTCTCGGGGCCGGGACTGGAGGGGTCGGGGCCGGTACTGTGCGAGTCGGGGCTGAGAGTCTCGGGGCCGGTACTGTGCGAGTCGGGGTCGGGGCTGAGAGTCTCGGGGCCGGTACTGGCGGGGTCGGAGCTGCGAGTCGGGGAACGGGAGATCACTGCGGCGGCCCAGCATTTATTTAGAAGAGAAAAAGATGACATGAGAATTTCTCCGCAGATATCTGTCTCTAACTATTGCTTGCAAGCAGGAGGTCAAACACACCAGCACGTATCTCAGCGTTGGTCTAATGGCGTCTCCGAGCAGTAAAAAGGCAGAGTTTTTAATATATTGCTAACACGTTACCTCGTCATTAACAATTGCTCACCGTTCACATCAGCAAGTTATGTGGCAGGTTGCAAAAAGGAGACACCTTAACGTTAGCTAACCTAAGCATTGCTAGCCGTGCACATGGGGACTGTCGGCTTTTCAAATTTGGTCAAAAATAACACTAAATAACAAATAGCCTCAACAGAACAACTAGCTAAGATATGAAGACATTAATGCACATATAATTGTTTTACATTTAGACGGATGGCGGTGGATATCGGCTTAGCTTTTCCATGTGTGAACCAACGGTTATCTTCTTAATCTGGTTGTGACAGACGGCCTTTGGTTCTTGTCAGATACTCGATTGTCTCAGTTTATCGCATCTTGAATGGATCTAAAAAATGTTACGTTTCTGAAGTTCATGCAAATCCTACGTGACTGAATCACGTTCACATTGGAAACATTAATTAATATCGTTCGAAATACATGTTGCACTAAAGTAAATGTAACAACCAGCCATAGCTGTGTCTTTTGAGTCAAATAGCATTTTTTTGAGTCAATGTCAATGTCAATGCTTCTATACTTTCTTATGAACATAGATTTAGACACATTCAATATGTTTCCACTAACTACAGATGTAAAATCCCTGCAGCCCGTGTTCTCGTGCATTCCACCGTATGCATTACAAAAAGCCACTTCCTGAGTTTTCACCTGCATTATTGTATAATTACAGACCCATTCAATTGAAGTTTGAACTTTATGATGAGTAGGATAAAAGCTCATGCGTTATTCACGAGATTCGACACTTGTATGTTTCCTTCCCACCCTCGATGCTTCCTGCCCCTCTGCTCATCTTTCCATCTCAGAGGCCAGAGAGCCTGTCAGGGGATCAACCGCAGAAACCATCTCCCACAATAACAACAACAGCCACCACGATGGAGCACTTAGTTCTCCGCCAAAAAACGTGACAAATCCAATGGAGCCACGCTCTCCCCTGCCAACAAATCTAATCACAGCTTAGTCCGGTTCACCCGGGGCACTTTGTCTGCTTTTATTCATGGGAAACTCTTCCCATGCTGTTTTGAAAGAGGAAAAAAGAAGTAAAAACATGTCCTGTTTCTCAGTACATCAGGCAAATGGTCTCGTGGAGCCATGCTCGCTAAATAAGTGTACATAGCATTCTTTATGCGCTTTGTGAAACCCTCCATTTAAGTGCTTAGCCCGGTTGTACCTGTGCTCATGAGATTGGATTACTACAGGGTAATGGAAACCATGCAGAGTGCTGTGGGACATCCTTTTCCCACACAACAACGTTTAATCACAGACAAACAGTGGGCACCCTGCCACACACACACACACACACACACACATCGACTGTCTGTGGGCGAGAGTGGAGACGCACAGACCAAGGAAATAAAAAGGTTGTTAGGAAACCACTTAAAAACAGGGGCAGTCCTTCTGTGCTTCGCATGAGACGCACACTGAGGTAAAAACAAATATCCAGTGAAATCCATATTTGCAGGAAACCTGAGTCAACGTCGGGGGGGTCAGCGTTGTATAATGGATCTTAATTGAAGCAATAAAAGGGAACCATGATGAAGACATTGGCCTTTAATCACTCCCTTTCTGCTCAATCTCCTCCGAGGCAAGTTGGTACTAAAGGCAGTACTTTAATGAAAGATCAACATAGGTCATCAAAAGTTGACAGCCTCAGAGTGGAGTGCGTGTTTTGTGTGTGTGAGTTTCATACATACGATCACACACTCCTCCCCGCTCATCGCTGACAGCTTTCAGTTTTTGCGATTCATCTTCTCCTCTCCCTGGATTTCTTCATCCCTCATCGTTATTTCTTCGCCTGGCTTCTGTCTCAATTTTCTTTTCCTTTTTTTTCAGGAAGCCCCACACTCCCTCCCGTCCATCACCGGATCTCGATTCTTCTTCGTCCACTCTCCAGCGATGTCGTCTCTTCTGAAGGAGGAGATGCAGAGAGTTTTATTCCGACCCGAAAAACTGAGACTGGCGGAGTTTATTGAGATCGAGGAGCCGACGGACGGGAGACATTTTCTCTGCGTCTCAGGTAAGCAGCATTACACAGGCACTGAATATTACCTTGGTTGTGAGAGTCTCAAGAGAAATGTGGTGAATGTGTATTAAATGCTATGAGGCCTGGAAAAAGCTTGTACTTGTCCTGCAGATGAAAAGTCTGTTGTTGCATTGGGGCCTGTTTAGCGTCAAAAAGGTTTTTTTTTCCCTCTTTCCTGCAGTTTCGAAAAACAAAGTGGTGCAGTTATGCATAGTGCGATGTCAGGCTTCTCAGCCGTCCCTCAAGCCTGGATCCAAGGAGTCCCACACCATGCGCTCCAGCATCCAGGAGTGCTACCGGAGGACGGAGGTGTGGCCCCTCCACGACCTGATTCTTGTTGACGGACGGGACCCTGATGTGGTAATTAGCATTGCAATAGCATTGCAGTATTACATTGCTTTCTTTAAAAAGGATTGGAACTTAAAACGTATGAAAGCATGTTTTTCATAAATAATCAGTTATGAAATCTTTACAAGCTTTGATCATGTTATAATTTTAAATTCACACGTTGTGTTTTCAGTGATAAATCATACTGGGGGGGGGACCGCAAAAAGAAACGTCTCTCTTTGGAATCCTATATTCAGCGGTAGAACCTGATCTGTCTCTCATCCGTAGCAGCAGTGTGGTGGACAAACATCATTTTTTAACCAGATTATTCCTTGTATATTCATGCTTTCATTTCCCAAAAGCCCCTCTGCCGCCATATATCCGGCATCACCTCCAAGGTTTAGTGTCAGACTTGAATCTATCTGAACCGAGTGACAATTGTGTTGTTTCACGGAGCTCGAATCCACTGCGTCGGCTCTGATATCATGATTTTCATTGTTATTCTCCCCAGGATGACCCCTGTTTCCTGCTGCACTTTGACACGGTGCGCACGGTGACGGCCGTCAGCTGCTCGGCCAAATATACGTTCGTGCGCGCGCTCTTCGTCCTCAGCGAGCAGCACTGCCAGAGGTCACTGAACCTGCGGAACTTTGACTGGGCCTACATCAAGCCCACCTCCTTCTACTCCAACCGAGGAGACTGCGTGGTCCTCACACAGATCTGCTTCTACGCATTCAACCTGGTGTGTCTCTCCATGTGTCCCGTGCCCCTGGACGCGTAATGGAGCGACACCACGACCGCGTGTACGTGCGTATGTTAGTAAACTGCACAAGCTTTACAGTATAGAGCTGTGGATTGAATGTGAGCTCGTGGCTTGTGCTAACTATAGTAAGGCTTATTCACCGTGACATGTCTTTTTCGCGTTAATTCTCTACTGAATGCGTCCAAGTCACAAGCAGCTTGGTATTTGTTCATTTTGTACATCTACTTTTGTGATGTTTTACTTACTCACCCTATTCCTCTCTGTGTGCTGCTGTGAACATGTGGACTTCAAATGGAGAACCAATAAAAACAAGCACACATTCCTTGCCTTTCTCTGCCTTTAGCATTGTTTCACCATTAATACTGTACATTTAGAAATGAACTTTGCACAATATTTGTCAGGATTTGGGCTGTTGGTTGGTAGCTCATGACAACAGCTTAGGCCTACAACTGAATTGACATTAAGAGGTAATTACTGATTTCAATATATGTTAGAATCGATATATTGATCAGCCCAAGTAGGCCACAAAATAATTATCCCAGAATATTCTCCCACCAGATTTATTTTTATTTCTTGCTTTGTTGAGGAGGTTTTGAAACAGTACACATGTCTTTACCTCATTAAGTAGTAAAAACTCAAGTAATTACAAACCATGATGTAATGTCTTTTTAATTACCCGAGTATATTTATATAATGAGTATAACTTTTGAAACTTGTATTCCTCTATTTTTAAACTAACCCATAGCCTTATATTGATAACCTATGGGTTATTAATTATATTTTATTTCTCTTGCACTATGTTGTCTTGTTGTCTGCTGTCATGCTGTCCCGCACCAACCGCCAAGTCAAATTCCATGAATGTCTGACATATTATGGCAATAAATGTTTCCTGATTCCTGATTCCAGAGCAAATTGATGTTGCACAGGTGAACGCTCGGTAATTAATGCGAGGGTTTTCTGTCTTAATAAATACGGCTTCTCACTTGACGTTTATACATACATACACATACATACATTAGTTATAGCTAAATTACACCCACCATCGGTGACATTAAACGGTTTTTCTGAGACCGTTGCTCGTTCATGTTACGCGCGGGACGAGCTGTCTTCCACCTGCGGTTCAGCTTTCCACCTGCAGGGGGCCTCGTGACATTGCGACAGCCGACACGAAGTTAGTAGACTCAAAAAATGCCTGACGAAAATAAACATGCATAAATATATAACGGCGTCTTTTAAATATCACCTTTACATTTCGAGTCCATCGTATTATAAATATTGATACGTTGATTTAACGCGCACACACATCGTGGTTATATTAGAGTTAGATTTGTTCGCCCCGTTCCCGGCACAGAGGGGACCGACTACCGGTCCCCTGCCTGCCGCCAAAATTCAAGCTAGAGGATAGAAGAGACAGTTCTCCCTGTTGTCGGCTGTAAACACTGGGCGAAAACTTACTGCTACGACTTTTAAGTTACCGAGTTGGTTTCCAAAAACCGCACATCGTGCCTGCGGAGTCCGCGGAGAGGGAAACATGCACATCAAGTCTATTATCATTGAAGGATTCAAATCCTACGCACACAGGACGGAGATCAACGGCTTTGACCCGCTGTTCAACGCCATCACCGGACTGAACGGCAGCGGCAAGTCCAATATTTTGGACTCGATATGTTTCCTTTTGGGGATATCGAATCTGAGCCATGTAAGTGTGCTGTTGGCTGTACGGTCTTTGAGCTCCACGGCTTTAAATACACACGTTGTTGACCTTAAATTAATCACGCTGCACAGTTGTGATGTGAAATATTTCTGTCGTCTAACACCAAAACAGTCACCGAGCTAAGCTAACTGTTAGCTAGAAGCATCTTAACACTTTTTATTTTGTTAATTTCACCTGAAAGGTGCGAGCCTCCAACCTCCAGGACTTGGTGTACAAGAATGGACAGGGTGGCATCACCAAGGCCACCGTGTCCATTACCTTCGACAACTCCAACAAAAGCCAGAGTCCTCTGGGTTTTGAAACCCACGACGAGATCACCGTCACCAGACAGGTCGGCCAACAAATAACGGTGGATCAACATCTCTGCTTTGGTGTTCAAAAGGTGACAGTGTGCGATGCTGAGCTTGTATAACTTTGTCTCAGGTGGTGATCGGCGGCAGGAACAAGTACCTCATCAATGGAGTGAATGCAAACAACACCAGGGTGCAGGACTTGTTCTGCTCTGTTGGCCTCAACGTCAACAACCCACATTTTCTCATCATGCAGGTGAGCCTTGTTTCTGCAGCACTGTGTTTGTATCCCTCTACAGCGTTTGACATCATGTGATCTTTGTGATATTTTAGGGGAGGATCACAAAGGTTCTAAACATGAAGCCACCAGAGGTAACGCATACACACGCTGTCCCCCATCACCACTATTTCATGCAGTCATCCTGCCCGTTTTTCACTTCCTCCAATGAACACCTCTTTTCGTTCAGATCCTTGCCATGATCGAGGAGGCAGCGGGAACCAGGATGTACGAGTGTAAAAAGATTACCGCTCAGAAAACCATTGAGAAGAAGGAGGCCAAGCTGAAGGAGATTCAGACAGTGAGTCCGGCATCCCAACTCGTTTTGATTCATTTATCTCACTTCATTCTCTGGTGAGCCGCTGCCACAAATACAACTGCAACTAATGCTGAGATCGTTCTCTCTGTTTACGTCAAGATTTTGGATGAGGAAATCACTCCAACCATGAATAAACTCCAAGAGGTAGGTTCAATGCAAAGACCAAACTAGAATGAGAGAGTGTCTTGTGAACACATCATGTCTTTTTGAAGTATTTCTTTTTCTAAACCGCACTCCCTCTGCAGGAACGATCCTCATACTTGGAGTACCAGAAGCTGATGCGCGAGATCCAGCACCTTTCCCGGCTGTACGTGGCCTGGCTGTTTGTGTGCGCGGAGGAAACCAAACTGAAGTCGGCGGATAACCTGAAGGTGATGCAGGACAACATCACCAAGATGCAAGCAAGCATGGCCGAGAACGAGAGCAAAGTCCAGCAGCTGTCGGCCCAGATTCAAGAGCTGCAGAAGAAAAAAGAACAGGTACCATTGAATAATTTGTTCTCTTCTTGCAAATTTGTTTGGTAATTTGAATTTTCTCCCCGGGATGACTGTGATTTTGGAGCAAGGCGTCCAAAAATGAGCCCTAGTTAATCTGTAATGATCAGTATGTTTTAAAATTAAAACAAGGATCTTGAGTTGAGTAATGCTTTGACTTTTTTGTCGTCTCCTCTGTATAGGAGGTGAACGGTGTATTAAAGTCCCTGGAGGAGACGCTAGCTGACGTGCAACGCGTCGACGCCAAAGCGCAGAGTGCGTTTGACCTGAAAAAACAGAACGTCAAAGATGAAACCAAGAAGAGGAACGCGCTCGTGAAGACCATGGAGGAGGTGAGTGAACAATTCATTTAGCTAAAACGGGCTTTTAGGACTTACAAAACTTCAACGGTTGCTTTCCTTTCATCCTCAGGACAAGAAAATGCTCGTGGTAAAAGAAAAGGAGGTGTCCAAGTTGGCGGAGCAGCTTCAGGCCCTACAGGCGGAGGGGCAGGAGGACAGCGCGGCGCTGGACGCAGCAGAGCAGCATTTCCGGGCGGTGTCTGCTGGCCTCTCCACCAACGAGGACGGAGAGGAGGCCACGCTGGCCGGGCAGATGATGACCTGCAAGAACGACATGAGCAAGGCGGACACCGAGGCCAAGCAGGTGATGGAAGCACTTGATCGTGTCCGAGCTCGCAGCACAAACCTTTGTGCTCGAAAGCGCTGAACACGCCACACGAACGCAGGCCGGCTGTTTGCCGCCCGGAATCTCCTTCCTCCCGCCGCTTCAAAGCTTGTTCCTCCATCTTGTCCCCGTGCAGGCCCAGATGACCCTGAAGCATGCTGAGGCCGAGCTGAAGACCAAACAGGCCGAGGTGAAAAAGATGGACGGTGGCTACAAGAAAGACGAGGACAGCCTGCAGGCCGTCAGGAGCAGCAGGGAGAAATTGCAAGCGGAGCTCGCTAAACTCAACTACGAAGGTACTGCGTGAGAACAGACCAGTTTGGCCTGCGGGACGCACAGTTTGTATAAACACGCCAGGTCGGCTTGTGCGTTTCAGACGGGAAGGAGGAGACTCTGCTGGAGAGAAGAAGGCAGCTGTCCAGAGAGGCCGCTCAGCTCAAGGAGACCTACGAGCGGCTTGTGTCTCGCTTCCCCAACTTGCGCTTCGACTACAAGTATGGATCGTCTGAGCGAATGAGCTCAATCTAGATCTTCTGTTAGTCCTCCGGCTCATAACGTGACCAAAGTCGGCCTGAGCTTTGCACACCTGATTTGCAGCATAGTGTTTAATCTTCTTCTTTTGCCATCTCAAAAGGGACCCGGAGCGCGGATGGGACCGGAGCAAAGTGAAGGGGCTGCTCGCTAACCTGATCACCGTCCGCGACGTCTCTTACGCCACCGGCCTGGAGGTGGTTGCGGGGGGTCGCCTCTATAACATCGTAGTTGACACAGAGGTAGGCGTGTCAGTGGACCACTTGCAGTCATATGATGAACGTTTGGTCATTCCATTCACGTACCAGTGGGAGAGGGCAACCGGGGTCGACCATGTCATTTGTTACTCTTTTCTTCTCTACCAGGTGACCGGTAAGAAACTGCTGGAGAAGGGAGAGCTGCAGCGGAGGTACACCATCATTCCCCTGAACAAGATCTCTGCCAAGACCCTCAACGACCGAGTGGTCAACGCCGCCAAGAGCCTGGTGGGACATCTAAACGCAGACCCCCCCCCTCCCCACCCCGTTTAGAAAGGTCCTGACTCGTCTCCGCCTGTCCCCCTTTGGTTTCCGCCAGGTGGGAGAGAACAACGTCCACGCAGCGCTGTCCCTGGTGGGCTACGAAGCCGACCTGCGTAAGGCCATGGAGTACGTGTTCGGCTCCACGCTGGTGTGCGACACCCTGGACAACGCCAAGAGGGTGGCTTTCGACAAGCAGGTGATGACCAAGACCGTCACTCTCGGAGGGGACGTCTTCGACCCACAGGGGACTCTGAGCGGAGGTGAGAGCGAGGCTTTGAAAAACGCTTCCACTGTTCTTTGGTACGTTGAAATGTTTAGTCGCTGCTTAGAGCGCCGTTGGTATTTTGCTTCTGCGCATCGCTGTAATACGACACCTTTCATTCCCTTCTTCTCGTCCAGGCGCTCGCTCCCAGTCGGCATCCGTCCTGTCCAGCCTACAGGAATTAAAGGAGGTTCGTGACAGCTTGAATGAAAAAGAGAACCAGCTTCGGGAAACTGAAGGACAACTGGTCAGCCTTAAGGGAACCGCGGAGAAGTACGCAGACACAAACACACAAATGACTGACACTGACATGAAATGATTAACGATCGATTTGTATCATTTTGTCCCGTTTTGAGCTCATTTATTACCAAATTACATAGTTTGTCCACAAGTTTTTCCCAAATGTAGAATCTTTGAATTCTTTAAAACATGTCACCAACTAGGTGACATGTTTTACTTGCAAATTTTCTTCTTCATTCGCCACACTTCCTCCCCCCAGGTACCGTCAGCTGAAGCAGCAGTACGAGCTGAAGGTAGAGGAGGAACAGATTCTGCAGACCAAGCTGCAGCAGAGCTCCTTCCACCAGCAGCAGGAGGAGCTGGAGAGGCTGCGCAAGGCCATCGGTCAGAATGCTGCACAGACACCAAAATACAAGCAGGCAACCTTGACATACCGTACACACATGGACCCCATACGTTTTATTCTCCGGGGCTAACCCAACTGCTGGCGCTGTGCTTGCTGAACCAGACGAGAGCAAGGAGACTCTGCGCGTCACCAAGGAGGTGCAGAAACGGGCGGAGGAAAAGTACAAGGTGCTGGAGAACAAGATGAAGAACGCCGAGGCGGAGAGGGAGAAGGAGCTGAAAGCCGCCCAGCAGAAGCTCAACGCGGCCAAGGCCAAAGCCGACGCCTTCACCAAGAAGCTGAAGCAGAAGCAGCAGGTGGGCACAGTCTCTCCGTGGGGGGGGGCCTCCGGTGCGCTGATCACACGTGTCTTACCGCGCTGCTCGTGCGTGCAGGAGTCCGACGCCGTGGCCCTGGAGCTGGAGGAGCTGCGGAGGGAGCAGACTGGCTACGAGCAGCAGATCCAGGCTGTGGATGAAGCCATGGGAGCCATCAAGGAGCAGATCGACAGCATGGCCTGCACCGTATCCCAGAACAAGGTATTTAGGTTTGTGTGTGTGTATAATTTATATATATGTGTGTGTGTGTGTGTGTCCTCATTCTTTTTCGCGGTGCAGGAAGCAGTGCTCAAAGCCCAGGAGGAGCTGGCCAAACAGAAGGAAGTGATCATGGCTCAGGACAAAGAGCTCAAGGTGATTGCAATTATTTCCTTTATGATTAAAAAATAAATAAATAAGTAGGTTAAGTTTGCTAGTCCACGGAGGCCATCCTAACCGTAAGAACTGCATCATAGGAGCAACCGATGATTCCAGGTAGCATGAACACGCAGGAAGGCCAGTGTTTGGTTTGTCCATTGCAGGCTGTAAGAAACATGGTGGTCCGATCATAAGATAACGTGATGGTTCTTGGTTTCATGTCTATTACGTTGCATTTCTGCTAATATAATATCCTAAGATGCTCCATACTGCTCCTTTTTAATGCGGCTAATTTAGGAGCTTATAGTCACTCTAGTACTCTAGTAATATAGCTTGGAATTCTATATGTAACCTGTTTGATTATTATTTTTCCATCAAATGGAATGTTCCAGTGTAAGAGCACAGAGGCCAATAAAATAAGGGAGCAGAACAACGAGGTCCAGCTGAAGATCAAGGAGCTGGAACACAACATTAGCAAACACCGCAAAGACAGCCAGGAAGCCGCTGACAAGGTACGCACACATTAGTATACCGTTGTTATACTATGAAGGTACAACAGAACTCTCATCATGACGTTCGTCCTCCAGGTGTCTCGGATGCTGGAGGAGCACGACTGGATCCAGTCGGAGCGGCAGTTCTTTGGCCAGCCCAACACCTCGTACGACTTTAAGACTAACAACCCCCGTGAGGCTGGTCAGCGGCTGAAGAAGCTGGAGGAGACCACGGCCAAGCTGGAGAGGAACGTCAACAAGAGGGCCATGAACATGCTGAACGATGCCGAGGAGAGGGTGAGGACAGCGCTTTCGCAGGAGGAAAAGGAAATTTGAATGACGACGTTTATTGCAACCATCTTTCCTCGTGCAGTACAACGACCTGATGAAAAAGAAGAGGATCGTGGAGAATGACAAAGCCAAGATCCTGAAGACCATCGAGGAGCTGGACGAGAAGAAGAACGAGGCTCTCAACGTGGCGTGGCAGAAGGTCCGCCCTCTTCCGGCACACCGGTCCTTCCATCTGTCACTTTGACGGATTTGGACCAGACGCTAAATTCCTTTTCCTTCTCCCTTTGCAGGTTAACAAGGACTTTGGCTCCATTTTCTCCTCTCTGCTGCCAGGGGCCACTGCTAAGCTGGCGCCGGCCGGCGGAGTTCTCTTGGAAGGTCTCGAGTTCAAGGTGGCCCTGGGCGACACCTGGAAGGAGAACCTCACCGAGCTCAGCGGAGGGCAAAGGTCAGCGTCGGTGGTTTGTTCTTAGCAGCGCGTGTGGGGTCGGGCCTCCTTCATCCAGCGTTCCTCTGTGCGTTCAGGTCCCTGGTGGCCTTGTCCCTCATCCTGGCCATGCTGCTGTTCAAACCGGCGCCCATCTACATCTTGGACGAGGTGGACGCCGCCCTGGACCTCTCGCACACGCAGAACATCGGACAGATGCTGCGCGGCCATTTCAGACACTCCCAGGTACGCGCAGGTTCCCCCAATGAGGCTCATCCTCATTCTCTGAACCGGGTGCACTCGATTCACCCTTTTTTTCCCCCCCTCCCCTGAATTGTCTCTTCCCCAGTTTGTGGTGGTGTCCCTGAAGGACGGCATGTTCGCCAACGCCAACGTCCTGTTCAAGACCAAGTTCGTGGAAGGCATGTCCACAGTGTCGCGGACGGCGCTCAGCCAGAGCGACAGCAACCTTTCCCAGAAAAGCCGGGACAAAGCTCGCCTGAAGGACAAGAGGGTCAAACAGCTGATCAGCTGATCGACGAGTCAGCCATCTTTCTAAATACGCGCCGGTAGTGTCTCCTTAGAAACCATAGCAACAATCGCTCACGTGAACATGTCCTCTGTGTGCTTTCCTAAAGGATTCTTTGTGTATTTTAAACGTCTGTACTGTCGGTTATTCTGTCTCCTTTCATGCGCTTCTGCCACACATCACTTTTTATAGTCCGCTAACGTATCCATGTATTTTACTAAATAAAGCAGGTTGAAATAAGGTTGTTTTTTTCCATTGTTTAACAATGAGGTGGTCAGACAATTCATCTTATTCACGTTACAAAAATCCTGATCCCACTTGTCTAACTTGCTATTAGGTTGAATCAAGAGTAGTTATGTACATTTCATTAACAAGTGAGAACCAATTACTGTCAAGATGATTCAATTTACCGATCCTGTTCACATCTCAAGACCCAGTTGATATCAGATGCCATTCAACGTACCACTTTTATTAAATTGAAAGACTTGCTGTCATCCACGTCAGTTTGTACCTTCAATGTATGAGCATCATTCCAAATAACTTGTCACTTCCATTTTAAGCCGTTAGAGCAAATTTATGTATTTGGACAAAAAGAAAGCCACATGTCAAAATTGTCACTGAAGTTTTATTTCATTAGGGACAAATTCAAACAACTATATCATCACAACATTTTATTCTTAAGCCCGTATCAAATTGGCTGCAGTGTTGCTCATTCTCCATTGGTTAAGGACGTACCTCCTGCCTGAGCAGAGGTACAAGCTGCTATCGCTGTGATACTTATGAGTAGGCTAACCTACGACAGTAGCAAAAGTGCCCAGCTCAGGACCCTGGAAATACAGTGTCTGCAAACCCACCGGTTTCTATTGCATGTTTTTACCACTAAATGTGTCAGCTTGAATGGAGCAACTCCCAGCTAATATGGAAAAGTAACGCAAGGACTTGAATATCTATTTAAGAGAGGATTTCTGCACCAACAACACCAGAAAGAAGAGTGTGTGTGTGTGTGTGTGTGTGTGTTGCGGTCAGGGTTGGCTCTGGATGTGTCTGCGCAGCTCCTGGGCCTTGTCCCTCAGGTCAGGCCTGCTGTCGGCCTGCAGCGTTGACAGCGAGCGCTGCAGCTGCTCCCGACTCTTCACGGACACACAGTCCCACTTCTCACTCTCTGTGGACAAACAGAACCATGTACACAGTGATTTATATGAGAAACTCACACGTGAGGAATCAGATTGTAGAACGAGACTAATGAATAATATAGTCCAAAAGAAACAAACATTGATTCTTGGAACAATCTGTGGCTCGATTTCAAATGGGAAGAAGTAAAAAAAGAAGACAAATGGTTTTAATGAGGGAAAGAAAGTTCCGTCTTCTCACCCCCGGTTCTCTTCACAATCATATCCACAACCGACAAGGCCTCCGTCCTCACAGAGGAGTAGCTTTTGTTTTCTGGGTGGAGGGAACAACACAAAGACGGTGAGGACAGTCGTACTATACTGGAGACGCAGTCCACGGCGACGCGGCGAGGCCCTGACCTAGAGGGTGCGTGAGGGCGCCGCAGGTCTCCGCGAGGATCGGAGACAGCGCGTCCAAGTCCCCGCCGCCCTTCTCCAGCAGCAACAACCTGCAGAGACAAAAACACCACAAGCTCCTCGGTCAGAAGGGATTTACCGCGAGCGCGGCGTGATCCGTCGGTTGGGATCGGCCCTCACCCCTTGAAGTACGCCTTCATGGACTGGAGGACCGCGAGCTGGACTCTCCAGGTGCTCAGCTTGAGCTTCTCACACATGAGACTGCACACGGCCACCTGGAAACGAGCTACAGAGGGACACTCGGGTCAGAACGCCGCGTGACCTTTGAAGCACGCTCACTGGTCTGCAGTTAGTAGATTGGCTACTTCACTTGATCTCAGTTCTATTTAGCAACCGAGAAAAAAATGAATAATATCTTGAGTTTAAGGCCCACAGCAGGTGGTAAAAGTGGAATAAAATAGACGTGGGGGGGGGACACCTGATCTGTGTGAAGACAAACATGTTTTATTATCCCTCTATTAGCTCAGGACAAGTGGAGCACCGTCACCGGGGTCAAGGTTCAAAAGACACAGGGGTGGTCCAACGTGAGGGACCTCACTGGGCTCCATGCTCAAAAAGTGGAGTAAATAAAAGCAATTTGCAGAATATCGTGGCGTCGGTCACTCACCCTGAGTCTGAGGGTTTCTGGGCCAAGCCTTCCCCAGAGTCTCAAAGGCACAGAGCAGGGTCTCCGTCTGCAGCTCCTTCTCCTTCACGTCTTTATCGTCGTCCTCGTCCTCCCGCAACCTCTTCGACACGCCGCCGCTCTCGGGGCAGTTCTGTAGGGTGATCGTAAGGGACGTTTCAACAAGAGGGGAAAGAAGAAAGTGGTGGGATGGCAGAAGTGATGCGAACCTTCTTGATCAGGGGGAAAAGGATGTCGGCCATGTCGCTGAAGCGGTCCTCCTGGCTGCTGTGGAGGACGTCTCCGGCGCAGCGTAGGGCGGCCATCTTGTACACCAGACTCTCCTTGCGGCATTCCTTCAACACCAGTTCCAGCACCTCTGAGATGGTGGGCTGGCCGGCGCACGGCTTCTTCAGCTCGTTGCTGAACGCCACAGAAATCATGGAAGCAATTATGTGTACATAACAAATAAGAGATTGTTTGTCCTTCAGATAAAACTGGGGGGGAAAGTATGTTGTCTTACCTGCATTTGGAGACTACTGATCCAATGGCTTTCAATAGCTCCTCCTAAACATACAAAAATATATGAGACACAAAAGCAAGACGAGAGCAAAAAGGAGATTGTTGTTGCCGTTACCTTGCCGGCCCACGTGCGTCCGGACAGCCCCTGCATTAAAGCCGTTAGCACCATCCCGAGGTGCGGCGCCACCAGTGAACCCGTCTGTTCTTTGGCAACGGTCGCCATGGCAGCTGCACCCTGAGCCTTCATCTTCCAGGACTGAGACTGCAGAGCCTTCTGGGTGATGACGATGAGCTCCGTCATGTAGAGTCGGATACCTCCAAAGCTCCCTAGAGTCCAAGAACCGTTCAGAGGGAGAAAGCTTAGCAACACGGTTATTCCACAACCCTCCATCAGAGCAGTTGGCTATTTAGATCAATTAAGTACAGGACTGGTTTCTCACCCGGGACGTTGTCCTGCCACACCTCGGCCCACAGCGCCGCGTCGTGGCCCTCTCCCTTCTCCTCGTCGGGACCGGGCGCCTGATGCATCCCCAGGAAGGCCAGCGGCAGAGCGACCCCTGCGTTGCCCTTCAGCACATCGGGGCTGTAGTGGCTGATGGCGTGCACCGTCAACACGCATGACGACTTGTACACCAGTTCTGGGAGGGAGAAGAAGATGAGCCGGGTCCCAAAAGGTGCCGTTGAGTTTAATGCGCACAACCATTATATTGGGAGGGGAAGTGAAGGTGTCAAACATCTTACCTTCCTTCTCCAAGTACCAGCCGTTTAGCTTCAGCAGTAGCTTCTCTACGCTGCTGTCTTTGGCGGTCTGAGGGGAGTAGACGGCGTGAGGAGGGGCACATGCCACTCAACACTGAGAACCACCAATGCTGTAATCAGAAGCGCTGCTTACCCTAACGAGGTGTCCCAAAGCGAAGGCAAAGGCCTTCTGCACCACGGAGCTTCGGTCATGGATGCCGTTCAGCAGGGCGCTCATCAGCTTACCTGGAAACACAGAAAGTCGCCACCATTGAGGTCCCTCACGCCAACTCTTAAAAGCACGCAGTCCAGGGAGGGATGGGCTTCTCTTACCCGAGTACGGGGTGAGGTCCTGGGGGCACTGCACCGTGAGTGAGACGATAACACTGGCACAGCCTCCCTGTGCAGGAAACGGAGAGCGAGCATAAAAAGGGGGACGCCGGTTTCTGTGCACACGTACGCGAGACAAAGTTGCCAAGAATCCGAGGCAGAGGTGTACGTATGTGTGTCTACCTTGGTGCCCAGGCCCACGCCGCTCTTGAGCAGCTCACAGAGCCTGGGGACGAGCTCCCCCAGCACGGAAACATCCAGGTGCTGCAGACACTGAGCAGAGGAACACACACGACGGACGCTCACTCAACAGCTCGGTTTTCGTCATGTTTTTCCAATGAATCCTGGCGTTCGCTTTCCTACCATGTTCACGGTCTCCATCATCGGAGAGGACTTAGCGGCACTCAGCCTGGCGGCGTCCATGGCACTCTAGAGAAGCACAAAGAACATGATTAAATAAGAAAAAGACTTTGGGGGAAGTCGTGGAAGGCGCCTGCGCTCACCTTTTCCTGCTCTGTGGCTCTGAGGCTGAGGTAGTTGAGGACCTGAGGCTCCAGGGTGCTAAGGGCCTCCAGCAGGGCCGGGATCAGCCGGGAGGCGTGAGGCTTCAGTCTGGCGCCCGCCGTCTTACTGACCTTCACCAGGGTCTGGATACTGATAGGGGGGATTTGAAGGATTAGTGCTCATGTGGCGACAGAAACCAGGAAAGATGCAAACTGCTCGACGTTACCTGAGCGCGCGGACCTCCGACACGTTGCTAACGATGCCTTTTTCCAGCAGGGTGGGCAGCAGCACCGCCACCGTCCTCTGGGCTGCAGAGCCCGTGGACTCGCACATGCGAGTGCACACCTGGAGCAAGACGAGAGGGTCGCACGTCAACGCGCGCGCGGTAACATCGCATAGAAAAGTATCGTGAGTAACTATTTGACCTTGCTGAGCGTCTTCAGCGTGAGGTCCGCTGCTTTCCTCACAGACTCCTGAAATGCACGGAGAGAGAAGAGTACACAGCGTCACGCTTCCTGCAGTTATTCTGCTGTGCGTGCGTGACGTCCGCCTCTGCGTGGCGACCGCATACGAGTCATCACAGCGCGGTGTCCATCCAGTGAACGGAAGCCACGTGGAGCGGCGCTCACCTTGATGTCGTCGAGGACTCTGAACAGCGTCTCCCACATTTCGGCCAAGTGATCGACGAGGTCGTCGGCTTGGCGGCCGCGGATCAGGTCGTTCAGGGCGAGGCAGCTGGAAGGAAAATGGATGTTTTTTCCTGGCGTTTACGTTAAAGGTGAAGGCTTCTTTACCTCAGCACCAAAAAATCTAAAACAAATTAAATATATAATATATAAGCATGAACACGGAGCATACAGGCAAACAGCAGTAACCGTTTTATCCAAATACATGAAAAAGAAATATGAAAGTAGAAAAGCAGACTATAAGTCTTACTTTGGAGTTTAGTGTGTAGT